AATATGAAAAAAAATCGTCGGCATAAGCGAACATAACATCGAATTTTCGTCGACATAACCGGTTGGACGCTTTAAGCGGAGTCGTTATAACCGGATTCTACTGTATTTATATTCTTGATCAGGGCGACGAACTGAGTCGATTTAGCTCTGTCCGTCTGTCCGTCCGTCCGTCCGTCTGTCTGTCCGTCCGTCCGTCTGTCCGTCTGTCCGTATGTTTGAACGCGTCGATCTCAGAAGATATAAGAGCTAGAGACCTGAAATCCGTGTATAGCACGCGCATATTGAGTTTTGCTTTAAATAACGATAACTAGTCCCGTTATTTTATTATCGAATAAAAACATTATCGAAAACTAGTAATAAATTTATATCTCCTACACCTCTAACGCTAGAGAATTTCAATGTATACTTAAATGCATTTTGTACAATTTCGGTTTTTGTCAAAATTTACCCCCCACCCCTAATTCATCCCTCACCCTCACCTTCGTAAAAAAAAAAAGACTAGAGACTTGTACTTTGGAAAATACATGCATATCCATATATAATCATAACCTTAAAGTTTCATGAAGATCGTATATTCACAAGAAAAGTTATTAAACAATTAAGTTCTCATAGCAAGCACACACTAAACTGAGCCACTGAGCTAGCTCCTTCAATATGGCTCATTTTGGCTCACTCGCTCATTTTGGTTCATTTTGCTTGCGATCACTATCGGCTCATGAGCAGTGTTGCCAGGTTTTGAGACATAAAAATAGCAAAATCGTCTCTAAAAAATAGCTGAAAATAGCTAAACAAATTTTAAAATAGCTTACAAAATAGCTGAAACCTTTATGCATTATGCATTTACTTTAAATTTTATTTTTAAATGTTATTTAATAATGTTACAATTTGGTCCACATCCAAATCATCATCAGAATTATATTTTTGATTAACTGGAATCATTTTTAAATATTTGGAAGGCACGGTATAATCATGGCAGCATTTGCCATTGCTGCGCAAGAAGAATTAGCGATGGTATAAATTCACAACTAGTGATGTATAAGTACGACAAAGTCGTGGTGGTAGTATCGCGCAGATCATTACGTACAATTTGGGACTTAATCGAAAAATGTTTTTTTTTTTTTTTTGCTTTAAATACTAAAATCAAATTCAAAATATTCGTTTGTAAAATAGCTAAATTTATAGCTAATAGCATTTTCAAAATTTTCATAGCATTTAGGGTTCAAAAATAGCTAAAAATGCTATTAAATAGCTAATCTGGCAACACTGCTCATGAGCTATCAACAAGTGAGCCAGTGAGCCAAATGAGTGAGTTGGCTCACTTCACAAAAAACAGCAAGAGAGCGGGTTCACCTCAATGAGTTTCTTTTACCCAAGTATAATGTAGACTTGTGTATACCATACAAGCTTGTCATAGTTTTTCGATAACTCTTTCAATATCTTTTTATCGAGGACAATCGATAAATTTATTGTTTTTCTCAGCCTAATTTGAACACTTCAGATTTATAGTGTACAATGGAGGACAAAAGTATTTTGACAACACATTGCAAAAACTCTAACCGCTTATTTCTGCGTGCTGAGAGAGGTAACGGTGCCCAATATATTTTTCAGAGAGAGCAAACATAAAAAGCTATAAGTGCCCAAAACATTGCAGTGATAACATAACTCATTATTTTTCTATAATTATTTGCATGGCAGATTGTCATTCTTTGGCTAGACAAAAGTATTTTGACATTCCTTTTCCAATTCATTGTCGGTAATTCGCTTGGATTAAAAAATACGTGTTTTTATTTTACTAAGTTATTTTTGGCGTCCTCTTTAATAATAGCCATCATTTGATCATAGTTTTCGGTAAAATATGCGCAAACAACGTGATTAAGTGAAATCTTTAAAAAATCGATCGGTCACGAAGAATAATGCGGGTATTTCCGTGGAAAACCTTACAACCTTACAAAATGCACCTTTATAAGCAATTTACTACTAAATTAACAAAAAATAAAAAACTGATTCGCTCAAAAAGGCCAGATCGGGAAGATCATTCAAAAAACCCGGTAGAAGGCCGCATCATATTGACAAATCTTAAAGAAAATGTGCGGATTTCCCTAACAGTCATGTCGATTAAACCCAAAAATAATCATAAATTATCAATAAGTAGAAAAACTATCACAAGTCGGCGAAAGAAGGCCAATTTTTCTACGTTATAGATCTTCCCATACCCTTAATATCACTATAAAATATCACTATAATATATTTATTAAAGCCATACGGGGTAGTCTGTAAAAAACTGTATTTCAAGCACTAGAGACTTGTGCTGCTGAATATACATACATTTGAGCATTATGGTCACGTTATAAAAGTTTCAAGAAGATAGTTTTACTGCAAGAGAAATTATTCAGCAAATATATTCTCATACTATTGTGTATGTGTCTGTAAAAGAACTTCAGGAGAACAGGGTTCAGGGTATCTCCTTACTAGGAGATAGTCTCGACTAGATCACTCTTACTTGTTTAATAATACGGTTGCCATGCGTCCTGGAATTTCGGGACATCTCCTGCTTTTGGACGTAATGTCCCGATGTCCCGACCTGACACGAAATTGTCCCGGTTTCCTGCTGTTTCAATAAAAAAATTCGGAAGTACCGTTTTTTGCAGCAAACGTACACGCGTGCTGTGGGAAGAATTAAATATAGCTCATTTCCTGTATGCGATTCCTGAGCACAATGCAAATTGTGAATGAGTTTTGTCCTTATTAAATACGCAGTGGTCAGACGAAAGAAATATGAAAGTTACTGGTGGAGAATGTTAAAAACATACTTATTGTTTTATATAATTTGGTGGACATAACTTGTTTTATAACATATTGATGGATGAATGTTATGTATGTTGGGAAAAATAGACAATGTGGAGAAGTATGTGTTGTATAAGTTGTTGTTGTTGTTGTTGACCGTCCCAGATGGTAACCCTCATTGAGTGAAATATTTTATAGACGGGTGCATGTCAGCGAAGGAGTTACGAGTCACAATGAATGGGAATCAAGAACAAGGAGGTTGCTCTGAGCAGAATCGTTTGTTTACATACATATTAGATTAAATTTTATGGTACTCTTACTGAATTGATTTTGTGTATAAAGTCAAGCAAAGTAATTACTCGCTTTGAAACCTATCATTGTCTTTATATAATAAAACCAGTAAGACTCTTCCACCCTTCAAGCCGATATTCTAATCATTCTGCATTTCTTTTATGCACATACACATACACATGCATCAACACGCACGCATAACCACGCGCTCTGCCATCTGCGCAGTAAGCAGCGTCGCGACGCTTGGGCTGCGCTGCAATGCACTATGGGTTAAAAGTCCATTTTTTTTTTGGCATAAATCCATATTTTTTTTTTTTAGTATACGCCAACTTTTTTTTAATTCCTTAAGAAACTCTTCGTCTAAGTTAGCTGATTCAAGGTTGCATAGTAAATCGAAAAAAGCACGGGATGCTTGCAAAATTTGTTTCAGTTCTGTGATTTATCCCCCAATTGTGAAAACGGTTGCTATTGTGTATTTTTAGATAAAAATAGGGTTGTCGAAAAATTTTTAAGTATCGTATCAATGATATTTAAAGTTTTAAAAAATTTCTAATTGCATGTAACAAAAAAAAAAAATCGATATATCAATATTTTCCGATTTTTTTTTTTCAATTTTTTTCCCAGAATAAATTTATAATCCGTCCAAAAGAACAAGGATTATAGGAATAAGTATTTTTTATTTTATTATCCAGTATTCGGTACTCAAAGATTTAAAAAAAAGAAACGCGTTTCGTGATATGAGTATCCATAATACGACTTCGTGAGTCACTGACAACACATTTTATTGCCGACGCAAGTCGCTCCGAAGGCACCCACCAGGGGCGGTTAGGCAACGCAATGCGATCTTCGACTACCACGGAATACTATACCCGGTCAGGCACTTTAAATGTGCTACTTTCTCCACGCACCGGACAGGCATGTTGTCTCTGCAAATCATAAAGACAATAGCTTCTAATATATCTCTTGTATTTTTCCATTTTCTAAAATGAAGAAAAAGTTAATAAAATCCAGATTACACGTTTTGTTGAATTGTTTGGTTTTCACCAGAATTCATCGAAACCTAATTATTTAGACAAACGAATAAAAATTAGAATCTTTAAATGATGTGTAAGTACTTACCTTTTTATACCCTGAACCCATTTTCAATGGGAATCAGGAATGTATTTTCTATAATTTCGATTTTTGTTGTAATTTATCCCCACCCCTGTATCCACCCTCTCACCAACACCTTTGTAAAAGGCGTATTTCAAATACTAGAGACTTGTGGTTTGGCAGATACACGTACTTTAATGTTATATTAACGACCTGATAGTTTGATGATCATAGTTCATCAACGAGAAACGTTATTAAACAATTAAATTTCCATAGTAAGCCAACACTGCTGCCAATACGTGTTTATACTTGCATCCCTAAGTTTTTCTGTGCGTGAGTATGGGTGTTTCTTGTGTAAGCAAAAAGACTCGAAGAAATATTTTAAAATATAAATTCTTCGAAGGGTTCAGGGGATTTCGTAGTCGAGCAGTCTCGACTAGAGTTTTCTTACTTGTTTTTTATTTGTGGCTATTATGATAATTATAGTAGAATCCGGTTATAGCGACACTCTAGGGACCGTCATTATACCCGAAAGGCACTATAACGCTATAAGTTTGCTCATAAAAGTTTGTCGCTATAACCGTACAGACGCTATAAGCGGAGTCGTTATGACCGGAGTATACTGAATTTCAATGAATAAAACAATCTACATATGTGTGAAAAGTGTAAAGTTTTTCAAATTGTAAGCAATATATATATTTTATGCAGCTATAGTTATCACTTTTTATATTTACGTTAAAACTTTTTTAAATACGTATTTCTTTCGTGTCCGTATTACGTTACTTTATTTTTAGCCTGCGCAATGCCTGTAGCTTTGTGACGTTACGGTATATTACTTATTTTTGGTATTTTCACATTCCCAACTGGTGGTCACACATATTCAAAGAAAAGAGTGAGCGAGAGCAACGATCGGTAGAAGTGCGTTTTAAATAGGTAAAAAGTACAAACTAAACCCATTTTAACAGTATAATTATAAGACTTGGAGCTCTAGAAAGTGTTTTAAGACTGTGCTCAAATTACGTAAGAAAATATCTTTTAACATGCATAACCGCAAATCCTCATGGATAACTTAAGTCTAACACATGTATATACATACATAAAAAATATGCACATATTTACGTCTCTTTCATGTTCATAAGTTAGAAAGAAATAGATAGAATTTCAATAAAGAGTTGCCACGTTTTAATTATTTTATATAAGACAATAATATAACAATAATGCGTATGACAATGTCCACGTACTTATGATTGTAATTATTAAATAATATTTAAATATTTGTTCAAGATTTATTGACCTGATTAATTTATTTATATGGAATATCCATAAAAGTGCAAACTCTTATAAAATGGGCAAGGTGGCAACATTGCGCGAGCAGCCATTTATGCAGTAGTAAATTGTCCCGTCCCATTGAGCGTGTGGTTTGATAATTTTCTCACTGAAAAATTAATTTTCCTAGTTAAATCAGTATTCAATGATTTTATTTCTATTATATATTAGTTGAATTGTGCTAAAAAAAAAAATTGTCATAAAGTGTAATTGAATTTGTCTGTTCGAAATATCGTTAAATTTCTGTGCAGCACAAATTTATTTTCGCATGCAGATGTTCATCAAAAATTTTACATACATACATACTTTGTGAAATCGAAGTGGCTTGGCTTTTTTAATACAAACATACATGCAAATGTATGTGTGTATTTGTCTTTCTATACACCTACCTAACTAAATATATGTGCAGAAAATATAATTTTAATCGATAAATTAAAAAAAAAAAAACAAAACTTAATATTTATTAATATATTAATGTGCCATAGAATAGTATCTTTCATAGTACAATAGTCGAAAAAAAAAGCAAATGAAAATTTGAGCATGCAAACAATATTTAATACGCGACCACTACCAATATAAATTTTGATTGATTTTTATATGTTGAAATGCATAAAAAAAAAAATGTATAAAATATCGCATTTATGTGTGAGTGTGCTATAGCATATTTGTTGATTCTTTATGCGTATAAATATATACATATATGTATATGCGAGTGGGCTTGTGCGTTTTTGAATGTTTTTTGTGTATCTGCAAATGTATGTGTGAACAAAAGTACAGAGTTAAAATAGGGTGATTGCGTCAATGACTACTGACCAGAGTTGTCATGTATGTTTATTACATCCGGACAAATGCACAGCCACATGCATATGCCTATGATTACACTGTGTATACTTTTCTGCTGAAGTGTAAATATGTATTTTTTTAATCAAAAAGTGCTCGGCCTACTGACAAAATTAATAACATGAGTTTAAGCATATGTAAATTAATATGGCAAAGAATGTTCTTATATACGACCGCAATATTTTTTTTCAGGCAATATCAACAAAGATCTGTGTTTCGGATATGTATATATCGATTATAAAGAAGCAAATATAGTTTAACAATTGAAAACAAGATTATTATCAACAGCCGTAAAAGTTCATTTAACGACAATGACGATGATGACAATGCTAATACAAATATAGTCAAGACTGGATGTGAAAATTATAGGAATGCGCCACATGCTAGTCCAGCTAAATATCAGTTAAAACAATTGTACACAATGCGCGAGGCGCTTTTCTCACAGGATGGCTGGGGATGCCAGCATGTTAATCAGGATACCAATTGGGAGGTACCCAGTTCCCCGGAGCCAGCCAATAAAGATCCATCGGTGCCATCGATGTGGAAGCCAAACATTAACAATGGCACCGATTTATGGGAATCGAATTTAAGAAATGGAGGCCAGCCACCTGCCCAACAAGTGCCAAAGCCATCATGGGGCCACACGCCGTCGTCCAATTTGGGTGGTACTTGGGGCGAGGATGATGATGGTGCGGATAGCACAAGTGTTTGGACTGGTCAATCATCGAATAGTGCAGCTTCCAATGTTCCTGTGGGCGCCAACGTCCCGGGCGTCGGATCTTCAACGGCGCCCCAGTGGGGCCAAGGCGTCGGAGTTGGAGTGGGTGTTGGAGTTCCCTTAAATACAGCGGGAAATAATAGTGTGCCAACAACTGGCGCACTGCCTGTTGTCGCACCTGGATGTAAGTATGATAATATCTTCTTAAGCAAGTTACATACATATCTTAGATCAGTGCCTTTCAAATAGTCATTAAGCCTCATCTCCATGAAAGCATTAACATCGATAACAAACAATACTTAATGCTTATAATTAACATGCTTTTTATAAATGTGAGGTGGATCCACTTACAATGGATCAAGTTAGATTTCTGTACTGGATGGATAAATGCATCTAATGGGTTAATGTTGCAAAAAAGATGAGTTGACTGGTTGGAATGTCGGTTATTTGAGAGGTTGAGGGGATCTCGTAGACGAGCAGACTCGACTAGAGCAGTCTTACTTGTTACTCATTGAGAATGATAATTTATTTCAAGTTTCCAATCAAAGCATTTCAAATAGTGACTTAAACAAAACCATTATACCTTGATTTCCCATTTTCAATGGGTTCAGGGTATACAAATTGGGTAGCCTTTCCCATATATGCCTCTGGATGTTATCAGACTTCTAGTGTTTAATTCGTCTAGAACAGTTAGTTCAATAGAATAAAGGTCATACATGTATAAAGGAAGCGTAATATTACTGGAGGATCAGATATGAGCAGGGCTCAGAGTATATACTTGCACACTTCATAGTCCATGACTAGATTACTATTTCTAGTTAGTTTCCTCAACTTACATTTTTTTCACATTCGTTGGTTTTGCTTTAGAAAGTTTATTAATATAATATCTAACGATTTGTAATAGGTGGAAGTAACGGAAATAATTTAAGTGGGACTGGAGCTGTTGGAGGAGGAGCTGGAGCTAATGTTGGTAATACTGGCAATGGCTGGGGAGATCCTCGTGATATGCGACCGTTAGCTGGAGCTGGTGGCGGTGGCCCTATTGACATTCGAAACGTCGATCCGCGTGACCCGATAACAATGCGTGGGGTTGGGGCACCAACTGGGGATCCAAGGGATTTACGCATGATTGATCCAAGGGATCCGATACGCGGCGATCCGCGTGGTATATCGGGTCGTTTAAATGGTACATCCGAAATGTGGGGCCATCATCCACAGATTGCCCACAATCAAATTCAAAATATCAACAAAATGGTTGGCCCTGTTGTAGGCACTGCTGGAGCGAATATGACTAACTCAAATATTGGTCCAGCTGGCGTTGGCTCCATCTCAAGTAACATTGGAGCACAATGGGGTGCCGCGCCACAAGCTGTCGTTGGCGGCGGCGGTGGTACTGTTGGTGTTGGAGTTCCAAAGGACTTAGCGAAGCAAATAACAGGATGGGAGGAACCATCACCGCCACCACAACGACGAAATATACCCAATTATGATGACGGAACTTCACTATGGGGACAACAGACGCGTTTACCCGGCAGCGGTGGCCACTGGAAGGATATGACGGACTCGATGAGCCGCAGTCATTTGATGCGTTCCCAAAATCCATCGAGCCAAATTGTTGGCAGTAGTAATGTGCCCGGCGGTGTTGGTGGGAATCCAAATAACACAATGGCTGGAGTTGTCGGGCCACAGTCCCGATTGTCGAGCACAGCCGGACCAACTGGAGGAGTTGGAGTTAGTGGACAGCATGGCAAAGCGGATTCTGGTGCCATGTGGGTCCATCCAAATAATAGTGGAGCTGCTAGTGGAGGCCGAAATGCTCAACAACAAGTCAGCTCCTGGGGCGATGATAGTCACAATGTTGGTGTCGTTGGTGCTGGTGGTGGAGGTGGCTCTGTCGGCGGCAGCAATTGGGTCGATGATAAGCAGAACAGTTCACTGGCTCAAATTGGCGGAAATTCCACATCGTGGAGCGACTCTCCGTCTGGTGGCGTAGGATGGGGCAATAAACAAAACAAATTATCAACAACAGGTGGCGCCTCATCTGGCTGGAGCAATCCTAACACAGTTGGCGGCAATGTCGATGGTAATGATATATCTTCGGACTGGCCACATGGTGGCGCAATCGTTGGTAAAGCACAACAGCAACAGCAGCAGCAGCAACAACAACAGCAGCAACAGAAGCTTGCTGGCATTAATGTTGGAGTTAGCATACTTAACACAGATATTGTTAAGCAGAGCAAGCAATACAGAATTTTGGTGGAGAATGGCTTTAAGAAGGAAGACGTTGAGCGAGCATTGCTGAATAGCAATATGAATATTGAGGATGCAGCTGAAATGTTGCGTGCCAATACAAGTTCGTCAGTGGCGGCAATCGATGGCTGGCGCCGTCACGATGAAGTACTTGGTTCCTATGCTGATCATTCAAATACTACGAATAGTGGTGGATTTCCACAACGTTATCCAGCACAACCTTCAATGTCATTCCCTCCGGTAAATATGGAGAATATACATAATTTTTTCTTTCCTATTTGCTTATTTACCTTTGCTAAATTATAGAATAATCTTATGACGAATATGAGTGGGACAGCTGTAACTGGTGGCAACAATCCAAATATGGCTGCATTGCAAGTGCAAAAATATTTAAACCAAGGAGGTGGACCTCCACATGGCGTTGCGCTTGGGCCACAATCTGTAAACGCATCAAATGCATCGGTTGTTGGATTCTGCCAAAATCCACCGAATTCAGCGCCAGCGGTCAATATGGCATCAAATGCTAATAATCAACCATCGGGCCAGCATATTCGTATGCTTGGCCAGCAAATCCAATTGGCCATACACAGTGGCTTTATATCCAGTCAAATTTTGACACAGCCTCTAACACAAACAACGTTAAATTTATTGAATCAACTACTCAGCAGTATAAAGGTAATTTAACACCACACAGTATATCTTTTGTAAAATCATATGTCAATGATTTCATTTCTGCCATTTAGCATCTTCAAGCAGCACAGCAATCACTTTCTAGAGGCGGCAATACCAATCAAATGGTTGCCAATTTAGCAATCGCCAAATATAAACAACAAATTCAGAATTTACAAAACCAAATCAATGCACAACAGGCTGTTTATATAAAGCAGCAGAATTTGCAACAAAATTCACAGCAACAGCATCAATCCGGACATTTGAATAATTCTGGAAATGATTATTTAAGAAATCATGATGCGATCGCCACACTACAAGGAAACTTTCCGGAGCTTAATCTTAATAAGGTACGTTTGTAAATGTATAAATAATTTAATTATGATTTGCAAATTATTTACATTTTTTAGCCAAGTGGCTATCAGGGTGCGCCTAATCAGCAGTCCCGCTTAAATCAGTGGAAGCTTCCAGTATTAGAAAAGGACACCATTGCAGCAGATAGTACTGATTTTTCGCGAGCTCCGGGTGCAACCAAGCAAAATTTATCTAGCAACTCAAGCAACATGGGACCATTGGGTCTACAAAATGATGGGTAAATTGAGATGCAATATTATTTAATGAGCCTGTGCGTAATTGACGTTATTCTGATTTACCACGCTCTCTATAGTACTTGGTCTACTGGACGCAATATTGGCGATGGTTGGCCAGATCCATCAATTGATAATGAGAACAAAGACTGGTCAGTTGCACCAACAGCAGCTGCGTATACCGACCTGGTACAGGAGTTTGAACCTGGCAAGCCATGGAAGGTAACTGTAGACTTGATTTCTTATATCCAATAACTACCCAAGCAGAAATTGATTTTTTAAGGGTTCTCAGATCAAAAGCATTGAAGATGACCCAAGTATAACTCCAGGAAGCGTTGCTCGATCTCCATTGTCCATTAATCCGACGCCAAAAGATGCTGATATTTTTTCCAATACTGGCAAGAACTCACCGACTGATCTGCCACCATTAAGTTTATCTTCGTCAACGTGGAGTTTTAATCCAAACCAAAATTTTCCTAGGTATGTATTAAATCTATATATATATCCTAACAATTCTGTATATATCTAACAATTCTGTATATATCTAGTTGGTCAGACAACACTCAACAATGTGCCACCTCAGAACTCTGGACGAGTCCTCTCAATAAAAGCTCATCCCGAGGACCTCCACCAGGCTTAAGCACAAATAAAGCGGGTGGCGTTACGGCTACTACAGCACCATCTCCTACGGTCGCCGGTAATTCCAACGGCTGGCTACCAAATCGAAGTGTACCCAGCACTAACACAACTTGGACTGGAGGCAACGCCAGTTCATGGAACTCGAGTTGGTTGCTTCTAAAAAATTTAACTGCTCAGGTATGTGAAAAATTGTTCTTGCTATTATGTATCTATATACATCTATGTGGATCGAAACCGGGCAAGCACCTCCAACTAGACAATACTGATACTTGTATTTTAAAATAAATTATATCATTAATGTAAATAATAGATAAGCAAGATTTTATACCGTACTTATTTTGAATTTACAGATTGACGGCCCTACATTACGAACATTGTGTGTGCAACATGGTCCACTTGTTAGCTTCCACCCATACTTAAACCAGGGGATTGCCTTATGTAAATATACAACGCGTGAGGAGGCTAACAAAGCACAAATGGCGCTCAACAATTGTGTGCTTGGAAACACAACGATTTATGCCGAATCGCCGAGCGAGAACGAGGTGCAGAATATACTGCAGCATTTGCCACAACAACAACAAGCTCCGTCCACCACAAACGCTGGCAGTGCAATTGTTAACAGTGGCACTGGTACCACTGGTGGTGGCAGTAGCTCTGGTGGCACAAGCTTATCTAGTGGCAGCAATAGTAGTAATGGCAATGGCAGTGGCGGCAACGGCGGCACCAACAGCGTATCAAATCCTGCCGGTTCGATCGGCGTGCCCAGCAGCAATGCCAGTGGAGCTGGTGGGGGCTCGGTCGGTGGCGGCAGTGCAGGTGGTAACAATAATAATAGTAACGGCAGTAACAATATGAGTCAATCAACTATAAATGGTGCTACAACAAGTGGTGGCAATACCAATACCAAAAGCGTCGTTACCAACAACACGACCGGTGGAAGCGTTGGCGGCAACAATATGACAACAGCCATGACTGTTGTTGGCCAATCAAATGTTGTCACTGCTGCGACCAGCGCCAATTCGACGTGGCGCCAAACAACTCAAGCTCTACAGGGTCCAAATAGGCCAGCCGGTAGGGAAGCAGACTATGATTATATATCTCAATTCGTTTGTTCCATTGTTGATGATTAGTGTGATGATGATAGTGATGATGACGATGATGATTGATTATAATGTTATATGTGGCGAGACAATGGCATAGTTTTTCTGTCTATCCAAAACTCATACACATATACTAATATATATATATATATATATATATATATATATATATATATATATATATATATATATATATATATATATACTCACACATATTTGGAAAAAGCTATGTTGTTGGAAGCGTATACACACACACACCTTAAAAGTGGATCGATCGACTGATAAACGAATGGACTTAGAATTTTTGTATGCCTGTAGATTTATTTTTTCTTCATCGTTCATAGTTCTTAGGGATGTATTTATGTAAGAAAAATTGATATATACATACATACAAACATACATACTTTTGGAAATGATACTTGAATTATTTAATTACACACACACAAACTTTCCTTTCTAATCGTATACAGTGCAGAGTATATATATGCGAAATGTTAAATTTTAATTTTTTAGATTAGCAGCAGTTACCCACAGTACTTTTATGCATATATATATATATATATATATATATATATATATATATATATATATATATATATATATATATATATATATATATATATATATATATATATATATATAGTGTGTGTGTGTGAATTTGAAAAGACATCCATATGTATCTCTCGTTTGTTTAAGTATGTACTTCGTTCCATAAATGTTTGAAAATTTTACTATTTTCTTTGTATTTCCGAAAACAAAAATATACATGGAAAAGCAAGCACTCTGAAATTTACCTGTGTTATATACATATAAATAGGAAGTTATAATCAATTGCGGTTTTGCTTTCACTAAGCATTCCCACCGAAAAAATTCGGTTAAACATTACATAAACAAATTAGATCACAATAAAAACAAAAGTTAATTAGAAAATCAATTTGCATTTGACAGTGTATCTCTATTTGGGATGCATGTGTAAATATATATATATATATATATATATATATATATATATTACTGGGAATGTTACCCTCTCTCTATCTCTGTCAATCTTTCTCACACACCTTACATTTACGAAATCTTCTCAGCCATTTCGAATCATATGGTCGCAACAGTTTTGTTGGTTGGAATTAACAAAGCTAAAATATCAGCTATATTATAAATTTATAGATTATCAGCCCAATTTCTATATGAGCATTGCTTCCAAGCATAATTTTCTGAAGAATATTCGATCTATTGATTTGCACTGGCGATCGCTTTAAAAACTGATGCTTATAATGCTTCTAAAACATTCGAGATCAGCTCAGATAAGTGCAGTTAGATTCGATACTATATGATATTTGATATGGGTATTTGCTGGTCGGCCACAGACTATAGTTTTGTTATCTTAACTATGAACAACTATATGAGCTCAGAGACTTATACATAAGTGTAACTCAGATAAACGTCAACAGTTATAAAAGGTATGTAAAAAAAAAATATGCAAGACTTCTTAAGCGAATAAATGAGATTGTTGATGGCTAGATAGTTGCACACCGGTGTTCCTTCGGTTTCCTGTCTGCCGTTTAAATGAATACAAAGAACGTTATTTCGAATTCGATATTTATCGAGACTTTCGATAAATGTTGTAAATTTGTATTGTAGTAGATTTAATTAGCTGTATGTGGTGATTAATTCTATCCACAAATATCCTTATCATATATATTGGGTTAATAATTATAATTTGTATCAGTTCAATTTTCCCTGCAACATCAAAACTTTGCCAATGTATGAAGTACATATTATGTACGTCTGTGGGCACCAAATAAAAGTATGTTTGTATGTATGTGCAAAGTAAAAAATTAAAATTACCGACTTTAATTTAATTAAAAAAAAAATTGATTGGGTTTTCCGGAGATATATGTATGTACATATGCTGATTGCGTTTGCTTTGCTGTGAAGGTGTTAAGCGTTATTGGTTCACATATGTATGTGTACATGTTTAAAACTGTGATTTCAATCAAAATAAGAAAAACCAAAACGAGAAAAGAACAAAATAATTCTTTCTGTCATATGTATAGAGATAGAGATAGGAAAATTGCAACTGGACATATTTCAAAGAAGTAACTAATATATAATAATATGCTTGCATATGAGTTCCATCACTAACAGAATAAGAAGACCGCATATTATGTGAACATTTATTTGCCTACATACATATGTACGTGCGTGTGTGTACGTGCGCTCACCACTAATGAGACAACAATATATAAATATGAGTATGCAGCCAGATTAAATGCTCATGTGTGTGTATATGTATGCATGTATATGGTCAGCAGTTTTATTTACATGACTTACATGTGAATATATAATGCTCATCACTAATAAGAACAGCAATGCTCACATTAATGTTATACGCGAAAGTACATATGTGTGTGTGTATGTATGTATATACATGTCCAGCGTAACAATATGTAAAACCGACACATGTATGTATACTTACGAATATTTAACAATAGCTGTTCACAAAAATTAAAATAAGCAAGGGATACAATTTACCATTAATATGAAAACCAGAATAATTATTTAATCTATAGTATAAATGTGTTATCTGTGTAATTTGATTAAGTGCATACAACTATTACACAGTTTTAATGATCAGAAATTATATATATATATATATATATATATGTATATATATATTGGTATCTTTTCAAATATATGTATATGTATATTCAGAGTCCAATGCACTTAGGGGAAATCAGTTATTTATTTAAGAAACAACAGAGACAATTTATCACATACATAATTCACATACTTATATCTTATTTGACGTAAGTCTTAAATAAAAATATATATATTTAATCAAGTACAAATGATGATATACTAGTGGACAGCATATTTAATTTTGAGTGGCACCGATTTAAATCTAATGGAGATGTGATCGCGGCTCTAGCGTCGATGAACGATGATACTATATGTGACGGTGTAATCGATATTTAAATACAGTTGGGATATGTCGAACAGGATTCGTCAGAGTACAAAATGATTGTTCAACAGAAGCAGTGTTGCGAAATGTAACAGGCAGAAGGAGGCGTGGCAGACCCCATAATGTATATATATCTTGATCAGGGCAACGAGCTGAGTCGATTTAGCTCTGTCCGTCTGTCCGTCCGTCCGTCTGGCCGTATGTTTGAACGCGTCGATCTCAGAAGATATAAGAGATAAAGCCTTGAAATTTGTTTCCCTAGGTCCGTGTATAGCACACGCATATCGAATTTTGTCCCATCGATAACTTGTCCCATATTAAGCCAACACTGCAGTCAATGCATGTTTAAGCGAGCGTCTGTGTGTGTGCGTGTATGTGTGCATATGCGAATAATTATTGAAATATCAGTTGCTCGAAGGGTTCAGGGGATCTCGTAGTCGAGCAGTCTCGACTAGAGCTTTCTTACTTCTTTGTTTACTGAGTAATTTCGTATTTTTTTCTTTTTTCTTTAATATAGTTTTATTGCAGCTTTTGTCTTAAACTCTATAGCGCATTTATAAGGATACCTTAACTAATGAAGTGGCTAAATGCCTTTATTACTACGAATTACGTTTACTACTTTAGGTCACTTCTCGGGTCCAGGGGGTGTAATCTTTTCAGCCTTCTGTTGATGGTGTTGGTGGATAAATTGGCTGCAAGCTGGTTTGGGTGGGCGGATATTCTGTCCGCGTGCCCAGTGCTGTGTCGGCCAATGAGCTCAGCAATTGTCGGCATCTCGAGGTCGGTGTGCAGGGCTTAATTTCTGACGAACCATTCGGCTCCGGTCCAAGTCTTTAGTGCTTTGTTTTGTGTGGTTTGAACTTTGTTAATGTGAGTTCTTGCAGCAGACCCCCATAAAGGCATTGCATAGGTGAAGACAGGAGCCACTACTGCGTTGTATATATGCCTCTTACTTCGTAGTGACAGAGGGCTCTCGCTTCTTAGCATCCAATCGAGTTTTTTTAGTTTGAGCTTGCACTTTTTGACTGTCTCAGTTATGTGCGGGCCATAGGTCAGTCTCTTATCCAGAGTGACTCCCAGGTACTTCACCTTGTTTGCCCGTGGTATTGGAGCTCCTAGAGTCACTTCGGGGCAGGCTCCCCTTCTGGTTGCAGCATGTCGCTGTTGCTGGGAGGCAACGGCATGTTGCGGTGTAGAGTGTGTATAATGTTGGGCCAAGCACACTACCTTGGGACACGCCTGCTCTGACTGGACGACTCGATGATTTAGCCTGTCCTTTTAGAACCTTGAAGCTTCTTCCTGATAGATAGGAGGCCAGCAACTTGAAGTGGGGGACAGGTAAGGCTTTCCTAATCTTGTCGAGGAGACCCAGATGCCACACCCGGTCGAATGCCTGCTTGACATCGAGAAAGACTGCGGAACAGTATTGCTTGTTCTCGAACGCGCCTAAAATGTGGTTGATCACTCGATGCACTTGCTCTGGCGTACCGTGCTGTCTCCTGAAGCCAAATTGATGCTGTGGAATGGTACTTCTTAAACTCAGCTCGTTCAGTGGTCAGCAAAGGCTTCGGCCTGCACTTCATCTCCAGTAAGCCACACACCAGTAGCACTCAGGATGGGGTGACGACGCAGAGGTTGCCTTTTCATATTGCGCGTAAATCGCCATAGCTGTAATTCCGCCCCAGCTGGAGTATCTGCTCGTTCAAGCGCCTCTCTAATACGCGTACATTGCATATGAGCCAGGGCAACTTTGAGCTGTCTGGTAGCTTCGTTATATCTGCTTTTGTCGCTGGCTATACGCGCTCTGATCCAACGGCTCCTTGTCCATCGTTTGTACTCAAGCAGATTTTGAACGTGCGGGGTGAGAGGAATGCTGTAGTGCGAGTGCATTTGATTGTGAGCAGCCGGAGCTGCTAGCAGCGCTGCCTCTGTAATAGCATCTTGCATTCTGTCTTCTGCAGTGCGGAGTTCTATTTCCGGGTGCAGTGAGGAGTGTAGAGTGAGCTTAAAGATTGCTAGATCCGACCCAGCGGGAAGAAGGCGTTGTCTGATCGGGAAAGGTTGAGGGTGAGCGTGGACGGTGACTATCAGCGGATGATGATCAGAAGACAGATCGAGGCATTCTTCAATGCTCAAGAGTCTGTCACATATTCCTCTGTAGATAGCGAAGTCGAGTCCTAGACTGCTTCGTTATCGTAGTTTTTTCAGATGACGCTCTGTTATTAAGTTATTATCCCCTGCACCCATTGAAAATGGGAAATCAGGGTATAATGGTTGTGTGAAAAAGTTTGTAACGGGCAGAAGGAGGCGTGGCAGATCCCATAAAGTATATTCTTGATCAGCGTGACGAGCGGAGTCTATATAGCCCTGTCAGTCTGTCCGTCCGTCCACGTGCGTTTGGATGCTTGTGTATGCATGTGTGCGTAAAAGAAGTAAATAGCCCTCAAATACATAACGCAAATACATACATATGTATATATGTATGTATATACATATATGTATGTAAGTCTGCACGCATAGCATCAAGCACTCCAGCCTTATACATCGCTCATTTTTATGTGTGTATGTATGCACGCATAAACGTGTACTCTGGCATATTCGAAGAATCTCAGTTGCGATTGCTTTGTCTTTGCATTGTTTTTGAACTTCCAGCCTACGCTCAAAAATGTGAATATTATAGGATATTTTTCGATTTGCCACGCCCCTAAAGAGGTGTTACAATTATTTTTGGGGCTACCAGTAACTCAACTATTCAAATTTGAAGCTTCTAGCTCTTAAGCTGTAGGAAAAATTTTGCAGTTTGCCACGCCCCCTATGGCCGGACATACATCTACCATAGTTCGTTGGACTTTGGTGGTCAACCCGCGTATATATGTATACCAAATATCAGGTCTCTAGCATCAATAGTGCCTAAAATATAGCAGAATTCGAAAAATTACTATATCTTCAGGTCAGATTTGCCACGCCCCTAGTAGGCCTAGATGTAAAATCGGAAAATGCATTTTCCGATATACCAGAAATCATGTTAGTTGAAGAGCTAGAAAGCTGAAATACGGAATATAGATTCGAACAGCATGCTTTTTGTTTACAGTGCGCATGTTTAGCACACTATATTATCAATACTCTAAAGACAACACATACCAATGAATTTCGTCTTAAAGAGAATTTTATTCTCTTCACGACAAAAAAAAGTTTTGCTCTATTTCCAAAAACAACAACAATATGAGTAATTTATTCGAACAGATGACTTAAGAGATACAAAATTGACCAGTATTAATTCGAACGCTTCGTAATGTGATTTACTATCATACTTAAAACAATAATTTAATTAATATTAGAATCGTGTAACGTCGCCCTTGGCCTATATTACGCATTCAACTCATTTTGGCATCGATTTAACAAATTTTTGCGGTGCTCTTGAGAAATTGAGTCCCACATCTCTTGCAATTTGAATTTCAAATCAGAAATGTTTGTTTGTGGCTCATTTCGAAGCTTGCCTTTTATTGATGGTGGCTAATGCCACCAAATATTTTCAATTAGGCTTAGTCTGGGCTATTTTATGGTCAATCTAAAACCTCCAATTGATTCCAGCCATTTTTGGTTCGTTTGGCTGTGCGCGATGCTGAAAAGCTCTGGTATTGATGGCCGAAAACTCTCTTTTAAAATATGAATGTATTTTTCAGCATTAACCATCCCTTCAATAAAATGCAGTTTTCCTAATCCTTTGCCAGACATACATATGTACATCGCCATACCATAGTGCTCGCAGGAAACTGTACGTTTTTAAGGCAGACGGATGACACCTTTTCTCGCATCGCCAACACTAACATCAAATTTAGCTTCATCGCTAAATATGATGGTATCCCATTGCGTTTGAGTCCTAGACATCCTTTCCCAACCCCATTGCAAACGTTTCTTGTTCGACGAAGCGTAAGCAAAGGTGCTTCCTTGTCATACGAGTAAGATAAGTTATTGGGTACGATGCATAGGTAATAACAAAACATATTTTATAAAAACCATATCCAATAGTTTTAAAATACAATCGCGTCCGTTCTGGCTTGACAGTTTTGCCAATTGTCTGCGTCCACTCAGGAGCCAAATTTCTTAAAGATTGGGACGATCAGCCTTAAGAATTTTGGCCAGTTGTCTATTGTCGCGGGGTTTTATTGCTAATTTTCGGCCTCTATTCGCAATAATATTTTCAATATTCCCATTTTTTTTTTTTTTTTTTTTTGGAAATTTGTTATCACCCCATGCACAGACGATCTAGACACATTTAATTGCTTGCTGATGTCCGCAAGTGTCCTCCCAGACTTAAAATAATCTCTAATCAATACTCTGATTTCGTTGCAAATAGGCTTACCACTTACCATCGTTGCTAAACTTTCACCCATCTGCACCAATTTTTAAATTTTTGCATTCTGTATTGCTATATTATTCGCAGACTATAACTAGAAAATGATTCTGTTGCATTGGTATATAGTGATAATATAGTGTGTTAAACATTGCGCACTGGGCTCGTATACTCGGGCTGAGCACCCAAGACCAAGACCATCATGTCCGCCCACAGGGGGCTTGGCAAACCGCAAAAGTTTATACCTCCTAAAGTATAATAGTATAATTTGGATAGTTAAGTTACTAGTAACCTTCTCTATCGATGACCCAAAAATAATAAGAAACTGAAAAACTGAATTTTGTACACTACTTAGCTACCAAATTGCCCGACTGCAACGTTCTTATTTGTGTTAGTATGCCACTACTTCAAAAGGGCGTATAACTTATTTTTCGCAATTCGCGCGCTGCCATGGGCGCTACGTCCTCCAGGTACGCCAATGCCAATAAAAATGTGGAAGTGTATGTGTGTGTGAATTCAGAAAAGGAGCGAAGAATTATTGGCATACAGTTCGATTGAGTGATTAGTCAAAGGGTTCAGGGGATCTCTAGAGCTTTCTTTATTCCATGAACACACACACTCTCTCTTTCTCTCTCTCTCTCTCTCTCTCTCTGTCTCTCTCTCTCTCTGTCTCTCTCTATTGTCCTTCCAATATATACATACTTGGGAACGCGATCCCATTTCTTCCCCTTTCAGTAAATATGGTTGATTTTGTATTTATAGATATTGTGTTTCAATTGTTTACTATGTGTATGTATTTATACAGAATTTGGTTTGTGCTTTCTTAATGGGCCATCGGGCGCCGTTAATGAGTTACATCTAAACTTACATTTACGAGTACAAATACAGTTCGATGTATACATCATCACTTAAGATATTCGAATATATGTAGGTGGTGCGGTAACTTAAATGTAAATCAAAATATGTAAATGTATGTATATGCACTTCAAGGAGTTCGCAGTCTAATTAAAATGTTAAAGTAAAGGTAAAACATTATTTAAACAACTTTTTATTTAATTTATCGAAAATTGTAACATGGTTTTCGTGATCAATAAAATGAAGTACTTCAACGTAGTTTTCGTCTTAAATGCCTTTTTCACCCAACTTTGGAGTTTTTAATAATTAAATAATAAGATTGTAATAATCGAAGCGCTATTCGGAGCTCAAGGTAACATTTCCTGCGCTCTTGCGGAACCCACAGCAGTGCAAGTTGAGGGTAGATCAGTATGTACAATTGAACATAATATTTATGTACATATACAAATAAAATATGAAAGTTAGTTATTCACCATAATCGTGTGCGTACATTTGTTATATTATTATTAATTTAAGTCTAGCATATTAAAATACACGCGATTTACAAGTTTTTGGAAAACTTGCATTGTAGAGTTTTTGGTTGAGTTTCTCTTAGTAAAGATTTTGGTTTCAATCCTTTAATTTACTTCATTTTTTTAAATATTTATTTTTAACTTATTACTTTTGTGGCATTCACAAAATAGGGAATATTGCTTTTCCCTCGCATTTAGGATGTCGGATTTAAATTCAATGTCCCCTTTTAGCAATTTGATTTCGGAGACTTTTGGAAGATACTTGCGTTTCTTGCCTTATTTTCTCACGCCCACAAAGGAGTATGTAAAAACTTGAAACATATCATCGGTCATTGACAAAATCCAATATATTATCTTTTCACTTGGTGAACAAGTATCAGACGACTCGTTCAACTGCATGAATTAACGTCCTGCTTGTTTTTTTTTTTTTTTTTTTGTCTTAATACTTAATAATACAAAGTGTAGGGCTTTGGTTCATCTACCAAAATATATGTTTTAATGCAAATGAGCTAATTATATTGAGAATTGTCCTCGTTGAGTTCTTCAGTTCATCGTCGATTAAAAAATAACACTTGGATGGGTTTTCTTTTCTTCTAATTTTGCTCTTACCTACTCTTGATATAAATACCGACTCGTACAGTTAGATATCAATATATACATATGTATATATGTAGTGATAATATATAGAGTGACTGTACGAGTAATAATGTGTCTTACATATGTATATGTATAGCTACATATAAGTTTCTTTGGAACAACGATTAAAATTAAAGGATTTAAATTTAGATCTTTTGGTACTACTACACAAGAAATATATCTGATGTCTCTGATTTCGTGCACGCACTGCCTGTCGGCGATGCTGCTGAAACCAAAGAATTAGCTCTGGTAGCAGCTAGCGGCGAGCGTAAGTCCTGATTGAGAGATGCCTGATTCTGACCGCCTTCATAGTAGTACGATGAATCTGCAACAAAACATATATATATATATGTATATAAATGATATATGCATTCTCTTAATATTTGGTTTCTTACTTATTAAGCCGCTGCTGGTTCCGTAACTGTACGATCCATAGGTCCCTCCATATTGGGTATATGCTGGACTATAGGCGTAATCAGTGCTTGGTAGAACTGATCCGCAGGCTGTAAGAAAAAAATTTAATCTAGCATCAAGAGCATCAAATTAAAAGAATGTAGAATCAAATAAAAATAGAACCATAAGTGTGCAATACTCTTCAAAACTAGAATAATAAAAATACAATTAATACTAATTTATTTTACGTTTATCAAATTTCGCATGACGTCATACTTTAGCAGTTAACAGATTATTTAGTTATCCATAGAGGTAGACATATCTCATTCCTAACGCTGATTTTATTACCATCCCTCCACCATTAGAAGTCTTTAAGATAAACGACAATATGATACGAGATTCAGTTAAGCTCAGCGTGCAGCGTGCAGCGTGCAGCTTGAAGCTTTAAGTTTAGTAGTTCCGTTAATTTGATTTTTAACGAAAGACGCGTGCGTCTGGGTGTTAGGCACTTCGCGTAATCGTGTGTGCTAAAACCACCAGCACCAGCACCACCACCACCACCACCACCACAATCATAAAAGTGTTTGCTGTGCGGAAGATATAGCATGAGTGAAGAGAGAGAGAGAGAGAGAGAGAGAGAGAGAGTAGCCAGGGTCAATGAGTGCGGGTGCGAGTGCGACAGGCAGTGGGAGAGAGAGAGAGAGAGACTTGCCTGCTGAGTAGTGGCTAAAACTGGGAAGCATTGTGGGCGTGGCATAAATAGCTGTGCTATTGGCAGCAATATAATCAACATCAGAGCGTCCGTCGGCCGTTGAGCTATTTGCATTGGCTTGTAAGACTATGAGAGATGAGGTATTAGCGCTTCCATTGCCGGACAGCTGGAGCTGTTGCTGCTGCTGGTGATGATGATCCTGGGCAGCTGATGAGTCTGGCATTAGATGATTAATGGGTATGTGCAAGTCAATGAGACTGCTCCCGCGCTGTTTGGCCATATCATTGCGTGCACTTTTGTTGTTGGTATTCTCATCGCTACACACATCATGAACAGGAGCTCTGTCTACAGTCTGAAGCTCATTAGCATTAGCATTGGCATTGCTATTAGAGCTAGTACTACCATTAGCATTAGCATTAGCATTAGCATTGGCATCGACATCGGCGTTGGCGTTGCCGTTAGCATTATCATTACCATTAGTGTTAGTGGGCGAATCATTGCAGTTGCCTCGGCCGGCAATATTGCCACGTATCACCGTCGTCGTGTTGGCACTGTCCAGGCTCGTGATTGTGGGATAGCTGCTGCCACTCTCAATGGCGATTGCTGATTGTGAAACCGTGAATTGACATTAATTTTCATTTAGAATGGGGCATTGAGATCGGAATGGAGGTCGCTAAGTGTATCATCTACAAAATCTGGCTGAGCACAGAGAGCCAAGGGAGAAGCGAAACCCAAGCAGCATATCTGCCAGTCGGTGAACTCTTATGGAACATGATTACAATGTCAGTCCGTGCAGCCGTTAGGTACGTGAATTGTGTGCATTAGAAGTCTTTCCTCTTTTTGTGCTCGGCTAATCCATAAAACTAGAATCTTAAAATATATGAATGTAGAAATCTTGCTCGTGGCAACCTAAGATAAGCCATTCGATAATTGAGCTACTGTTGACCTCATCTAATGCGAACGTATGTATTTCGATCGAATGTCGATAGTACTGATAAATATCGAGTTGGTCTCCTCGATGTGACTTGAAGTGTATTCAAGTGAGGGATACCCATCTCTACATGTTTTCCCATTGACTATTAAAGTATTAAGTAGGTATTTCCGCCTAAGGGTGGCACTTTAGATAGAGGGTCTGGACACCGTATTGTCACTCTGATATACATTCACTATACTCGTACTTGCAGAACTATTCAGATCTCTTACCTGTATAAAAGGGCGATATGTTTTGATCCTGATTATTTGCATTGAATTTCATGTCTTGCAAACTTAAAGGCACAAGTGGAGTCAATGAACTGCTGCCTACTCACACACACACACACACACACACACACACACACATGCATACAACAGTCACATAGATTAAGAAAATTAATAAATAAATATATAAATACAAATCATATATGTGTAATCATGCAAATAGATGCGTAGAGCAGTTGACTTACCAATCGACGGGCCTATTGGCGGCGTATAGAGCGAACTTTGACTTTGAGATATCGATGCGATGCTGTCATACATCATGGCCGAGTCGTTGCCGACGCCCGCGCAAGGTATTGTGCTAGTCGGATATCCATTTGGTGCCTCGTAGTAGGCTGGCCCACTGCTAGTCGCCGTCGTCGTTGCCGTCGCTGGGCCCGTAAAGTTTCCCAGCTCTGAGAGCAGCTTATGCTCGTCCTTGATGCACCATTTGCCAGACCAGATCTGCCGACCAAACCAACAAGATAATATTGCATGATTTACTACAACTACAATTTGAGGTGACTTCTATGTATCGATAGACACCCTCTTCTAGAGCGCTCTATAAAAATGGCCAGAATGCCTCCATCCGCGTCTGATCTATCTTCAACACGAACATTCTTATCATTCACTTTCTGTTGTTGTAGCTGCCTTTTCCCTCAAATAGAATAGCACTTACATTTGTATATATCTGGTCGCCGCCATAGGCTAATCGCTGTCGCTTGACTTCCTCCTCAGAGTTCATATTTACATCGCGGTTCTCATCTGAAATATGAATAAATCGAAATATTCTTCTCTTAAAAAAATAACAAGCAAGAAGGCTCTAGTCGAGATTGCTCGACTAGGAGATACCCTGCACCCTCCATGCTGATATTCTAATCATTCTGCATTTCTTTTATGCACACACACACACACTTGCAACCACACGCACTCACTGCAGTGTCGGCAATACTATGGGAATTTATTTGTTGAATAATTCCTCTTGTAGAGGGACTATCTTCATGAAACTTTCAGAACGTGATCATGATCATGAACGCGATTAAAAGCACAAGTCTCTAGTACTTAAAATACGTTTTTCATAAATTGGGGGCGAAAGGGGCGTGGTATACAAAATCTGTAAATTACAAAATCTTCGTAATCATCAAAAAATACACAATATCCTGATCAAGGATATATATACCTTACGGGGTCTGCCATGATTCTTCCTGCCTGTTGCATTACTTTCAACAAAACCATTATTCCCTGATTTCCCATTCTCAATGGGTTCAGGGTATAAAAATATATATTATTCTCTCTCTATGTCTCTGTCTCTTTCTCTCTCTCTCTCTCTCTCTCTATGTCCTTTTCTCTCTGTCTCTCCGTCTCTGTCTCTGCTACTCCCTCTCGCTTTCTGTCTCTCGCTCTCTGTGGGCCTCTCTTCCTAACTCCTTCCATCGCGCTTTCGTCCACCATCAAGTGCTTCACACCCACAGTGAACCCTCCTAATTGAATTACTGCTGTTACATTTATTGTCGCAGCTTTTCTTCTTGCGTGCCACGTGGCTCTTAAGTGCATTTACGCGTCGAGAGGATATTAGGGTGATATATATATACAAATATAAATTTGGGTGAATATGTAATCCCCTAGCATGCACATGTATGACTAAAAAGGCTTATATAGTCACTCGAGCTCTATGTTAATAAGCTGTCTAAATATGATTGTAACGGTTTTCCTTAACTGACTACACGACTAACAAAAGAAAAAAAAACAGAAAAATAATAAATAAATTAATAAAAACACGTGTCACAGCGCAGATGGAAAACAAATGACATGAGGAGAAAAGCTTTTCCTATGTAGTCTAAAGTGCCTAAAGCAACACAGAAGCATATTGAGGAAACTTTACTGACTTTCAGGAACTTGCTTTCTCCTTTCCATATATATAAGAAAGGTAAGTTTCAGGAAGCTCTGGACAAATGGCTGCAGCCTTAGTAGGCTCATGGACATGAGTGGATCCCTGAATGGATCAAGCAGAGCCTTGACATTCTCAGGGCTACTAGGATCCACGAGCAATGGAATTACATAGTTGGATCCTTATGCCTTATCGAAATATAGTGTATTCACTGAAAAGGGACTCGATCCAAAACATAACGGGCCTCTGAAATTTTAGATCTTAGAAATTGGAAATTGCAGTGATGGACCAGCTAAATGATGTGATGCAAGAAGTTATATTCGACGGACAGACATTTTTCCTAACTCTTTAAAGCTGTTGAACTATTTTATATAGAATTCGATGATTAGATTCCCAACAAGGAAAATCATTATTGTGTATAGGCCTATAAATAAAACGCGCTGCCTTGTAAGGGCGTTACAACATTTTTTTACACATGTGGCGAAAAAGACATCAGACATCAGACATCAGAGTAAAGGCAAATGGACACCAAATGTAGTAATCGCAATCGTAAGCGTAATGCTAGCTGTACAGAAGAAGGGGAGGGGACACGATGATGGGTGAACATGCTCACGCCCACTTTTCAACCCTAGCACTCGCATACGGCCTACAGCCCAGTGCAAATAAATGGGGGAGGCTGTCTAACGACATTTTGACCAGAGATATTCAGTTTCGTTCTGCCTTGAGAAAATCAAAAATGATTTGAACAAATTTGCCACAAATTCAAGCCTAAGTATCTAATACACACACACACAGGCTCACAAATGCCTTTCCATCTATAGTCTTCCCTCGGGGGAATAAGCAATCTGTCGACTAAGAGAAGAGCACAGCACTGAATGCTCGGCATGCTTGAATTTTGTAGGTTCAAAGTTTATTGCTATTTTATTACCCAGGGAGCAAGGAAAGGAGAGGAATAGTGCTTGGGAGAGGCAAAGAGATTTGGCAATAATTGATAAATTAATATATATATATATACATGTATGTATGTATGTATGTGTGTTGCTGTAATGTTGTTATTAAAACACCATAGCCACCACATTGTTTCCTAAGTTCCGATTTCCACGGGCTGTGACTCGTTTGATACCCATTGGAAGGCCTTAGAAATATTTAGAATGAGTGGGGTACATTGGTTACTGGCAAGAAGCATCATTGTGTCGGGCATGAGTTTCGTTCTCTAGGTGTGCTTGAAATATCAGGGTATCTTGTTGTCGAGCATGCCTCATTTTTACCGGGTTTGTTATTGAAAGCGACAAGTGCCAGTGGAATTGCATTTAAGAATCCCATCTGACATTATTACTTAATGATGTCGCTCTCTCTCTCTCTCTCTCTCTCTCTCTCTCCCTCTGATTCTCTGTCGCTCGCTGCCAACCCCCTTACGATGCTGAAATACGCCCAGATACTGTATACGAATTGTTCGTATCCTTGTTTCGGTATCTGTATCCGTATCTTTATCTATATCGGTATCTGCCTGTACCGTATGCCTTCTGCTGCTGTACCACTAACCATCACCCAATTAAGATGATATCTCACTTTGGCCTACTGCTGGGGTTTGATTTCAACCCATACACACATATGCTCTGCGGCTGCGGCTCGCAGATGGCCTCATAATACGGCCACAAAGTGTAGCCAAAGTGAAACCTGGCAGAGACTCCCTAGAACAACGCCCCAGTAAACGTTATGCAAATGGATGTTGCACCTTGAATCTTGCACCTGCCGCCAAGTTTACTAAGTTCAAATCGAAGCGAGCCTGAGCCCTCTCCAACTACCGTAGAGTCTTCATATGGTTAGCCCCTTAGCTGTGGCTTTTAGAGCGAGCTAGTGCGATGATAACCTACTTCGCGAGAGTCCTAGCCGACTGTCGATTAATTACGACATTTGATGGGGTCAGTTTTAGTCATTAGTTCTGGATTTGCAGTATATTTAATATGAATTCATTTTCGATGCAATGTTTGTGTGTGTGAAAGAGCGGGGGAGCGAGAAAGAGAGAGATATAGACATAAGATAGACTGAATGTGCCTTACCGTGGATATCACTTCGCTTGCGTTTACAATCGGCAGCTGACGTATTGTTGTTGTTGTTGTTGTTGCTGTTGTTGTTGTTGTTGCTGTGTATGTGATGGCCATGCTGCAGACCCAAAATGCCATTTATGCTGTATCCCGAGCCAGACGATCGATGCTCCGTGGCAGTCGCTGCTGCTTCCGCAGCCGTTGTAATGTTGTTGCTGCTGCTGCCGCCTCCGCCACCGCCTCCGCCTCCGCCACCAGCGCCGCTGCTGGGGCCAGTCACTGGTTGGGCCGTCGCGCCTAGACCGCCCACTGCACCTGCGCCTGCGCCCGATACGACCGAAGCTGTGCTGTTGTTGGTGTTAGTGCTGCTCGAGTTGTTGTTGTTGCTGTTAGAGATGGCAGCTTGCTGCTCGCTAATTGCGCCGTTGCTGCTGTCGAGGCTCTCACTTGCGATATGTCCATTGCTGAGGTTTGGTTGCATTTGCTGCTGCTGCTGCTGCTGCTGCTGCTGGTGGTGATGATGCACGTGTTTCGCTTTCTCAGCGGCTTTATTTCGAACAATTCTGCAAAAGATAGATAGATAGATAGAGGCACCTATAACCAAATATCTGCTCATGCTAAGTTGACTGAAAAGTTCGCATTTCATTCATAGGAGCTTTTGCTAGCCCTATCCATTGTTAGTTCGATAAAATGAACCAGAGGCAAATGACGAAATGGGGACGTGGTTTGGATACCGCCAACAGAAGTCGATCGATAGCTCTATCTCTGATCTTGAAAGCTCTGACAATCAGTTCTGGCAAATGGAAATGAAAAACTGCACGAATCGGGCTTCGAATGGCTTCCAGATCTAGACTTAAAGGGAAAGATCGCCGGAAAAAAGTCTATCGTCGATAAATTGAGACCTTCTTTGAGAAAAAAAATCATATCCATTCGAGGACGCGCATCCACTTCAGTTCTACTTTCCCAGCCACTTCGCCACCCAATTGAGGTGTCCAGGTGTGTCATGATGCGGCATCTGCTGCTGATGTGGGCACCTGGGGACTGCTTAGTGCGGAACATTCTTTTTGAATGAGCTCAAGCTTTACGTTTATGGTCGCGACTCCGATTAGGTGAGAATGCATAAAAGGCGAATTTAGCCACCTCAGAGCTCTAGAAAAGATGTAATTGCGGGGCAAGTCTAGTCGGCGGTCTATTCCAGGGGACTGAAGAGGAGCGTTCCCCCTTCAGGTCTTGCTCTATTGTACTTGCTTATACAATATTTTCATGGGCATAAAACTGCATGAGTGTTTCATTAACGCAGAAATCGCTCGCCCGTCCTCCCCACCTCCTCTCCCCTCGCGTTCAGAGGGTTGCAAATTGAGAGGGTAACTCAGGCGGAATCAAATCAAATTATATATTTCGAAAAGGACAATCTCACCGGGTTAAGAAAGAGAGTGTGTGCGTGAGAGAGAGAGAGAGAGAGAGAGAGAGAGAGAGAGAGAGAGAGAAATAGAGATGGATACTGAGGCTGGAATTACTAGTCGGACAGTGCACACAATTGGGACATATGTTTGGGCTGCGCGATATTGTGCATTGCCTACACATTGTTCGATTTGTTTACTTGGCTTTGTTGGACTTCGGGGAGAGGGCCAGGCGATTGGCTTACGTTGAGTGCTGCGAAAGTCACTTTATAAGTGCTATTCTCTAGGGACGCGCTGTGAATGGGTAGCGGCAGCAAGAAACAAAAAAACGAAAAAAGAGCAAACAAAAAACAGAAGAACAGAAACTGGACTGGAATTACGCCTGGTACCTGCTGGGAGAGCGAGAGAGGGTCTGTCGCACACACATACTCTGCTGTGTGCGTGAGTCTGTGTAGGATTGAATCTGCGTCTCAATCATCGCTCGGGTGACATGGAATCACACATTGTCGCATTATTGCAAGTTAATGCTGATTATCCCCTGGAATTACCCTCGGCCACAGGGTAAGCTCTGCGATTCATCCCGACCACTCATCGCATCCTGGCGCTTTGCATACTCCTCGTCCTAGTCGTAGCGAATTGATTCTGAATGGCTGCACGTGCCGCGTGTGGTTGCAGCGCCCCAGCAAATATTCAGCAATGTGTTTTAGATGACTTTGTGGCGGGTAGAAGGCTGCGTGGGATGAGGTGTGTAAGTTTGTGGTGTGTGTTTTGGGTGTGGGTGTGGGTGGGTGTGGGTGTGGGTGTGGGTGTGCTGAACAAGTGCGCGTTGACCTTAGTCACCTCTCACTCTTCCACTTGACAACAAACGCCGTCGCGATCTACCGTCCGTCATCCGTCGCACGTCGCACGTCGCCCGTCGCATGTCGCCCGTCGCCCGTCGGTCGGAATTACAGTTATTGTGAGTTGTGCACAGCTAATTTATGGCTTTTCGTAGAGCCAACGGCGGCGGCGACGCCGATCCAAGCCTTGAGCAGCTGCCTTCTGGCATCCTTAGCCAAATAAAATGAATTATGGTCAAAGAGGAAGTGCGTACATTACAATCCGCTAGGATGCCGGCAACGCTGCGCTGCGGCTCTGCTGCTGATGAGTATGGGATGGCAAGGAGTGCCGCACCGGAATCCGAGAAGGAAGCTAGCTTTTGTGGTGGTCGTGTGTCAAGCATTGTGCCGCAATTATGAACGCTGAAAACTACTTAGATATTTTTATTAGCCGTCTCTCCACAGTGTGTGTTTGGGGCCAAAGCCGCTCCCGTCATCATGGATTTGGCACACGGATGCGGATGCGGATGCGGATGAGGAAACGGATTCGGATTCGGATTCGGATTCGGAACTAAGTTGCATGACAGCAAGCAAGCATTGCGACACTCACCCAGGTTATAGCTGGGGAACTAACAATTTTGCTGGGTTATACGATACACGATATGCGCACGATTCGAAATCAAAGAAATCCGAAATCCTAAACATGCACTCATGGTCAAGGATATCCTTTTAGCTATTGTATCCACGCCCTCCTAACTGTGATACAAGCAGTCATTGCGCTCGCAGAAGTTTCTAAGCTTAAGAGCTACAAACATAAAGCTTCAATATGGGGAGTCAATATTATCTTACCGATTTATGGACGATACGCTGGGCACATTATCTTGCGAGCAAATGCCTTCTGCCAGCAGCCGATCCCGTATCTCCCAGGCGAACATCGTCGGGTTCTCCCGCTTGTAGTTGGCGATCGCGTCAACGACTGGCGGCGTCGCGACCTTTGGCTTCGAGCCGCCTATGACGCCAGCCTTAAAGCTACCAGTTTCATAATATCTGAAAAAGTAAGAGTGGAAGGGAAGTGCGTCGATAGGCATTATGGACTAAAGGCCAGAAGAAGAAATTCTAATGGGCTAGCAGATACCATTGTGTATTCTATTTGCATGCATACATACATACATACACATACATATATACACATGCACATGCATGCAGCAGATGCGTTCGCTCCGCCTGTAGTTTCCCCGTAGTCTGATCGATCTCTGTACTATATATAATAGGTACTTAAGTATGTTTATGTAGCAAAACCAAAGAATTTTCCAAGGGAACCCCTGTCTGTTTCTTAGGAGATGAGTGACAGTGTTCAGAAAGTCTGCTAGTCGAGCATGCCCGATTAATGCAGCGAGCACGACCAAGTAGACGTTAAAATGCCAGTAAAAGCTTAAAAAATGCATGAATCTGTCTGAAATTTTGGAATCAGATTCATTTGATATATTTAAATAAGGAAGTAAAATCATTTGTGTCCCATTTTGATTCTAAATTTAAGTTCTTCAGATGGATGCAAAAAAAGAGCTATGTATGCAGCTCATCATCGCGTTCATCTTAAACTTTTTTAAAATATTTACTAATTTTAATATTTTGCCCAAAGAAAATCACACTAGCAATGCGCTTAGGCATACTTTCCACCCCTTTTCCAACAGCGGCTTGCGGAATTTCGTTCAAAGCCCCTCATCCCAGTCGGTGGTGTATCTCACTTTGAGAGCCTTTTTCAAGCAAAGCCCATACATTTTTAATGGGGTTTAAGTGTGGACTTTGTGTAGGCGACTCTATCAAAAGTTTTGGATTATTGAGTCAATCATTGACTATTTTCGCTTTGTGCTGCTGCAACACGACTTCTTCCTCGGAAGACGCACTATTATCCACCAAATCGGGTAGGTGGGTCTTAAAAATATTCAGATAGTCTTCCTTCAATATAATTCCATCTATCTCAATCATCAGGTCGATGCTCCACCATGTGAAGCAGCCCCATAACATCAGGCACACTCCACTATGCTTCATGGTCATTTTGAGCTAATGCTTTTGCAGATTTCCGCTCGGGATCCCCTGAACCCTTCGAGCAACTGATACTTCAATAATTATTCGCATATGCACACATACACGCACACACACAGACATACGTACGCACGCATAAACATGCATTGGCTGCAGTGTTGGCTTACTATGGGAATTTAATTGTTTAATAACTTTTCTTGTGGATGGACTATATCCCTGAAACTTTCAGATTATAAATATAACATAGATATACATGTATTTGCCAAAGCACAAGTCCCTAGTATTTGAAATACGCCTTTTACAAATGTGAGGGTGAGGGGGTGAATTAGGGGCGGGGGGTGAATTTTGACAAAAACCGAAAATGTATAAAATTTATAAATTTATAAATTTATTACTGGTTTTCGATAATGTTTTTAATCCATAACAAAATAACGGGGCAAGCTCTCGATATTTAAAGCAAAACTCGATATGTGCGTGCTATACACGGACCTAGGAAAAAAATTCTTATATCTTCTGAGATCGACGCGTTCAAACATACGGACAGACGGACAGACGGACGGACGGACAGACGGACAGAGCTATATAGACTCAGCTCGTCGCCCTGATCAAGAATATATATACTTTATGGGGTCTGCCACGCCTCCTTCTGCCTGTTACATACATTTAACAAAACCATTATACCCTGATTTCCCATTGAAAATGGGTTCAGGGTATAAAAATAGATGGCTGACGCATATAAATTCCTCAATTCGGGCACTGTAAATGCCGATTGCCACGCCCCTAGTGGCGATAGACTCCTCATTTTTGGCCAGTTCTTAGAACGACCAACCGGTAACCTAAATACAAAATTTGAATTCTTACGCTCACAAAATGTGAAAATTACAGGGAATTTTTCGATATGCTACGCCCCTAAAGAGGCGTAACAATTATTTTTAGGCCAACGATAGGTGAGACTACCAGTAACTCAACTATCCAAATTTGAGGCTTCTAGCTCGTAAACTGTTGGAGATATAAACTTTTGCGGTTTGCCACGCCCCCTATGGACATACATCTACCATAGTTCGTTGGACTTTGGTGGTCAACCCGCGTATATATACCAAATTTCAAGTCTCTGGCATCAATAGTGCCTAAAATATTGGAAAAATCACTATATTTCGGCCGGTTGAGCTTTGTCGCGGGGTTTTATTGCTGTTATTCGGCCTCTATTCGCAATAATATTTTCAATATTCCCATTTTTTTTTTTTTTTTTGGAAATTTGTTATCACCCCATGCACAGACGATCTAGACACATTTAATTGCTTGCTGATGTCCGCAAGTGTCCTCCCAGACTTAAAATAATCTCTAATCAATACTCTGATTTCGTTGCAAATAGGCTTACCACTTACCATCGTTGCTAAACTTTCACCCATCTGCACCAATTTTTCAATTTTTGCATTCTGTATTGCTATATTATTCGCAGATTATAACTAGAAAGTGATTCTGTTACATTGGTTGCTTTTGTTTTGCTTTCTTTTGAGATAAAAGTAAGCTTACGCAGGGTTCGAATTAATAGAGGTCAATTTTTCTTATCTTTTAAGTCATCCGTTTGAATAAATTACTCATATTGTAGTTGTTTTTGGAAGTTGTCATCGTGAAGAGAATAAAACTCTCTTTAAGACGAAATTTATTGGTATGTGTTATCTTTGGAGTATTGATAATACAGTGTGTTAAACATTGCAAAAAAACATGCTGCTCGAATTAATAGTGGTTTGGGCTCGTATAGAACTTATGAAAAAACGCCACTATATATTGAGAAAAAAAAATAAATAAAAAAAGCTCCTGCTCCTCCTGTACAATTACATTTTTCGACAAACGATCATTTCGCGGGAATGCGACGAAATGATTTTATTTCCCTATTGAAATATATCAAATGAATCTAATTTTAAAATTTCAGACAGATTCACGCATTTTTTAAGTTTTTACAGGCATTTTAACGTCGACTTGGTCCATGATATATATACAGATGACTATACATCTATATATTGTTATATATACATATATATACATATTTATATATATGACATATATATAGATGTATAGTCATCTGTCAGCAGAGACGCCTTGATTAATGCAAGCATTTTGGAACGGAACCACCGATTTTACCATTTCAATTACAAACAATTTAAATGTCAGCCAACGTTTAGGTCGAGGATGCGAGCTGGAGGCTGACATATGAGCGGGCATGGCTCTGCAGAGTCCTTGCACAGGGCCCACCCAGCCACATGTCCATGCGACTGAAGAGATTTATTGGTCTTATTTACATGCCATGCTGTAGCTGCATCCGTCGCCCACCCACGCCGCTGGCCATTCCCTAGAGCGGGAACGTATGTATTTGCTGGCAGGTAGAGGGAATGTGAGCTCCACATAATTAACCAAGCCAGTCGAATCACCTGTTTGCATCGAGCTGCCGCAGCAGCTGAGTCCATTTCGCCATTTCGGTCGGCATTTACAATGGCTTTAGACTTCGATATACCAGCTAACCAATTTGGGGGTCGATGCTTACGAATATCTAAGACATGTATAGGATCCCCATTGTGCGTTGATTCTAGACCCGGAACAGCTACCCATTTGCCGTCGGATGCGACCGACTGCATTCACCCGTTCACTCTGCAAGAATAGTCCCTTATCTCCCTATCGAAACCTGAGCTTTAGTCAGCTGTAGAGCGGGCATTTCCATCATTAGCTGCTAGGCACATTCGGGTTAGTTGATCCTTATTGACTTACCTGGACAGTATCTTCGAGACGCAGCCATGGCTAACGCGCAGTTGACGCGATATGTCGCAAGGACGAACGCCGTTGTGTGCCAGCTCCACGATCCGCTGCCGGACTACATCGGGAAGGGGGCGTCCATTAACGAACACGCCTCCCAGCTGATTGACGCCGCCATGACCTGCAATGCAATTATATTTACCAGTAAGTAATCCTGGCAGATACCATCAAATCAAATGTATAAATAGATTCTATAGTCGAATAAGCAATTTGACATAACACAAGCCACAAATGGGTTCAGCGTGGATTTGATGATTCTCTTGACTCCATGTAGCCCGTAGATCACATGTAGTAGATATATATGTGCAGTACGTGAATCTTGATCCTGGATCTAGTCAATAAACATATGGATATTTGCCGATCACCGTTCATGGGTAGTTGAGTTGGTCAGCCGTTGCCTCATTGTCGTTCCGTCATCTGTCGTTTCAGAGCATCTGAAGAGGAGCAATGCAGCGGTAGAGCTTGTTGATTTCAGCTGCAGAGCTGCAGATGTCGCTTTGCCCATTGCTCACACTTGCTAACGATAAGCAACAGTAGGTCGGGCTCACACATATGTAGGTCTGTGGCACCTCCGACTATGCTTTAGAGGACTACAGGAATATAGAGAGCTATTTGTGTATTGGTGTCGGCTTATGAAAAGTGCAAGTCGGCCAGGGTATCTGGTATTCGATCACCTGCTAGTCTATATTTATTTGCTTTGAAGAAAAGGTGGTTTTCCCTTTACAGAAAGTCTCCTAATTAGGTACGATTTTTGCTCGCCGAAGCAGACGAAGCGTCACGGGTGAGCAACAACAAAGACGATCTGAGAAGAAATCTCCTAATGACAAACACGAGAAACCGTCAACGCAAGAGTCGACAGTAAGAAGCTGGGAACGGAGTCGGGAGTGGGGAGTGAAGAGGAAGCAGTTGGATCTCGGAAGATCTCGATATCGGGAGTCTTCATACATCATTTATTTTCTTGCACTTAAATTTCGCACTTGATATGCCAGTTTTAATGAAGATCAAAAATTGTTGGGAGAACGTCAGGCGCAGAAGCTCCATACGTTCAATGTCAGGACAGAGCGTTGCTGCTGCCCGCTGGAGTCGATGTAGGTCCGTCTCATCGGACGGACATTCCGCCCTTATGTATGAGCGCTTCAATCGCTGAACACCAATGACAGCAAAAGAATTTCTGATTTACAAGTTATCCCCCTCAAAGTACTCCTAAGATCGTTGCATTAAGGCATGCACGGCTGCACAATGCTTGCTCCCTTATGGGAGGGAACATATGAGCTGCTCAATAGGCAGTCGGAGTCAGAGGAAAAACAATGAGTAAGGTAGGCGGTCAAGGAACTCTATCTATACACGATGCACGACAATATATTCCCAATTTCAAAAGTCGAGGAGAATTTGTAGAAAAAACTATACAGTCAGTCCCGACTCGCCACGCTCCTTGAGGGCGATTCTCGGTATATCTCCACCAAAAATCCAATATGCCAAATATAAGAATTAGGCATTAAGGGGGCTATCCACAGACGAACTTGTTACGCGAACATGTTCGCCGAGTTTGTCTACTAACTACGGCGTTTTCTTCGACAACCTTATATGGTAATTATAATTTGTCCCATGATTTATTGCGTGACTTTTTATTTTGATATTTTTTGCTTTTATTTATTTATTATTTCATTTTGAAAGCAATCAAGAAATTTTCGGTTCATTTTGGCCTGTGTTGACTGTCCGAAATATTTCTAGAAATTATGTTCGTGCGAGCACTCGAACCCATTGTCGAACATGTTCGCACGAACACCCGTAAGATAGAAACATTTCTATTTTTATGCGAACACAAACGGCGAACAAAATGTTCGTACGAACATTGCTATCCACATTCTAATATTTGACGAACACAACATGTTCGTGTAACAAATTCGTCTGTGGATAGCCCCCTTTAATGAGCTCTATCATACCAGATATAGATATATTTTCGGCTTTGTCAGCCTACTGGAATGTCCAGGGCATTAGATAGTATTCGATATGTCCTCATAACTATAAACAAATAGATAATATGCGGAAAGGTCCAATAGTCTATATCGCAATGTCTTCGCAATTCAGTTTATAGAATGCAGTTTATCTTGGAAATGGAATAACAAATCTAATCTAACAAATCTAACTGCTAATCTAAATCAAATTGGCACGCGATGATTTCCGTCTGTCGGTTTGTTCGTTAGAATTAAAGAATTAAGATATTGTAATTGTAAATATATATCTATATATATAAAACAAAGTCGGGTTTGTTACAAGTCTTATAACTCGAGATCTGCTGGACCAATTTTCATGGTTTTTGATTTGTTGGATTTGTCTCCGCTCCAAATAGCAGAATATATCTTAAAAATAGTGCAAAATTTACGAATACTTGAAAAATGCATTATCCCTAAAAGTTCTTTAATTTCGGAGCTGTCTTTGCATTGTCATTTAGAACTTTTTTAGAAGGCTTGATACCAATGACAGTTTTTGGTCATGTTCTCATTTAAAAAAATTATGCATGCGAGTGCATATTCAGTATTACTATCAACAAAATTGCCGCGTCCTAGAAGATCTAATCTTTCCCAGCGGACCCGGAATGCGATTTGACAACGGAATGCCGCGAGTCAATTATCTGACGAAGACCGAGAAATCGCCGGAGGAGAGCGCCACGTTAGTATGGAGCAAAGAAGGGCCTTAATTCGCGCTTCTCGAACACAAGAGCAAAGAGAGGCAGATTAGAAACGAGAATTCGTCGAGCTTTTCGTACAAACGAACAGAGGAATAATCTTCGAAGTGCAGGAAGAAATGGTTCAAGTATTGATTTGAATCGAGCAGCGTTTCTATATGATTGCACCATCGACCTCACCTTGCATCGTTTAGTTTGCATTGGTGCATTGAAGTTTGCTGGTGAAATGCCCGGTTTGTGCCGCCTTAGTGGTAAAGTGGCATTGCCATTAGTGGTTCCGCCACCAGAGCCATTGCGTTCCCCACTAGAATCACGGCATTTTCTAGCGAGCACTCAAAAATACAATGCCTTATTGAAGAACACGGATACAATTCGACATTTAAGGTGATTTACGTTAAAAATTTTATTTTCTATGATTGTAAAAAAAAACTTGCAATGTAGTTTGTTAGATTTCTGTAAAAAATCTAGCTATAACTATGGCTTTGAATGTACAGATTCAAGGCCAGGTTTGCCATCGAATTGGATCATTGCAACCTATTGAAGATGCACAGCTCAAATTCTTGCAGATATACTTCATGGGCAATATGGAAGAAGAACTTGACCGGCGTCAAGAGATCAACACAGCTACGAAAAGAGCAATTCTCTAAGATTTGCAGCAAATGCTTCATGAACATCATGCATTGGTCAGGCTGTTCAGGTGAGGAAACTACCGAGAGGGTTAGCTCGATGAATTATTGCGCATATCGTTTGATGATCCGCGAAAATTCTGACAATTATTTGAAAGGTAACACGACATTCTTTGACTGTTAGGCAATACGAAGCTCGCCGGGTCACCTAGTATATATGTATATATATGTATAAGTTATATTACTTCAGGGCAGACTTCAGGGCAGATAAGACAAACTTTGTAATTATGAAATTTAGAATGATTGATGCAGATGCAGGTAGGATGAGGATGTCTCTTACTCGGGCCCGGCCCATCATCAAATCAGGGTATAATGGTTTTGATAAAAGTATGTAACAGGCAGAAAGAGGCGTGGCAGACCCCACAAAGTATATATATTCTTGATCAGGGCGATGAGCTGAGTTGATTTAGCCCTGTCCGTCTGTCCGTCCGTCCGTATGTATGAACGCGTCGATCTCAGAAGAAATACAGTTGAAATATGGGCGGAATGTGTCAAAAGCATTCATTTTCTCGGTCTTTCGATTGTGGCGGATAATTGGCGAAAAGCTTAAGCTACTTGTTGAGAATTCTCCGCGACAGCCCTGTTGCTTTATGGACGAGTTAAGGACTCAGAGCAGAGCTAGAGAGATATAGAGATCTGCTTAGAGTTTTGCTAAGAAGAAACTAAAGAGAAAAGCTTGACACATTCCTGGACTTCTGGAGCCGCCAAGCGAAAAAGTGGAACAGTTCAGCAGGTCGATATCTATACATATATCTACATATGTATATCTGCCTGGAGTAGTTCACGCTCTGCAACGACTTATTCGAGATCAAGAGAATCAAGCAAGCAGGAGTCGTAATTCCATTTAGAGGACACCGCACGAGTCCATGAAGGACAAAAGGATCTTTGAGTGCCTGACAGACTGCCAAAAGGCAAATGCCAAACTGCAAACTGCAAACTGCAAACGGCAAATAGCAAACAGTAAACAGTAAATAATAAATGGTAAATGGTAAATGGTAAACGGTAAATGCGATTGTCATTTAATGAACTATTGACTATCAATGGGTCTCACAACTAAATAGATATTGTTTACCTAACAAAGGAGGACCCTAGAGGGAAACAAAGTCATGTTAGTGAAACCGACCCTCGTCTCCCCACATTGTATAACTATTGTACTACTATTATACATATATATGTATATATATTCTATTGTCTTTTATTTGCGTCAGTTTGTCCCTTTCGATCCCATTCAATTTTCGGGCGACGAGGAATTCGTATTATTATTCTTCAGCTCCATCTGCACGTAAGTCAATTGGAATACGACGTCTGTCTATGAAATCCTGCCCAGATGAAGACAAGTTTGGGATATCACGATACCTTTCGGCATCTATTCCAGTCCGTCGCTGTGGATACGAAACTGTTATCTCTTATTGAGTCATATAGAAGGAATGAAGAGTTCAAAGCGTTATAAACGCATATATTTTGACGTCGGAAAGCGAAGGGTATTCGATATTGGATATATGCATCGGACTGGCTGGCATACGTATTGACCCACTGAAAATGTATTACCTAGATCTAAGCTTGAGTCAAAGAGCTCTGACTTTCGACTTCCACAGAGAGTCGGGGGTGGCAGGCAGATAAGAGCTTGTGAATATGTACGTATATATAGATAGGTTTTAATTTTCGTAATTTATATACATGTGTAGTATTCCATCATGTTTTGATTGTAGCGATACGCTGTAGAGAGATCCATGTTCGGCTGTGGCGAGTGCTATCGATGACTAGTTGGGCCTCGAATATAATAGTGCTGATGTGTCGAAGGACTCTCAGTTCTATTTCTGATGCATGTGGGCAGGAATTACACTAATGCACGACACTGATGAGATAACTTTTGGGTATGCCCGCGCGCGAGATGCCCAATAATGAGCCGGCAAGGGCGACGAAACGACACCGATAACGATAACGATAACGATAGCGATAGCGATAACGATAACGATAATGTGCATTCACATCCTCCGATTTTCACGATCCGCTACTCCGGTGGCGTGGCGTGGCGTTGCTGCTGTATTTGTATCTAATTTTGTGCCTGGCATTCAAAGAAAAGCGAGCCCCGAGCCAATTTCCTTCTTTACAGTTCTATTCTTTTTTGTGTACTCTAAATTTTTTCGTCGTCGTCGTTTGCTGTTGTTTTACTTATTATAAATTTTGCGACTATTTTTTTCTTTCTTTTTGTGTTTTGTTTTTAGTGCCGTGAAATATTTCAAGCCATTTTTTCCGGACTGTTTGCGTTCAGTAGCTGAGATCCTGCGCACGTTTTGTTTCTTATCTGTGTGCTTCTGTGCGTGTGAGTTGTGTGCGTGTGTATGTGTCTGTGAGAGTGCGACTGTGTGCGAGTGTTCTGTGCGTCTGCGACTGCAGCGCGTGTTTGTGTGTGCACTGCGTGCTGAGCGTGTCCTTGGTCCTTGTTTCGCCACCGCACTCGCCCAACCACATCGGCATGCGCATACTTCACGACTGCCCGACTCCGACTGCAGCGAACCAATGAAGACGAACCAACAGCCGAGAGACACAACCAGAGCGAAGCGTCATTCGCTTCCTATTCTACAACTCGGCTCTGCATACTGGATTATGTTACAATTGCTTTTGCTTCTGCTGCTGTGGCTGCGACAGCGACTGCGACTGCGGCTACTGCTGTTACACTCATTAACGGCAGTGGGGGTGGGGGTGGGGTTAGGTGGGCTGCTACAAAAGTTGTGGTGGGCAGTTGGCTTCGCCTTCTTCTGGATTGGCGCTAAATGCTTAAGCCCACGACTTATGGTCAGACACCGTCTCTCGAAGTGCGGGGGTGCGGGTGTGGGAGTGTCTGTGCCTGGGTGTGTCTGTGTATGCTATAGCAAAATACTATCTTTGTAATTTAGCGCTTCGCTATGTCTCCCATTTATCCCGAAACCTGGATAGAGAACTGGACATGCGTTAGCTCATTTGTTAAATTATATCTTTTGATACAAGCGGAGCCTGTGCATTTAATAATATACGTGAAGTTCCATAAAAGTGGACTTCAATCGATATCAGATTTCGACATGGACGCTAAAATTTAATTTTGATGCCCTTTATCTGTTATATGAATACTTTGCCCCGACATCAGAGCAATACTTGTATACAGAGCGAGGTTTACTGTTACTGGCACGCAGTCAGAAATGACAGCCCACGCAAACACACCACACCACACCACACCACACCACACCACACCAGACCAGACCACGCCACACACCACATCAGCCAGAGTGAGCAAGAGTTAGTGAGAGAGAGAGGAGAATGCACCAAACATGAAGTCGATGCCCGCCAATCAGCACTAAGACCAAGATGTGCCTAGCACCAATCACAGCGAACAGTTGACGTTTCTCGCTTCTACCACTTAAGCACTTGCCGCTCTCTGTGTTTGTTGTATTTCTTTATCTTTCCATCTCGCTTGCGCATCCAACGTTCACGCTTTCTTGTGATTGCTTGTTTCTGTTTTCGTTTCTGTTTTCGTTTCTGTTTCTGTTTCTGTTTCTGTACGTGTGCGTGCGTGTGCTTTGTGATTGTGTGTGCTGGGGGGCTACGCGCTATACTAGAAATGATTGCCTTTTCGTATTCTATGAGCACGTATGATGATGACATCAAGTTGTCACATAAAGACAAAGTAATTATGAGGGCGACAAATATATTAACAAATGGCTTTCTCCCACATTCATTCATAGCTATATCGACACATACATATGTATGTATATACATTTGTGCCAGTCGGATCATTCTAGTGATACTGATGTATATATCATATATACACATATCCGTTCTCGCATTGTTCAGTTCTCTGTTTATACATAGCCGTATCACGAGACTAGCATCTGTGCCTATCGAAGGCGCGCTAGCACATTTGGTTCAAGATTATATTCCGCGTTCGACAGATGAATAGGAGATTATTTAATACATATTGCAATGTACGAATAAATGTGTAAATGATCTCTAGCTCGACATGCAATTTGGAATCCCTCGTTGCACACTATTACGAAACTCCCCCAGGGGTCTGACAAATCGGAAAAACCTCTATCTCCTATTCCAGAAAGGCGATTTACACATCCACACGGGCCACACATTGACAATCAACCGGGAATCTTCCATGGTGTTCGAATCACACATTCAACCAGTTTCAAGCGGAATTTGATGACCTTTCAAACTAGAGACTTTCCAATCCGAATGAAAAAGCCTGAGTGGGGATATGTTCTCCATGGCTCTAGCTTAACTCTGCCGCCTGGCAGTGTGATGGAATCGCTAATAACCTGACCAGATGTTACCTCGCTTCGAATTCCCAATTGTGTGTTCAAATGTTATGAGATACACCGCAGTCGACCTTGTTGCTTCCCCCAATCTGTGCTCATTTTGTTTTGACAAATCACTTTCAACTTATGTTTTGACTTTCGAGCAACATCGCTGGGGATTTGTTTTAATTATTATGGCTCTTTGCATTTGCCTTTACCCCCACTTCTACCTCCACCTCTACCTTTGCATTGCTTCTGCCATCGGTTTTGCCCCCTCTCTTCGCCTTGGCGCTGCCTTCTGCTTTTGCTTTTACAATTAAAGTCGAGTGACGTTTCGCACTGGGACTTATGCATCTATCCAAATCAAAACTGCAATTACAATAACATAACCTAATGTACATAATTTGCATAATTCGAAATCCGAATACATAGGAATATATATATACATACGTCTATGTGTGTCTTCATATATGGAGCAGGCCTTGAGCCCGCTTTTTGGGGCGCACTGCGTCAGGTCTTTGATTGGGATTTAAGTTTGGATTTGGATTTGGGTAACTATACGATGAAAGCTGATAATGTCTATTGAGATCACGTTGAGATAATTCAGCAGTCGACAATGACCGACTAACAGATACCCTGAACAGCGCTTCATTGTGATGAACCATCGCAAAGTGAATTAAACTCTTCTGTCTCACGCTTGCGTCCATGCGAACGGACGGACGGAGAGACGAACAGACGGGCGAACTGATGAGAATGTTGCCAACTCCAATTAATTAAGTAGCGAACACTGATCTACATGGTTTGAGAGACATCACTTAACTGGACTGAAGCTCAATAGGGTTTCGTATTATTCACATCTTTCCCATTGGCAATGAGCTCAGGCGGAAGAAATACGCGTTAAATAGGAGTAGAATTCGATCCATTCCCATGTTGATTTCTTTCGAATAGGAAGGAAACCGGATTTGGGATCTTGCGGCTTTTTAACTTGAGCAAACGCGGCAGAGAGTCAAAAGTAATGTGGGATAAGAGAAGACTGAGGAGTGGAGAGGAAAGATGGAAGAGGGAAGAGGGAAGAGGGAAGGGGGAAGGGGGAAGTGTTTTGCACTCGTGCGGTTATTAGCTTTGCCTTATTGCCAACAGTAGAATGTGTTTATTTGTTCTGTGTTCTCCTTATTCTTGCACTCCTCTCCGCTCCTCTGCCGAAGCACGAAGTCCAAAATTGTAATGCATACTCATGGAGCTGAGAGTAGGCCGCTGGTCTCTAGCCAGAGCTCTGGCCATGGTTGCTTGATAGCCATGTGAAGGCTAACAAAAATATTGCCCGCAACCCACAACCGGCGGATGCACAGATACAGATACAGATTCAGATACAGATACAGATACAGATACAGATACAGATACAGATACACACCTGTAGAGCTGCAGGTGTACATTCACTTATCCAATACCAACGCAGAGGATTAAAGAGAAAAGTGCATTTCGATTCGGAATGAAAACCTGACAATCCCAGCGATCTAGAGTTGAAACTGAAACTAAAAACGCATTTGTGGTCGAGCTCTGCGTTTTTTTCAATTAAACACGTAAGTTACCTGAGACATTTTGCGCCTGACCACAAATGCGATTAGCCCATTCCCGCGCCTCACTTCACCACACTTCAACTCAGCTCAGCCCAGCTGCGTCAATCAGATGCGGACGCCAGGGAAGCTTTCGAATGTCCAGTTAGTTTTGATTATTTGTCACGAGAGATAATCGATAGCCTACTTAAATGTGCCTGGGAATCTTGTCGACATTTACATGCCGGCTGCACTTGTATCTGTCCGTCAGCCACTGAGTATTAGGTGTCAAGCTCACCTGCGAACCTAATACACCCTTACTTACCATCGCCTGAAATGCTGCCTTGCGAGCTGTGCGAATCTTCTGAAATGCAAAGAGGAAGAATAAGAGATGAATCACAAATATATTATTATGTGGATTTTTATTACATATACATATATATTACTATATATAAAATACGTTGCTCAAATCCAAATTGTGAATGATTCTTTCAAATATAATATTAATATTAAAATATTTAAAAAACAAGTAAGAGCGTTGCAGTCTGGCATTACCGACTGCGGAATACTCATTCACATCCCATCAGCAATCAATCAGAAAATGCGTTTTTTTTTTTGCCGATTTGCCACGCCCCTACTCGGCGTAGACCCGGTACCCTCGGTACCCTAACTGAAAAATGTTAATGCTTACGTTACAAAAATGTGAAAATTACAGAGTATTTTTCGATATGCCATGCCCCTAAAGTGGCGTAATTTTTGGGTCATCGATAGAGGAGGCTACCAGTAACTCAACTATTCAAATCTGATGCTTCTAACTATTATACTTTAGGAGATATAAACTTTTCTGGTTTGCCACGCCCTTGTGGGCGGACATATATTCGTCGAAGCTTTTTGAACTAGGGTGGTCAGCCCGAGTATATAAATAAATTGGAGGTCTCTAGCATTAGTAGTGTCCAAAATATAGCTGAATTAAAAAAAAACACTATATCCTCAGGTCCGATTTGCCACGCCCCTAATGAGCGTAGACATATAATTTTTTCATTAATCATAACATTAGCCTACGCGTGATTTCATACCGGCGTTTCAAGAAAACCATTATACCCTGATTTCCCATTTTCAATGGGTTCAGGGTATAAAAATACGACAATTACAGGGTATTTTTCAGTGCTCTAGTTTTAAAACTGTAGAAGATACATACACATACACAAATATGTACGTGTAAATATAATTCACATTTAGTCAGTATAGCTATTACCTGCATTATTTTGAGCATCATTCATGGCTGATATCCATTCGACATTTCCCTGTGAGTGAGCCAGAAAACTGCTTCCAGATAGAGTCGGGGGAGATTCCTGCACGGCGGCAGGCGTGGACAGTCCTCTCACCAAGCCATTCGAGTATTCGTCATACTTTTGCACTGCAATGGCATAGTGATACATTGGGATGGTAAAATCAGATAGGTGTATTCTCGGCGGGTGGGCGTGCCGGACTAGGAGATACCCTGGCACTCTGGCTCTGCTATTTCGACTTTTGATAACTCGATATCGATTTCAATCGGAAACTGTCGTCTATCGTGGTCGACTATATCGACTTCTTAGGGGAGGGGGAAGGTTATCTGTTAGGTCTGAGGGTATCTTCTTCTTCTAGTCAATCCACAGCGCATTCCAGTTGCAATTTTATTGCGCAATCCGTGACTAAACTTTTTTTGTTTTGTTTTGTTCCTTTCTTTTTTGGTTTTTATACCCTGAACCCATTTTTTTTTTTTTTTTTTTTTTTTTTTTTTCATTTAATTCGTAAATGAAAACTCAGCAGGAGAACAATGTCTTTACGGGAGCATGTGCTCTACTCTTTTCGACCAGAACACTTGCCTTTCGGGCGAGTGACTCTCCTCCCAGTACCCCTGTCCTAGTTACAGGCTTAGGCTATTGTTCTTGAGCAATATTTGTGCTCGAATTCCTTCAGTGCCCCTATACATTCCTCCTCCTTTCGGCTGAGGCTCCTAAATAGACCCCAATGCTAGCTTTTTTGTATACACTCGCTCAGCTCAGGGCGGGTATATACGGACTACCTGCCTGGAAACTTGGGACTCGGAACACAAGGGACTGGCGGACGGCTTTCATTTGTTTGAGACTTTAAGTAAATAAAAGTCTGTTTCAACGTGGATCTGGGCCCAAGCAGTCGATAGTACCCGACATGAGCTTCTCTTACCTTTGCCGTGGAGTTTTGAGTTTTGAAAAGAAACTTTGATATGTAAATGTAATCTTTTGTTTGGCTGGAATCGAATCGTTTAGTATAATCACACACTCCTAGAGAGAGATTGAGTGATAGAGAGAGAGAGAGATAGAGAGAGAGAGAGAGAGAGAGAGAAGCACATTGACCTATTGCAATCTATTGCCAATAATGTTGCTGTTGTTGATTCTCATAAAATGATTCATTTTGAAATCAGTTTAAATTTCATAAACGAATTTTTTCAGTTCTGCTCTCTGATCTACAAATTTCCTCCACTATTTCTCATTTCCCAGGCCCTTATCATTTACCTTCCCTTCTCTCTCATTCGTGTATCATTTCGTAAATATGCGTAAGTATGTGTGCATGCTTATGTGTGTGTGTGCGTAATGTGTGTTGCTTGACAGGGTATGTGCTAGCCGAGCTTGCGTCCAGCCGCACACTCCCCAATTCGCACCCTCCGCTTACCCCACCTCAACTTACCCTTGGACTTGTCATCCAATTGCGCTGAGGTATATATTTGCTGATGCTGATGCTGATGCTGATTCTGATTCTGATTCTGATTCTGATGTACTGTGCCGTGCTGCTCGCCAGGCGCAGAGCTTTGGAGTGAGTGCAAAGTTGATGACGCGCTGCTCATCTGCTGTGGTAGATGATGTTGCTGCTGCTGCTGTTGCTGCTGTTGCTGCTGCTGCTGCTGTTGCTGCTGCTGTTGCTGCTGCTGCTGCTGCTGCTGCTGCTGTTGGCTGCTGCACAGCGACAGGGGCTGAGCTTGTGATTGGGATTGGATAATATGGTGTTGGTGCGTATGCTGATGCTGAGGCTGCGTCTGATGCTGATGTGGATGCAGATGTGGATGCAGGTGCGGATGCGGAACTGAATGCGGATGCGAAAGCTGATGTACTTGGATCGGCGAGAGTGCCGCTAGCCCATGGCTAAGATGTGGCGACGTCTGCATTTCCATTATACGCATATCATGAATACCTGAAAGAGCGAACGAAGAAACGTTTGGGCATCAGTAACTCAGCTTCTTGAGCTTAGTCTCTTCTTGATCTGCACAGGCCTAGCCGAAAAACAGCTGAATGAACACCACTGGCTTCTGCTATGCTGGCACCTGTGGAGTGTTGCATATCTCAGGATCTCCTAAATGGTGCGCTGCGGCCAAAGGCTAGACCAGCTTGTAGATATATGGGTTCACAGAGACCGCTGTTCTATATATACATACACATAGATTTATATATTTGTATATATACATATATATTTTCATAATTATAGATAACTAGACAAAACTGTGCTCTACTTAGAGCTCCGGTCGTCCAGGCAGCTGATGATGGAGATGCTTAGAACAGTTCAATGACCATGATCAGCAGCCACAAACAAAAAACGAGCTGCTACCAGGCATGAGCAACGGACAAGCAGACGGACCGGCGGGGACGGCGAACAGAACAAGATTGTAGTAAGCAGCGAAAGAATGGCGAAACGAGAAAGAATGTGAAGTCTGGCGCTTCCGAGTGCTCTGGGTGGGGTGCACGGCTGGCTGATACCTTGAGCTGCGGCTGACTTCAGCCCAGATCTATTCGAAAGCCCCATCTAAGATTGCCAAAAATGTATAGCTGGGCGTAGATACCTTTTTTTTGGTCAGAACGAGCTAACTGCAAAATTTGGATGATTACGGTCTAAAAATGTTAAAATTACAGGGAGAGAGGAGGTTACTAGTAGCTCAACTATCCAAATTTGAAGCTTCTAGGTATTATACTTAAGGAGATATAAACATATATCCCTCAAAGCTTTTTGGTCTTGGGTGGTCAGCCCGAGTAAATATACCAAAATTGAGAAGAAAGAACCATAACATTAGCCTACGTGCGAAATTTCAGCATTCTAGCTTTAAAGCTCGAGGAGATACAGTTTTATCCAATTTGCCACGCCTCTAATGGGCGTAGATATATCCGCCGTAGCTAGAAATCTTGGGTGCTCGATGCGGATTTCACAAAACCAATATACTAATTCGCTTTCGTGAGTGAGTATAATAATTCACGTTCGTGAATGAGTATAACAAGTAAGAAAGCACTAGTCGAGACTGCTCGACTACGAAATCCCCTGAACCCTTCGATGAATTGATATTTCTTCAATAATTCTTCGCGTTTTTCTACTTACACAAGAACCACACACACAGACAAACATACATACAAATACATATGCATAAGTCTACATTTAAAGTTTGGAGACTCTAGCTCTAAAACTTTAAGTCTTTAGCTCTTATATCTTCTGAGATCGACGCGTTAATACATACTTCAATTGACACAGTGAAGTTATCAATTGAACGATGCTAATACACCCGCTTGAATCGAATGTGAACGAACATCAACACGCGGCAATCAGTAGCGCGGGCCGAGCGTACGTTTCAGTGGCAGCCAAGAGCAGTTATTGCTTATAGTTACCATAAAAGTTACCATAAAAGAAAGTTAAGCGAGGCAAGCGACGAGGATGCTCCAGCATCATATTAATGATCAATCGATCGTAATGATAATATGATGATTGCAGCTAAGCTAAGCTATCTATATCTATATCTATATCTATATCTATATCTATATCTATATCTATATCTATATCTATATCTATAACTATATCTATATCTATATCTATATCTATATCTATATCTATATCTATATCTATATCTATATCTATATCTATATCTATATCTATATCTATATCTATATCTATATCTATATCTATATCTATATCTATATCTATATCTATATCTATATCTATATCTATATCTATATCTATATCTATATCTATATCTATATCTATATCTATATCTATATCTATATCTATATCTATATCTATATCTATATCTATATCTATATCTATATCTATATCTATATCTATATCTATATCTATATCTATATCTATATCTATATCTATATCTATATCTATATCTATATCTATATCTATATCTATATCTATATCTATATCTATATCTATATCTATATCTATATCTATATCTATATCTATATCTATATCTATATCTATATCTATATCTATATCTATATCTATATCTATATCTATATCTATATCTATATCTATATCTATATCTATATCTATCTCTCTCTCTCTCTCTCTCTCTCTCTCTCTCACTCTTACCCTCTCTCTGTCTACCTCACTGTGGGGGATGCAACAATGTAAAGCCATAATAAAAATTGTCGCGCTCATTTCAGAGCAGCCGTTCTCCTATATTTCCCGCTTCGTTCTTTGGTACGAGCACGAGCTGTGCAAGTGCCTTCGGTATAAGCGCGCGCGGTCGCTGGTTTTATTCACTGCTCACCTGTTGTTTGTTAATTGACCTTTTTAGGACTCGTCCTCTTCTAGAGCCAAGTGCATGTGCATGTTACATTCCTCTTTAGTGTTTGGTGTCCGGTGATTAGGGTTCGTCGGTCGGGGGTCGGGGCTCGGGGCTCGGGGCTCCGTATCAGTCTGTCTATGTAGTTAAATATATTTCTATCGCCTTCCCATATACTGAGTGGTCGGAAACATCTGTTGACCATGAGCTAAAAAATAGTGTTGCCCTGCATAATTTAATATCCATCTGCCAACTTCCTCATCATCCTCTATTTCTTTGTTTTCCGAATTAGTTTCTTCTAACTATATTCTTGGTTGAACTTCAAGACGAGATATCTATGTGTGTATACAAGTAGTTGAGCAATTTAACCGTGAACCATACAGAGCACGACACTGCCGGCTCTGCCTAAAGGTGGCGGGAAAATTTAAAAACAAAAAATACAACACAAACAAAACAACAAACAAAGCTAACAAGCTCCCAGCTCAAGACTTTTTACATAGTTCAAGTACAAATGAAGGACTGCTTCTTCCGAAAGAAACTGCAATTCACGACTAGAAAATACCGTTCTTTATGAACTACACATATCGGACCGCCAAATCCTTCTGCATTTACTTGAGCTTTATTAACTAAGATACGTACAACTCCAGATGCAATAAATAGGATAGCCAGAGATAGAGCTCTATTTGATAGCACTGAAATTCCCTAAGAAGCTCACGGCTCGATCCCTCTCTTTATCTCTCTCTCTCTCTCTCTCGTTCTCTCAGTCGCTCGGTGTGGCTGTTTTACTCAGACTCGCTTAGATCACATTTTGGCCGCGTAATACATTCAGTTGTTGAAAATAAAAGTGGGAAAATAGAAACGTTTTTTCACACGAGTCGCGGCGCATAATGGCGGCGACACTGAAGATGACGACGACCTAGCGCAACACGAGGCATACACACATCCACATACATATATATATGTATATACATCATATACAAGCTTCACTAAGAAACGGGAAAACAAGCTCAAGGTCAGTAGCGTGGGTAAATTTTGCAGATAGCTCGGCGTCATGTTAATACAAAGACACCTACAGCACTTGATGGGTATGTATGCATGTATAGAACAGTTGAGGTCATTAGGCAGAAGAAGCAGCATTAGGCAGGAAGAAAGGCACAGCTTAAGAGCGGTTTTACTTTTGGATACTGCGAATCACTTCCGAAATTTTCAACACTTTTCATTTCATTTCATAAGAGGAATCTGTAAGTGCTGCGTGTAAAGATAATAGCTAGTCGGACTTGCCGACTTGAGCCACCTAAATTCTTCAATTTTCGATATATTAAATACACTTTGTACACAAGCACTTTACTTTTGCAATCAAAATGCTTCTGACTAATTTTATGGCAATTCAGCTAACATTAGCAACTGTACCTGTTTCTTGATCTGCATATATCTAAATCGAATAGTATGTTCACATTTACACCCACATACAATATCTATCATTAAATGCAGGTCGGACCAAAATTTGTACCAAAAATTGATCATCAAAGATTTCACTTTATAGTTTTGATTCACTGAAACAAATCAGAAGCACGCAACTCAATCACTTACTGTTTTCAATTCATTTTAGTTCAACTGAAGTTGGGTTTTAATTCAAATTATTCACTGTTCGGTAGCCAATCTGACTCTTATATTCGCATTCTGAACGAGAGAGTACTCGCAGTAGAAGAAGAAGAAGAAGAAAAGTGGTGTTTGTTTCACTTAATATTTGCAACCAGCGGCGATCGCGCCTTCTTTCCGCCAGGTGGATCGTAGACCGCGCTTAAAGAGTTCTTAGGTGAAACTGTTTGGCTGTTGAATGTGAATGGTCGGCGGAAGCAAGTCGAAGCCGCGCTCTTCACTAGCTACTCTCGACGTGAACATACATATAAACTGACTTACGCGCGTGTGTGCGTGCGACATGCACTAGTGTATGTGCGCGAAAACTAGCCTGTTGAGTGAGAACTGCTTCGGCACTCTCCATATATACAAGTGCATATCGGTGAGCATGTATTAGTGCATAGGCATTCGTCTGTCGTGTACGAGTGTGTATTCTGAGCTGCTCTCTCAAAACCAGGCTTGAGCGCAAGAGACGACGGCTTGTGGGGCTTTACGGTTGGTCGGCTTCGTTTTCACTCAAGCGGGCCGGCGACTAATCGGGAACGTTTGCCGTTGCTTTACCTGCTGCGCGAGCGATTTTGTTGTTGCTGTCGCAGTCGCAGTCGCAGTCGCTGTAGCTGTAGCTGTTTTTGTTGTTTTGTTTACTATTTTATTGTGCTTACACGATCAACAGAGGCGCGATTTCCGAGCTTGTACACGTACATACACATTTATAAATGCGTGTTTCGTGTGTGTGTATGTGTGTATGTGTATATATCTGTGTGTAGGGAGCTTAGAGAAATGCGTGTGGATATCTAAGTAGACAAGTTAATATGTACATATGTGTATGTATGTATCGCACGCCAAGCCCGCCACCGACTGAGATACGCTGAGTATCCGCTGGACCTATGTATAAGCATAACCAGACATACATATGTACATACCAGTACATATATGACGGTATGTTTGTATAAAAAATATGTAGGTACATGTGTGTTTATATATATATATATATATAAAATATCTAAACAGTAACATTGTGGAAAGAATACATTTCCATTCTATGGTTTTTTCTACCCTGAACCCATTGAAAATGGGAAATCATGTTATAATGGTTGTGTTAAAAGTATGTAGCAGGCAGAAGGAAGCGTGGCAGGCCCCATACAGTATATATATTCTTGATCGAGTTTATCGTCTAGAATCTATAACTCATCCCATTCTCATTTGTTATTGATTAAAAACCTTATCGAAAATCGGCAAGAAATTTAAATCTACTACATCATTAGAGCTAGAATCGCCAAATTTTAAATGTACATCTAATATGTGGATTATTACTTATTCGTCCGTTCATCATCCACATAATATTCATATGTATATACTAAAGTCAAGTACAAGTGCAAGTAAGAAGGCTCTAGTCGAGACTGCTCCAGGATATCCACCCTGAACTCTCCAAGCTGATATTCTAATCATTCTGCACTTCTTTTATACACACATTATTTAAAATTTGGATGCTTACGCTAAAAAAAATATGAAAATCTTTCGATATGCCGCATCCCTAAAAAGTCGTATCAATTATTTTAGCTCTTAGTTTTAACATTTGCGGCTTGCCACGCCCCCTGTGGGCGGACTCAGCCCGAGTATATATACTGCATTTGAGGTCTCCAACATCAGTAGTGTCCAAAATAAAATTTTAACACTTTATAAATCGGAGATATACACGAGTAATTGTCCCACATTTCAAGTCCCTAGCTACGATAGTGCCGAAATAAACTGCGTGCATAGGGGCAAGACGAACATTGCACAAAACCAATATACTCATTTGACTTTCGTGAATGAGTATATAAACAAAGCTACAACAATAACTGCTGCGCCAAAATATATTAACACATACACACATATAAACACATACACACATTGTATGGGCATAACACTCTCCACACACATACATACACACACTCACCCACACACACATGCAAAGAGGCATCATATCGGTGTGTAACAAAATGTGCTGTGATATATGTATGTATATCCGCTCTCTTCACACTCATTGAGCAGGTGTTGGTTCGCTAGCATAGATTGACAAGACGGCGCGTGCCAAGCAAACGGCGACTACCGTTGCACAAACCACAGCCGAAGGGTAAGGGAGACAGAACGACAGAACGACAGATCGACAGTAGGAGGGAGGGAGAGAAAGAGATAAAGACTGATCACTGAACCATCTCCAACTCTGCTGCACTACACACATTCGTTCATTACACGTAGTCCAATAATTAGCAAGGCCTACATACATGCCTATATAGGAAGTCGAAGCAGCAATACTCTTATAAGTGCATAATACAACTGTATGTGTGTCTTATGAGAACAGGAGGAGCTCAGTTCTTGATCAAAATCACTGTAGAGGTGCACAGCAAGCGGCTGTTATCGACGAAATTCGAAGTCTTCAAGTGCGTAGCCGAAATAGCTTTCGCCTATGATAAGATACTGTGATTATGGAGTTGAGGTCGCAAAAGGTTTCTACGGTCATAAGGCGGGTTGGTTGTCCACGTTAAAGACGCAGCTGCTGGCTTAAGACTCGGGCTGCACACATGTGCTGTACATACATATATATTTATACATACATGCACACACAGTGCTTGTCTATACATACATACATTCAGTTTGTTTTCCGTGACCTTTCATTTTTACAAGTGAAAACCTCTTTTATGCTACCCAAAGCCCGCGCTTTCTACACAGAACACCTGTTTGATAGATGGAACCGTGACGCCGATCTGAAAAACCACCCCATACATTCCCTATTTGGTTACCTTTACCCTCCTTATTCCTTACTTCGTTTTTTAAACTCATTCACGAAAGTGAAATGAGTATATTGGTTTTCTTCAATGTCTGTCTTGCTGTCCGTCCGTCTACCCGCGTGGCAAATCGGAAAATGCATTTTCCGATTTGTCAAAAATTATATTAGTTGAAGAGCTAGAAAGCTGAATTGAGGAATGTAGCGTCGACCGCGTCGACCAGCCAAGATAAAAACCTATGTCGGATATGTCTAAGCCCATTAGAGGCGTGGCAAATCGGGCTATGGCGGATATATGTCCGCCCACAGGGGGCGTGGCAAATCGCAAAAGCTTATATCTCCTACAGTTTAAGAGCTAAAAGCTTAAAATTTGGATTATTGAGTTACTGGTAACCTCCTCTATCGATGACCCAAAAATATTTGTTACACCTTTTTAAGGGCGTAGCATACCCTGTTATTTTCACATTTTTTTAGCGTAAGCATTTCAATTTTGCAGTTACATTATCTTCAGCTCGTTTTACAGTATTAGAGCTAGAAGCCCAAAACTTAGCTACGATATTGCTGTTGGGTTGTGAATGAGTATTATGCTGTTGGTAACGCCCGACTGCAACGTTCTTACTTCTTTTACCTTTAATACGTGATACTAAAGTCTTCAAAGAGAGGGTCTGGGTTCAACGCTCGATTCAGGAGTAGGAAACAGCGACAACAGCAAAAAAAAAAAAAAGAATATTCAAGTTGTTTAACATTCCCGTCTACATATGTATATATGTATATATGTATATATGTATATATGTATATATGTATATATGTATATATGTATATATGTATATATGTATATATGTATATATGTATATATGTATATATGTATATAGATAATAGATCTACCAATATAATAGATTTGTAATAGAGTCCAACTCATTCCCGAAGCGCCTACAGCAGAGCTCCCAGGACGGAACCACTGATAGCATGGTTGCTTAGGTAACTGCTACAAATGTTACATATGTCAGTGGAAGGACATCTGGGTCCAATTCGAATCGTGTATCCGTAGATCGCAATGGGGGTGGCAAATCTTAATCTGCATTAGATTGATCAATAAGTGGTCCATATATTTATACATACGAATGCAAACCCTATATGTATATGGGCTGCTTATAATGGGATTTGGACAAGGAGAGCGAGAGAGAGAGAGAGAGAGAGAGAGAGAGAGAGAAACGCCGTACGATCGTACTGTACCATCAGAACTGCTGGTTACGGCTCAAGTCGCCATATTGCCTTTGGCCATATGTATGTACATATTATGTAAAGTACAGGCCCCACTACAACCCAGCTCTGCTTTCTACTTGCGGATCACAGCTTATCCCATTGGAATATTTGAGCACTAGGATTAGGTACGCTAATCACTTAAAGTACATATTTTATGTTTCAAATCAGAACAGAAATCCTATAAAGGACTTCATTGTCGTGTTTATCAAGTTGATATATGTACATATATATATGTATACGTGTATACAGGTATGTACAATGTATTTTTACATTAAATGTGATACTAGCTATTTTTTGTAAGACGTCAATGCTTGTATGTATTAAGTCGATGTTATGATTCGATAACTTAGCTAAATACTGAAATAGTTGTATTTCTCTTCTTCCATATACATACAGTATATACCACACACGCATACGCATACGCATACGCATACGCATATGCATACACATAGGTATGTATATGTACATTCATGCATATGCGTGCGTAAGTATGTATGCATGTACATATATGCAAACATATTTATGGACTGTATGATGTGAGTGTATAGTATACATATGTATGTATGTGTGTATGCATGTGCATCATATGTCAAGATGTACATACATATCCCATATAAATACATGTGGATGTATGTGTATGTACGTATGTTTATGACTATGTTAACATACTACATATATGTGTGTGTGTGCATTCGTGTGTATATGTACATATGTACATATGTACATACGTACTTTAGTTGGTGGACATTCGATCCCCACTAACATGCATTTGAGTACATACATACATACACACATACGTGCCCACACACCCACTCTCGTGCACATGTAAATACATACATATGTATATGGATCATGTGTGTGTGTGATGATCGTGCAACCATTTTATTTTGTTATATTATGCTATGTATGGCTGTCTGTATATGGGCATATTTGTGCAAGCAACTCGGCGTGCGCCTGTGTCTGCGTGCTCTGTGTATGTGTGTTTGTGTGTTTGTGTAGAGAGCCATCTATACCGCTTGCTCTTTATTTAAACAATCAGTATTCATATGTTTTCGGTATGAAATTCGGTATTTCAATCGTGGCTCGTGGCTTTTCACGGTCTGCAAGTCAACCGAGACTGCTTTTCTGCTGCTTTTTAATTTTTTTTTATTTTATTTTATTTTTTTTTTTTTTGCCGTTTCTCTTGGTCTTTGACTGTTGCTTTTTCTGTTAATGTTGATTTTTGCTTTTGGCTGACGTTGTTGTAGCGGTGCTCTATTGTTGTTGTTGCTGCTTCTGCTTGTGTTATCTCCGTCATAGTTATATGTACATTCATATGTACATACAGATACATATGCATATGTATATATGTATACATAAGATGATACCCTCTGCATGTTGGATTTGAAATATATATATATATATATATATATATATATATATATATATATATATATATGTATATATTGTGAAATATATAGTCAAGTAGAAATTATGACGCATGTAAGTTTAGGAAGAAAGTTACATTTAAGCTATTGAAGAACATTATCAACACATACATATGCACATATGTATTTATATAATTAGCAATAATTAATAATCATTAAAGAGGTTACTGTCATATTTGTCCGACAAAAATGTAAGGTAAATGAATAAAAGTAAAAAATAGTAATCTTAACATTATTTAGAAATAAATAAATAAAAACGCGTTTAAGTATTAAATTCAAATTCCATCATACACATAAACATATTTACATACATTGCATTTTGCTGGTATACACATACATACATACATACATACATATATACATTCATATTGTATGTATGTACATGCATAAGGTACTTATGCTTATAGGAAATAAGGCAGCGAAGCGTAATTCCTCTAGCCACAAATACAATAAAAACACAGTAAGAGTGCTCTAGTCGGGAGTACCTGACTGGGACATACCTTGAGCCCTACGTAGGTCGTTGTTTTAATCATTCTGAATGCACAATTCATAATGAGAGAGAGAGAGAGAGAGAGAGAGAAAGAGAAATAGTATAGGATGGGTATTGCAGCTTAGCTTAACGCCCATTTCAATGCGTATGGGGGATATAAATTGGCAGGTACGGCGTTAACTACATATACTTTGTAAATTTCGAGCTATGTACGTACAAATGTACAGAAAGTCCACCTGAATCTTTGCCGCAAAATTTCAAAAGGTGATCCCAATTGAAATTTGTTCTTATATATGTATGTAAATAAATCTACATTTATTACATAATTATTATATAATATATTTTATTTATATTTCGCATTTATGTTCTAAGAATTCATATAATACAAAGTATAGATATTTGAACTCAAATCTAAGCCACAGAATTTGAATAACTCTCTGTAACCGATGCCGCGAAACTATCGAGTCTCTTTTTTGCGCACGCACACAGCGAATATATCGATATCTATCGCAACAGAACAGCTGACGTAATAGACACGCCCGCGATTGAGTGATAGGTTCAGTGTTGCCGTTTTGGCTTATTTTCAGCCAGATCTGGCTTATTTTCAAGTGCAGTTGCGGAAATAATTTGAAAATTACGGATAGCGGAGATTCTGACTTATTTATGAATCGAATCAGCTAATACATATTTTGTTTAATATCTAATATTAGTTTCCTAACACGCTGGCAACTATTAAAGGCTAACAAAACTAGTTTTGCAATACTTTCATCTCTAACATATAGTGGTTAAATAGATATGCTGTTGCGCTTCGCATACATTCGTTACCTTGGTGAAATCTCAAAATGGAAGGGTCTTTAGCCATTTTAATAAAATATTAAATAAGAAATAGGATGAACATTGATACGTTAAACTCAATACCAACCATAAAGTCCCATTAAAACAGAAACTAATACAGCGAAATCCACTTATAGCGACATTTAATTTATTGTCATTTTTCGCATTTTTTTCGGCACGTCGTAATATCCGGTTAATGTCTTAAAAATATAAGAAAAATCGTCGGGATAAGCGGATTGTCGTTAAAAGCAGAGACGTACTAAACGGAGGCTCTTTCATATAAGTTTGCATGGGGACCAACCAAGACATCGAATTTTCGTTGACATAACCGGTTGAACGCTTTAAGCGGAGTCGTTATAAGCGTATTCCACTGTATTTTTAAAATTTTACATCCGAATTGAGCTGAGATAACAGATGATGTTTTAATTACAGAGTTTTTCCAAACTGCCTCAAATAGATCAAAACCAAGGAATATTTAAATTATGAGACCGAAAATATGCAGACTATCTACTGGCAGATTTATTATCAATGTAAACATTTAAATACAGGTATAATGTTAAAATTTCTATTATTACAATATGAAAAAAACAACGCTAAAATATTTGCTTATTTTTCAGCTAATCGTTTCTCTTACTTTTTGTCCTGATTCCACCATAGTGATAGTAGGTTATGCAAAGCGAACAGCTGATTTGACAGCGTGACGTCATTATTTCAGAAAATGGTGGGCGCGCGTTTGAATTTGTATGAAAATCATGCAACGTTGACACTGTTATTTGTCTTAAAGCTAGTAGACTAAATTAAACTAAATCCACGAGTTGAACAATTTAAGGTTTTTGCTAATTTTTATATTCTGAGCAGCTATTAATCACTTTTACTATCGTGTCTTCTACCAGGGCTTGCTGCAGGCATCAGTTCGCATACGTTGATTAACCAGTTGAGTTTTGTGTGCCGAAAAGGAAATTTTTTTAAATTTCCGTTATGCTCGTGCAGTAAAACTGAGGGTCCAGGTCTGGAACATTTGCAGCTTCGATTTATAGCATTGAGCTTGTGTCCACATAGCGATAACTATCAGCTGATATGTAAAGCAAATTCATTTATTTCGTTTGCCGCTATGCACAGTAAACACCAGCTAAAGATTCTCGCGTGATTGATTGTACTCCTGGTATGGACATAATAAAACAGGCTGTAATACAAATCCAATTTACATTAATATATACATAAAATATATATTGTACAAATAATAATAATAATAAGCAATTATATATTTTGGTTCATATTTAAACAAAACTTCATTCCGTATTGAAATGAATAAATTTGCTAGCAATATGCGATTAACGTAACTTAGTAAAAAAAAAAAAAACAGTTAGAAGGAATTTCTACTGTATCAGCTGATGAAATGCCGATTTCCATTTTGTTTCGCTCGCTTGTTGCCAGTTTTCAGTTTTCGGTTTTCAATTTTCATTTAGTCCGTTAGCGCCGAGCGGAATAAACGTTATTTCAATCCATACAAAAGCGCTTGATGCTGAAATCGAAATAGTTAAAGTTTAAGTTTAAGTATTGAAAAATGAAGTGATCCGCAAGAAAAGCTCAGCAAATATAAGTTCTATTTATTTTATGAATTCAATCAAGGTGTTATTAAAATATATATAAAATAATTTTATTAAAATTCTTGCAAGCTTCAAATCCAATTTCAATTCAATATAATTTGTTATGTATTTAAATTAACATCTATACCACAACATAAAAAACGGATATCAAAGCTAACCAGATCAAATGGAGAGAACATATGTACATCTATGAATATATGTATGTATGTATGTATGTGGAATGCTAGTTGTGTGCATATACATATGAATGTACAACGCCTTGTACGAATCCGTAAAGAGCATATATGTACATACATATGTATGCATGCATACGTATGTATATAACTGTGCTTGTACATATGAATAGCTACATGTGGCTGTGTGTGTGTGTGCATGTAAGTTTGGTGAATTTTTGCAGTTTTTGGCTAACAATCGAACTTCACTCCATCTACCAAAATGTGCTCCAGACGTACTGTCTCCACTACATTGGCACTGTTAATATATGTGCGCGCGCCTGTGTGTGTGTGCGTCTGTAAGTGGCTGAGTGTGTGTATGTCAAAGTCATACGCTAATGTGCGTGTACGAGTGTGTGTGTTCGTGTCCATGTGTGTGTGCCCACATGTGTATATATGTATGTGTGCAGAATTGCTTGTAAACAAATTACCTGCAAGTTGTCCACGATGATGGACAGATAGTATTTGATTTTAGGCTTAATAGTTACTCAATGACTAAAGAAAACCAGGTTACTATCAACAAGTTAGGCTTAGAACATGAATTTGTTAAACAATAAAACTCGTATTATAGCGAACGAGTTAGGCTATGTACATATACATATGTATAAAATGCATGTATGTTTATCAAATAGCTTACATCAAATATGTACGTACATACATAGAAAAACGAGAAAAATAAACTTTTGTTCCACGTGTGACAAATTCGAATGGTGCCGAAATTAGAAGAAAAAAAACAAAAAACAAAATAGATTGTGTCATCGTAGCTTAAAGCTAAGAAACTCTCCAATTTGGCTGTAGCTGTGGCAGTAGTTGTGCCCAGCCTGCACCCCTCCACACAGCCCACAGCCTTCTGTCCACGGCCCTCGGCTCACAGCCCTCGGCCCACAGCCCACAGCCCTCGGCCCACAGCTGGCATTCATATTGGCGCTGTTGGCGTCGTCTCGTCGCATCCTTTTGTCAGTCAGTCGTTACAAATGGTTTGTAGTATATTTGTACTCGTGAGCACACATTATGTGTGTGTAGGTACATGTGTATGTATGTATGCTCGCGAACTAGGGAAAATGAAGAAATGCACAAAATGTGCGCGCACACAACATACACATTTATACATGCATCAGTTGAGTTGCATACAAGTTGTTGAAGTTGAGTGTGTATTACACACACTATAAATTTATATCAAACGACGATGATCCTATGCAGATCCCTTTTCCCTGGTATGACCAGACGACCTGAAAGTGTAATTGTTATGCTGCAGTAGAAATATTCCAGAACAGTCCATTCATGTTCATGTTATCTGCGAGAAGGATGTCAACTACACGAACTAACACGTATGCAGGCCCGTGGGACGTGGACCGTGGACCGTGGACATACATATTGCCCAATGGCCATTACATATGTGTGCGATCAGGCCTCTCCCTCTTTCCGTCTCCTTCTTGATTTCCGATCGCTCTCGCGACTTGCATTTTGTTGCATACTTTCCGCCGCGTTCTCAAATTCACATGTACATACATATGTGTTAGTGTGTGTTGGTATTCGAAATTGGTTAGTGATATTGCTCAGATTGATGGAATTGTAATGAATACTTTTAGAAAGAGATATTGCTTATACCTGATACTGATATCCATGCCTCTCCATTGCAGGCAGTGATCGCGGATGTGCAATGGCGAGTGCCGACTACTGAGCGAGTAGCCATAAGCGCAGCACCAGCTACACCAACTGCAGGGAAATAATCATGCAGTAGCCGCTGCATAGGCAGAGGTTGACGATGATGATTGAGCTCAGGCAACAGGAATTGGCTGTAAGGGAGTCAGCGGCAGGTGCAGTGAGGGACGTCAAATGTATCTACAATTGCTCCTGCTTCTGCTGTCGCCAGGGATGTTGCATTGTTGTGTGCTCCTGTTGCAGCTGCAACACCTTCAGCTGCACAAGCTACAACAACAGCAACAGCGCCAGCAATGGCACCAACGGCAACAGCAACAGCAGCAGCAACATCAGAATCGACCGTAGAGGCATCAGTCGTCATCCGATAGTTGTTGTCCACACCGCCTTCCAATCGATAGTGGCTGCTCTAACGCTGATAATCGGCTACTTAACATTGTTCAAATTGAGCTATCGTGCCTTAAGGTCCAAAGCATCCACAGGCCTGGCTGCTGGCAGCGCAACAGACAGCAACTGCACCAGCACTGGCAGCAACAGCAACAGCAACAGCAACAGCAACAATGCTGACAGCAAACTGAAAGAGCAATATGGGCACGGTCACGCTTCCTATGATATTACCAATGATCAGCAGTTGAAGACGAATAACTTGTGCAAAATGTTTTTCAATAACCGGAAGAGGCAAAGGAGACGACGAAGGCGGCGACGACGTCGCCGGCGCCGCTACAACAACAACAATGGCAGCAGACAGGCCGGGAGCTGCAAGCAGCAGCAATACCACGATAGCAGCAGTGATGCCACGTGCCTTTCCATCGCGGTGTGGACAACAGTCGGGCAGGACGACGAGGACAGGAGCAGCAGCAGTAGCAGCAGGAGCAAACCATATAGAGCACACGCTGTGGGCACTGCGTATGCGCCAACGACGACCTTTGTTTCGAGGTGGCCCTCGATTAACTGCAGCAATAGCATCAGCAAGGCGAAGCGCAATCGGGCCAACCTGCTTTGGCTGCTAATCGGCATCTTTTGGCTAGAGGTCAAGCTCATCAACTGCAACGCTATCGCCAGCAGCAACGGTTACGTCTCCTCCCTAGTCGCTCAGAAGGGCTGCACTCTGTGCCAACTCGAGGAGGGGATCTTCTACAGCGAAAAGCGTGAGTTTGATAAACTGACGTTTCAGCTCCACGATCGACTGCAAGAACCAAACGATGCCAGTAACCCACAACACACTCAGATATAAAATGTAGAAAAGACTCTTTCTCTCTCACTCACTCTTTCTCAGCTTCCCATCCACCAATCGACCATTCCTCAATAGAGCAAGGGCAGGACCCGATCGTGCGAGTGTGAGGAGCGAGTTTGTTCCGGATCTACTATCTATGAGTTGTGGGGACGGTTGCGTAATTCCTTTGGGGTCAAACTAGGACCTATCAAATAGTTTCCCGAAGCAATATTTACATTGCATTCAGTCCTGTGAGCGAGATTAAAATATGTATATCTGTATATGTGTATATATATATATATACTAGCTGACCCGGCAAACGTTGCTTTGCCTCCAGCTTATGAGCCATGGTGCATTCATCCCAGGTAATAATTGTACACTGTTTCAGCACAGTGGCCATGGATGATTTTGTTTTAATGTTACAAACTGCATCTGGATTATTTTGATTGTTCAGTGGCAGCTTGAAAGCCGAATGAGCTGTTCTGCCTCTATCTTGTAAAGTGGCTACAATGCCAGATTATGCAACGGCTAATGCTCGTATCGCGGCAAGAAGCAAAGAAATAAGGAATGATTTGCCACCCATAAAGTACATTTTTAAAAAATGTATAAGGTTCGCTTGGCATTAGTAGCAATGAGCCGACTTTGTGGTAAACTTGGCCTTTGATTTTGGATGTGAAATTGAACTGTTGACCATTTGCAGCAGTATTTTTAGCTATTTCCGTTGCTTCAAACGATGCCAATTGAAAACTCGAATTGAATTTTCGAATTGACTACAAGAACAGCGAAGAATCTGGATCAGTACCATGAAGGAAGCCGTGCAATGGTTCCCCGGTGGTGTTTGAAATTCTGGGAGTTTTACTTTTCCTGATGAGGCTCATTTATAAATTTAAGGGCAGTGCAGGCATTTCTTGTCCAATGTACCAATGAGCACTATGGAATAAGCGTAATATTTAGCACCAGGCTCATACTGAAATGCTAGGTGAAGAAATGAATGTGATGTAAATGCTCGAAGTACTTGTTGACATTGTCGGTCAATTCCTCCACGTCTGTATACGTATATATATATATATATATATATATACATATATACAATAGATACGCTGCCCGACTGTCTAATAATATATAATTACATTTGAAATCTCGAAGATCGATTGCATTTTCTGCATCCTTATCCTTCCTCTGCTTGGGTTTGGCTACATTCCATTTGAATACAATGTATTTGCACACTTCTCATACAGCTTCTAATACTTACAAAAACACTTTACAATTATCACATTTACACAGATAACCCACACACAGAATACAACAACAACAACCATAATAACAACAACAATAATAATTTTGCCTATAAGAAAAGTATTCAGAGAACAAACAATAATATTATGGTCAGTGATCGTGTTCGCTTAGAGTCGATTAAACGGCAAATCCTGACAAAACTCGGACTCACTCATAAACCAAATGTATCCCATCCGCTACCCAAACAGTTTATCTGGGAGACAATCTATCGAGCAGACGGCGGGCAAATGGTAACGAACGATGTATTCGAAACAAACGCCATCTTGGCAAATCATATTCATGATCGTAGTCAGCGGAAGAGAATGCGAACCGTCATTAATGAGCTCAACGAGAATCGTTTCGACAGCCCAAGTATGGCATATATAATTGGTACTACAAACCGGAGCAGCAGTAAAAGTAAAAACAAAACGAAATACCATCACTTAAGATCCGTCTCTTCAGGAACAGAAGGAGAAAGGGATAAGACAATCCATGGATCGGATACGCGAACAAGGATAGGGAACCGCAACTCTCTCGACTGGAATAAGAACACGAAGTCAAAAGCTTATAGTGAATCAACATATCTTATAGATATAAATCGGAGTAGAGATAGTGATAGCACCAAAAACGACGTAAGCGGCGGTGCTGCCGCCGACTTCGGTCACGACGATCATATATATTTTAACGATTACAGAGTTCAAATCCAAAACAAAGACCATAAGCAGAAGCAGAAGCCATCAGGCAGTAATAACGCGCGAGTCAAAAAGAAGCAGAGCCGAGGAGGCCACGATGTCATCACTATGCACGATCAAGACAATGTCAATGGATTTGAGCGCGAAGACTACTTTGGCAGCACACAAGAGATAATTACGTTTGCTGAGGAGGGTAAGTATCAATTGATCTACTTGTACTCTGTGTCGGCTGTTGCCGACTAGGTCCCTAATTTCACCCTTACCTTTCCCTGTTGTGCACAAGGCTTCCCCAATAAGCTGTTGCCAGCCTACAGTGCCAAATTAGCATAAGAGATTGATGGATGTTGGAGATGTGTATGTTAGCTCGATAGCTATCGATTAATTAATCAATCGATCGACCGCCAAGGAATTCAAGTTGCAACATGAAAATAATTTTGTACATAATATGCATAATGTAATATTTGAAATATTATTATATTGGTTTTACGCGATTTATCATCATTTCATAAAGACACTCACTTTACCCAAATTGGAAACATATTTTTTAGAGAGATCGAGAATTGAACTCTCGTAGTTAGTAACCGATTGTCGATAATGTATGTATCAGTGTACGTATGGCTGCAGCCAGGCCAGCCAGATGGCCCTCACCACTCGCCTCCCCTCCTACTTAAACAATAAACAAATAAACACAATAAACTACACCAGACGGCAGTGTGTGTGTGTTGCATGATATGCATACGCATTTGTGTGTGCTTGTGTTTATTCATTGAAGCAATGCATGCAAATGCTAACGGCAAATAATACCGTATGGTAAGCCTCGCATGTCAATGAAAAAGGAGGCGCAGAAGGAGAGCCGAATGGCTGTGTATACGCCCACAAACACCCCCACCCATACCCACAGCCACACACACACTTACGAGTATGTATGCCCATATGCGTAGACAGACACCTTGTCGTAAGTACAATACTAGAATAGGGCATAAGCGGGCTCAAGTGTCTCTGCTACAGTCTTCTCGTTGGAGGCGGCTCACATGCAGACCCCTGTGGACTCGTACACAGGCACACACAGATACACGTGTGCCGCTGTCATTGTGTGTGTTTTGGTTTTGTCTGGTCGACGGGACTCCCGATCCGACCCCAGACTGTTTGCACACACACGCGAACACACACACACTTGCGTAGAAGTAATGCGCTGGCGTCTGAGTGGTTCTTGCAGACTGCAACGGTGAAGTACTTTCACTATTGTTCTTAGGTGTGAAACAAGAGCAACAGACAGGGTAAACAATTAAAAATGCAAAACGATAAAAACATACATACATGTATGTACGTGGAACGAAAGTACTCTCTAGTCGGCATTTAGCCTCCGCCAGACAATGTTTTCAATACACGCTCGACCAGTCCAGCACCGGGTATATTGACTAATGTTTTTCAGCTCGAAATATGTACATACATGCATAAGTATGTATGTATATGCGCCGAAGTTCTGGCTAATCGGCTTAGTCAGACACTCTTCAAACGCCAGCTGGGCACCCCCGAGTATATTAGTATTATATATGTCTATAACAAATCATCTCTGTGTATTTTACCCTGCCTATTGATCTCCTTAATTATGCCCTGAACCCATTTTCAATGGGAAATCAGTGTTAAATGTATGTAACAGGCAGAAGAAGGCGTGGCAGACCCCATAAAGTCTATATATTCTTGATCAGGGCGACGAGCTGAGTCGATTTAGCTCTGTCCGTCTGTCCGTCCGTCCGTCTGTCCGTCCGTCTGTCCGTATGTTTGAACGCGTCCATCTCAGAAGATATAAGAGCTAGAGACTTGAATTTTTTTTCCTAGATCCGTGTATAGCACGCGCATATCGAGTTGTGCTTTAAATATCGATAACTTACCCCGTTATTTTGTTATCGATTAAAAGCATTATCGAAAACCAGTAATAAATTTATATCTCCTACATCTTTAAAGCTAGAGTCTCCAAATTTTAAATGTATACTTATATGCATTTGATACAATTTTGGTTTTTGTCAAAATTTACCCCTCACCTCTAATTCACCCCCTCACCCTCACATTTGTAAAAGGCGTATTTCAAGTACTAAGGACTTGTGCTTTGGCAAAGGCATATACATGCTATAATCATAATCTGAAAGTTTCATGAAGATCGTATGTCCACAAGAAAAGTTATTAAAGAATTAAGTTATCATGTAAGCGCACACGGCAGCCCATGCGTGTTTATGTGTGTGTGTGTATGTATGTGTATATGTGTGTGTATGCGGATGTGTGTTTGTGTATGTGTGTGTGTCTTGTGTAACCAGAAAGACGCGAAAATTGATTGAAATAGCTATTGCTCGAAGGGTTCAGGGGATCGCGTAGTCGAGCAATCTCGATTACATTCTTACTTGTTATACCCTCAACCCATTTTCAATGGGAAATCAGGCAGAATGAGGCGTGGCAGACCCCACAAAGTCTGTCCGTATGTTTGAACGCGTCGATTTCAGAAGATATAAGAACTAGAGACTTGATTTTTTTAAATGACCGTATATACAGCGCGGACGTCGAGTTTGCTTTTAAAATTCGATAAATCATCCCGTTATGTTTTTATCGAGTAAAAACATTCAAGTTCAAGTCAGATGCCACTATAGGTAATTGTGAATGATTTTTCATTTTTTTTAAATTTCTCAAATATTCAATATAGCATGTAGATCATATGCTGAAAGTTTCATTAAATTCCGTTTAGTCAAAAATTAATAAAAAATAATCAAATTGGCCAATTAACAACCGCACATGCAGCAACTACAACAGCATCGTATACGTGTGCACACATACATTCAAACTTCATCTGGAACATTCTTTGAATCACATCAGCTGTTAGTTTCGTTTAGTTTTGGTAGATGGCGCAGCAGCAGTGAATCTATTTGAGTTTTGCCAGCGCCGCTTTCAAAAGTGAGGTGGCGTAGTGTGTTAGCTGCATGACGCTCGATCGAAAGGTCGCGGTTCGAATCCCGATCGGTGCAACTGATGTTAATTCTTTTAATTGTTTTATGAGTTTTCTATTTAATTTATATTTTTAAATACACCGAAATTGAAATTTTAACCATATTAGATGTGCGTTTTTATTAGTTGGGTTCAGGGTAGTATCTAGTCGAGCACTCTCGACTAGATTTTTCTTACTTGTTAATATCTGCAATCGTTTGCTTTGAGGTGATTCTTGCTAGCCCCCGAACCACTCCAAGAGGGGCCCACATTCAAATAGCTGAAATAACTCCTCCATACTTTCCTGGGATTATGTTCCATGCGTCCGTCCCTCTGTCTAAATGTGCGCAAGCCATATCGCCGCTATTGGAGCTAAAGGCTTGGGATTTGGAGTATGTACTTTTGTATTCCCCCGCCTGATAAAATTTAAGTTTATTGCACTGGCCGTGAATAAGCATTCTCTGGGTAGGTGTGTGCACCTGCAGTGAATGAAGGAATGGGGCATCAGGATTCTACTGGTCGGGCATTTTCTACTAGAGTATTAGCCCGTTTCTAACTTGAGGTCATCTTATATTGCCAGGTGCACAATTTCAGCAATATCGCATAGTGGAGTTCGCCGCGCAAAAAGCAGGTATACCAAATCAAAAGATATACATTAGGAGTGCGCAAATGCATGTTCGCATCGAGAGACAGGATGTGAAAAGCGAAGCTGTGAACCGCGATGCGCAACCGACGATGCACACTACGCGGAAAAGTCACGCCAACGGGCCTAGGCAGAGGATAAAGATTTGGGTATTTCGAATGAGCGACGGCATCAATATGACTGAGAAGGTGAGTTTCCGTACATCCGCTGTATACCTGTTGATGTAGAGCAATTTTAAATATTTCTTACAAGCAGGCAATGGATCAGGCGTTTCTGTTTCGAGCCCTGTTCGAAGTGGACACGGAGCGCTTGGGTTGGCAGAAGTTCGATCTTACTGAGACGATTCGGGAATGGTACAGCGATACGAGCGGAGAGAATCTACGTCTCTTGATTGACTGCACTGGCTGCGGCAGTAAATATTCACTGCAACTGTTTCAGCTGTCCGGGCCAGTGAAATCGGCATCGGATCGCTACTTGAATCCGAACCGTCCATTTCTCGTCCTACACACGGAATCGCCAAGACCCCGCCGCGTCCGGCGACGTGCAATCGATTGCGGTGGCGCATTAAGCGGCCAATGCTGCAAGGAATCCTTTTACGTATCCTTCAAAGCGCTTGGCTGGGATGACTGGATTATAGCGCCTCGTGGATACTTTGCCAACTATTGTCGGGGCGAATGTACTGGATCATTCCGCACCCCAGACACGTTTCAAACATTTCACGCACATTTCATCGAAGAATATCGCAAAATGGGCTTATTGAATGGAATGCGCCCCTGCTGTGCTCCGATCAAGTTCTCAAGCATGTCCTTAATCTACTATGGCGACGATGGTATTATCAAACGTGATTTACCGAAGATGGTTGTCGACGAATGTGGATGTCCTTAATTGTGAGTAAGATCATAACACATCCATATATATATATATATGCACGTACATACTTGAGCATCTATGCACCATTTCCGATCGATGTGAGCTGATTTCTAAAGCGCGGGAGCTGATATCCTTCACTATTTAATTATCAGGTAAATCATCAAATAAAACGCCTACTTACGACAAGTTCTTGGAGAACGCCTCGACCAGAGCAAATGTTAAACAAAGAATGAGTTTGTATATCTAATACGTTTGTGGCATCGAAACTGCCTATTGATGAGCACTTTCGCTAAAGGACTATATCGCTAGGATGTTGACAGTCGATTCCTGGTTCGATGTTGCACTTGGACTCAAATGCCAATCATGAAAGGTGACAAGGAAGCTGCAGAATCTCCACTATTTCAATTTTAACGCATTGATAGCCGACGTACGTGCACATATACCCGCATGAAATTCAGTTCTCTAAAGTCTCTCTTGGCAGAGAGTCACGAAAACAAGACTAGATTGAGTAAGATCGTCGTGCCACGCTTCCTACCTGGATGCTCTTGCCCGTATACATTTGCACAAGCCCATTTTACTCTGAACTCCCATTTTAGGGCAACGGGTTTTGGGAACTAAAGCGTAATTAAAATGCAAACATTCTATTTGACACCTTATTTCATTTTGATTTTCAGTTGAAACGAAATAAAGAGAAGAAGTAAAATAAAATTGAAGTGGACTGGAACTACTAAGCCAAACTATTTATTTCCGTCCTTTGACATACCTTAATACATTCCAAAAATGGAGCTACAAATAGGCTACCAAGTAATTCTGTTGTGCCATGGGACTGAGGCATGAGATTAAGATTGAGAATGAATTTATGTAGTCAAAAATAAAAATTAAAAACGAACTAAAATAAAGTTTACAAAAAGTGCCTAAAATATTTAAAAATTGCCTAATTAAATTGAAATAATATTTAAGATTAAGTAATTTAGTAACAACAATTATTATAGTAACTATGATAATCTAATAATTTCAATATACAAAAACAATAAAAAAAAGTGTCTTTATCAAAATATTCCCTTGGAATAGAGAGCTGTGCTGTAGCGTAGCCAGAGGGAAAAGAGGAACCAGAGTGAGGGATGTCAGATAGGGTCTGCAATATTCCAGATGCGCCTATTCCAATATTCAAGCCACGAATATATATAGATATCAAATTAGATCCGATTGCAAAATATTTCTTTATTTAATATTATTTCAAATGAATTTATGTTTTTATTTACATCTGAATGAACGGAAACACACGCAAGTAAAGTTAAACACAAGTTACATATATTTAAATTTCTATAGTATAATATGTTTACATAATTGTATTTATATAAAATTAAATTTGTCCGCTTTTACGCATATATTTATTATTTATTTTTGCAAATTTCTCGGAATAGGCGCAGAAAAATGTTCGGTTTGCCGTATAGTAACATAGTTAGGAATGGTGATTTTTATACTTCACATATTTATATTCAATTATTTATTGATTAAAATAATCAAAAATAAGAGTATTTATGGAGAGATACAAATATATATACTACATACATATATATAAAATATAATACATATTAAAATACAATTTTTGATAATGTAAGCTAAAATTTGAAAACACTAGCTAGAAAATGGTTAAGTTCTAATAATCATATTGTACATTAAATATATTTATTCCAATTACATCCTGTTGCTCAGAACCAAAATGCCGTTAAAAATACTTAAACAATAAAGAACAATAAGCAACATTTGTTAATATGCCTTTAAATTTGTAAGGATTGATAATAATTATAATAATAATCTAAAAATTAACAATAATTATAACAAAAATGATAATAAATTAAATTTTTAAGATTTAAGCAACATCTATAATTTCTTTAGACTTTCAGCTAGCCATCTCTCGCAATCCATCAATTCTGTTTTAATAACACAGTGTACATATGTATATATAGACACTCGATGACAGTAGGACAGGAGAATGCAATTCACCGAGCGTATTATAATATAAGGGTAGAAATATGTTAAAGCTGATATAAACGAATCGCCAAAATCAGTTATATGAGTATTCACCAAATAGGAGTGCTCTAGAAGATTTGGCCAAGTACGTTTATATATTCCAAAATGTAAGTCTGTTGTGTTATAAGTATTTACGGATTCGCTACGCCTTAACGCAGATAACAAAAGAACATTGCACAACATTAATATATTTTACTTACCTCGTGCACGAGCATCAAAAGCAATAATAGTACTCTACCCCGAAGTGTCAGATTAACAGATAAGCGCCTTCCATATATGCTCACTTATATACAGTCACACGCATACATACGTAAACGATGCCCCACCTCACACCACCCCTATTTTGGGGAACTATTTAAGTTGATTGAACTTTGGAAACTTCTAGAAGCACTAATGGGTCTTTCAATTAATAAGCGCGGCACATAAGTATATGTACGTATAAAATCTAAAATACAGGACACTAAATTGAATAAAAAAATCAGAGAGAGAGAGAGAGAGAGAGAGAGAGAGAATGAAAGAGATAAAGAGAGGAGAGAGAGAAAAAAGCGGAAAATAAGGAAAGAAAGAAACATAGTAAGACCTACTGAGGGCGTAGCAAATCTGAAAAAAATAAGAGAGCTCTAGTCGACTTGGGGATACCCTGAACCGTCCAAGCTGAGATTATAATAATTGTGCACTTCTTATGCACACATATGAACATAGTCATGCATCCACACGCACGTATACGCATGCGCTCTCCTAACTGCGCAGTAAGCAGCGACTGCGCTTGGGCTGCACTGCAATGTGGGCAATACTATGAGAATTTATTAGTTAAATAATTTCTCTTGTAGTAGGACTATCTTCATGAAACTTTTTGAACGTGATTAAAAGGTTAAAATATGTGTGCATTCCAAAACAAAAGTCTCTAGTACTTGAAATACGTTTTTTACAAATTAGGGGCGAGGAGGCGTGGTATCCAAAATCTGTACATTACAAAATCTATGATAAACTTGTACTGTGTATGGTATACACGAATATGCACACAAAATTTCAAGTCAAGTTATAAGAGCTAGAACTTCTGAGATGTAGGTGTTCATACGGACGGAGGGACGGACTGACAGACGGACAGGGCTGTATCGACTCAGCTCGTCGCCATGATCAGGAATATATATACTTTATGGGCTCTGCGATGCTTCACATACTTTTCACAAAACCATTATATACTGATTTCCTGTTTTCAATGGGTTCAGGGTATAAAAGAACAGAATATTTTGAACTTTGAATAAAATTGGCAGGATCTGAGCCGTGAGCGAGTATTTTGCAGTCGGTGTCGCCTTATTGCAACATTCTAATTCGCTTGAAGCTCCCGGTCATGGCAATACCGATATCGATAGCGATGCCGATACTAATAGTGATAGCGATAAGGAAAACTAAACCATTACATTAGACGATGTCAAGACCTCAACGTCATCTATCTATTCTAGGGTCCCGCATTGGATGGACGATCTACACATATCCTCATCTAAATCCTCTTCTAAATTTTACAAAGTCGCGAAATTCGGAATGGATTCGAAAACGTATACGAAGAATTTCGAAGCGATATTCTCTCTTACGAACTGTAATTTTTTCTGTCGGGTATTGAGCAACGGGAATATGTGTTGCTGCTTATCGAGCCGTTTTGCTTTCGAGCAACTTTTAATTAAAGATTAAAGTTTCTTATCAGCCATTAGCTGCAGTTCATATACTCGAGCATACACAACATACGTACACATGTCTTTATTGGTACATTCACACGAGTATGTAGTGGTGCTTACAGATATAGATTGAATGGAAAGATTTTACTTTTCAGGTTTTCTTTTACCTCCCCGAGCTAGCGAAAGAATTGTTCAACTGGTTCCCAAAGGGGCTATAGCCTTGAATTTTGGTAAATAACAGGAATGTTAGATAATACACACATATGTATATACAAGTGACTCAAAAATACATTCTCCAACGCATGTGCAGGGGGTCCCAGAAGGAGCAAAGTGCCGAGTTCTCCATGTGTGTGTAGACTGAGAGAAAAGCATTTGACAATCGTTTGACAGACTTACACATTTGTTTAGCGCATGACCTTGGGCCGAGCATCATAGACCATTGCATAATTTGTAGCTAATAGCAGAATACCACTTGAAAATGAAGCATCAGATATCAAATGCCCATACGTTATTATACTGACCTTTGACATTTTCTGTCAGTGTACATATACAGATTGTATGTATATTGCTACGCATTTAATCTCATCGTCGGCTTGATACTAGATCACTCTCACTTGCCTAACACACATACGTATGCACATGTGTGTACACGTACACGTATGCATTCACAAGTACACACATAAGTACGAGAATGCGCCAAGTCCTCTTCTGATAATAGAAAATTCATAGCAGCAGGGGCCAACGCAGCGGCAGCGGTAGCGGCAGCGGTAGCGGCAGCGGTAGCGGTAGCGGCAGCACCCACCCTTATGTTGTGTGCTTGAAAATTGATATATGTTTGTATATGATAATTGAGAACGATCGCCAACCGTGTGAGAGAGCTGTGAGGCTGCCCCTCTCTCTACCTTGCTCTTTCCCTCAGAAGAAGAGAGAGGAGCACTAGTGATAAGTAAGTGTCCTCACTCACTCTCTCCTTCTTTCAGTATAAAGAAAGATGCACTCTCACACACACACGTAATATAGATATATGCTATACACACACAGCCACGTTAGACGTTGTATTTAAACTGTGTTCTAGTGGAAAATACGGCTTAATTCGAAGTCACTTGTCGTCCGATCCGATTCGTATATTAAATCAGTGTCGCGAGCTAAGTGTGCTGTGCTGGAATTGTGTCTCTCTATGAACGCAATTCAGTGAAAGGAATTTAAATCAGATTTCAACTGTGAGCAAGGTATACAAGATCTTGTCCTGCCCATGGGCGTACCGCAACAACGACAACAAGCGCAACAATGAAATGAATTTAATTCAATTAAATAAAATACAACTAAAATAATTATATATAACTAAATAAAGAATATATAAGTACATTAATAACAAACAAATAAATATACACGGTAATTGAACTCACCAGATTCAAAATACATAATAATAAAAAAATTACTAATATATAAATTATATAAAATTACGAAAGAAAAAAATATATATACAAAGCAAATTTAGGATTGAATCCTAGGTCATATTATATAATAACGATTTTTAAAAAATTTATTATAATGTATAGTGCATACGAATACATTTAATATTTAAAAATATTGGCTATCATATAAAATGATAACAAGATGATACAAAATCATGATAAAAAGAACTATACAATTTATAAATTACTGTAAATTATAAAAAATAAAAATATAATGCAATTTTGTATATTAAAACAATATAAAATAAAATGTATAAGATATACTGAAGATCATACAGAGTTATGCATCCTAATGTATTATTCATTTCTATTAGGCTAACCCAAAGGGGGCCGGAACAGTGAAAAACATGGCGATTCCCTTTCCAATTCGGGGATTCCTGATATTTATTCTACTTGTGGGTACAGCCAACTCCGGTAAGTACGCTGATACTAACGAAGTAGCAAATATACTACTAACAATGTCACATATGTGGAATACGTTCAAATTGTTTAAACTCTATAAAATTTAGGGTCATCCCAATGCAATAACACATAAGCTTCACAAGTTTAAGACTATGAATCTATATTTTTGTCAACTATATACGAAATGAAATATATAGTACAGATACAACAATTATAAAAGTAAACAAGTAAGACAGCTCTAGTCGAGACTGCTCGACTACAAGATCCCCTGAACCCTTCGTGCAACTGATATTTCAATAATTATTCGCATATGCATAAACACGCATGGGCTGCCGTGTGCGCTTACTATGAGAACTTAATTGTTTAATAACTTTTTTTGTGGAAATACGATCTTCAGATTAATACAATGAAATGCGTGCACTTGCCAAAACACAAGTCTCTAGTATTTGAAATACGCCTTTTACAAAAGTGAGGGTGAGGGGGTGGATATAGGGGTGAGGGGTAAATTTTAACAAAAATCGAAATGGTATAAAAATTTAAAAAATATACATATAAAGTTTGGAGACTTTGGCCTTAAAGATGTAGGAGATATACACTTGCCAGAAAAACTATGCGTACAGGCCTAACGTGCGACTTTGAAAGAGAATAAATATGATAAATAATAGGATTATTATCAATATTATATTTTTTAGTGAAAAACTATTTAATAACACACATTTAACAACAATTTTTTTTAAATAATATTAAACAGTTTTTTTTTTTTATATTTTAAATAAGAAAACAAGTAAGAAAGCTCTAGTCGAGACTACTCGACTACGAGATCCCCTGAACCCTTGGAGTAATAGCTATTTCAATAATTTTTCGCGTCTTTCAGCTTACACAAGAAACACGCACACACATACACACATACATACAAACATACACACACACACACATACACAAACAATTACATACATATACACACACACAAGCATAAACACGCATGGGCCGCAGTGAGCGCTTACTATGAGAACTTAATTGCTTAATAACTTTTTTGTGGACGTACGATCTTCATGAAACTTTCAGATTATGATTATGACATGGATATGCATGTAATTGCCAAAGCACAAGTCTCTAGTATTTGAAATACGCTTTTTACAAAAGTGAGGGTGAGGGGGTGAATTTAAGGGTGGGGGGTAAATTTTAACAAAAACCGAAATTGTATAAATTGCATATAGGCATACATTAAAATTTTGGAGACTCTAGCAATAAAGGTGTAGAAGATATAATTTTATAACTGGTTTTCGATAAGGTTTTTTATCGATAAAAAAAGATCGGGATGAGTTATCGATTTTTAATGATAAACTTGATATGCGCGCTGTAATTACGAACATTTTAAAAAAAATTTGAAGTCTCTAGCTCTTATATCTTCTGAAATCGACGCGTTCATACATACGGACAGACGGACAGACGGACAGACGGACGGACGGACAGACGGACAGACGGACAGACAGACGGACAGGGCCAAATCAACTCAGCTCGTCGCCCTGATCAAGAATATATATACTTTGTGGGGTCTGCCACGCCTCCTTCTGCCTGTTACATACATTTCAACAAAACCATTATACCCTGATTTCCCATTGAAAATGGGTTCAGGGTATAAAAACAACGAAAATTCACTTAGAAAAAGTTTGCGTACAAACTAAAAAACAAAACCAAAAATAACTTTTTTTCAATGAAAATTTAAAAATTAATATGAGGTTGGATACCCCTTTCGCTTCTTGGTCTCTTCCAACCGTTTTGGCATCGATGCCACCAATTTCCGGGTGAAATCAGCCGGAATTTTGAGCCACTCCTCCATCAGAACCGATTTGAGCATGTCCTTTGAAGTAATTATTCGGTCTCTGATCCTGCGCTCCAAAAAATCCCATAAATGCTCTATGGGATTAAGGTCGGGTGACTGGGGAGGCGAATAAAGCTGGTGTCTGGTATTATAGAGCAACCAGAGCTTGACATTGTGAGCTGTGTGTTTGGGATCATTGTCATGTTGAAAGACAAAGTCCTCCCCAAGACCCAATTGTCTGGCGCTTTGGTGTAAATTGTTTTTTAAGATATGGAGGTAATCCATATGGTTCATTGTGGACTCAATAAAAGCCAAATTGACCACTCCACTTGCTGCCATACACCCCCACACCATTACGCCACCACCGCCGTGCTTAACGGTTGTAGTTAGATTTTGTACGTCGAACGCAGTGCCTCTCTTTCGCCACACAAGCTTTCTCCCCTTTATACCAAATATACAGAATTTGCTCTCATCACTAAATATCACTTGGTTCCAGTACTCAGGACTGACTTCCAAGTATTTTCTGGCGAAATCCATCCGTTTGATTTTATTTGCTTCAGAGATAAGTAGCTTCCTTCGAGCAACACGGGCATTTAATTCATTTTTCTTTAAAAATTTTCTTACGGTGTCTTCGTGGAGCTCTTTTTTGTATTTCTCTTTAACTTCCTGATTAATCTTGGCTGCAGTTAATGCGGGGTTTAGCCGCACCGTCTTCAGCACGTCCCTCTTCTCTCTCTCGGTCAGCTTTGAGGGCCTCCCAGAGCGTGGCTTTGACTGAACTGAGCCAGTCAAATTAAAGTTATTGACTACCCTTTGGACAGAAGAATGCGTTCTGCCAACAATTTCGCCAATTTCCCTAAAAGATTTCCCTTCATCGCGTAATTTCACGATGAGTTTCCTCAAATCTGGATCAATCTCTTTAGTTTTCCTGCCCATGACGAAATCTATCAACTTAATGACAAAATTTGCAAACCAACACGTGATTGACATTCTTTAATGCTTTTTTTACCGTAATATGCTGTTTAACGGTACTAAAAGCTTCACACGACGATTAGTTTGTACGCATACTTTTTCTAAGTGAATTTTCGTTGTTTTTTTCTTATTTAAAATATAAAAAAAAAACTGTTTAATATTATTTAAAAAAAATTGTTGTTAAATGTGTGTTATTAAATAGTTTTTCACTAAAAAATATAATATTGATAATAATCCTATTATTTATCATATTTATTCTCTATCAAAGTCGCACGTTAGGCCTGTACGCATAGTTTTTCTGGCAAGTGTAACTTTATAACTCATTTTCGATAATGTTTTTTATCGATAAAAAATTACGGGATGATTTTTGGTGATAAACTCGATATCCATTTAAAAAAAAATTAAGTCTCTAGGTCTTATATCTTCTGAAATCGATGCGTTCAAACATACGGACAGACGGACAGGGCGAAATCGACTCAACTCGTCGCCCTGATCAAGAATATATATACTTTATGGGGTCTGCCACGCCTCCTTCTGCCTGTTACATACATTTAACAAAACCATTAAACCCTGATAATGGGCTTAAGGTATAATAATTGAAGGAAAAACAGTTGGGAAAATATATGTAAATAATTCCTACATACGTTCATTAATTTGTAAATTTCAGATGGTAGTTGCCAAATCGGATGTCCCCGAGCCGACAATGGAGTTTTAAAGTATAAGCCGGGTAATTTTTACGAGTACAGCTTTGAGAGCATCTTAACAGTTGGATTGAGCTCGAGCAATGCCGCTGAGGCTGATGATACGAGCTTGAAAGTAACTGGCACGGCAAAGGTGTATGCCAGTGGCAATTGCGGCTACACCTTGCAGGTGGGTACTGTCAAGGTGGTAAACACAAAGGAGTCTGTGGAACGCAAGATCCTGAATAACATACAAAAGCCAGTGCAGTTCACCTTAGCCAGTGGACAGCTGGAGCCGCTGATCTGTGCCGATGCTGGCGAAAGCAGCTACTCGCTCAATATCAAGAGAGCGATCATCTCTTTGCTGCAGTCGCACACAGGTACCGAGAGCGCGAGCGAAATCGACGTCTTCGGTTCTTGCCCGACGCACAGCTCAACAGCGACATCAGGCAACGGCGAGATTCTGACAAAGGTGCGAGATCTCAACAACTGCGCTCATCGTGAGCAAATCAATAGCGGCCTGCTCTCAGGCATACTCAACGAGAAGGCAGGTGTCACGAGCAGCGCCATCTTCCAGGCTGACTACATCAGGGAGCTGAGGGTCGAGCGCGGAATTGTGGAGAATGTGCAGCTGAACGAGGTCTACAGATTCGCTGGCAGCGCCAAGGGTAGCTCCGAGGTCACTGCCAAGGTCACCACAACCCTCAAACTGAGGACCCCGACTGGCCAAGCAGGTGCCGCACCCGCTGTGGCGGCCACAGCCAAACCAGTCAGCATTATTTTCGGAAAGAGCGATGCGTACACCACGAAGAATCTGGCAGCGTTGAAGTCGGTCGTCAATGAGCTCGTCGACCTGACGGCGGACTACGTGAAGAAGGACACAGCCAAGAAGTTTGTTGAGCTCATCCGGCTTATGCGTCACTCCGACGTGGACACACTGCTGGAGCTCTCCACGGCGCCGCACCCCAAGAAGGCCTTGGCACGCAAAGTTTACCTAGATGCGCTGTTTCGCACGAACACGGCCGAGTCAGCTAAGGCCATACTGAAGCAGTTGGCAAAGCTGGAAGAGAAGGAAAAGCTGCTGGCCATCTTCTCGCTGAATCTGGTCGAAAGGGTGGACAAGGAAACATTGAGTCTTGCATCGCAACAGCTGCTCCCAGCTGCACCGAAAGAAATTTACCTGGCCGTTGGCAATTTGGTTGGCAAATTCTGCAAGGAGAACCAGTGCGAGCCGAACGAAATTGGGCAGATATCGAAAAAGTTCATCGAAGGACTGAAGCACTGCAAGCCGAATACCAAAAAGGAAGAAGAGCGCATCGTCTACGTGCTCAAGGGCATTGGCAACGCCCAGACTTTAGTCAACAATGTGGCAACGGCATTAAGCGAGTGCATAACACCTGGTCGCAGTAATCGCATACGCGTCGCGGCTCTGCAAGCCTTCTCAGCCGTGAGCTGCAAGCAGGACTTGAGCTCAAAGGCACTGCAGCTGCTTAAGGACACGAACGAGGACTCTGAGCTGCGCATCGAAGCCTATTTGGCTGCCATTAAGTGCCCGACTGTTGACCTGGCCAAAGAGATCTCGAACATTATTAACGCCGAACCAGTGCACCAAGTCGGCAGCTTTATCGAGTCCAATTTGAGGGTGATACGGGACTCGACAGATCCGACGCGGGAGCACCAGAAATACTATCTCGGAAATATTCGAGTGACGAAACAGTTTCCGAAAGACTATCGCCGTTTCAGCTTCAACAATGAGCTCTCCTATCGCCTGGACGCGCTGGGCCTGAGCGGCAGCTCGGACTATAAACTGATTTACTCGCAGAATGGGTTCCTGCCCCGCGCTGCTCGCCTCAACTTGACAGCCGAGATATTGGGCAACAATTTCAATGTATTTGAGGCTAATCTGCGGCAAGAGAATCTTGAGAATCTGCTCGAATATTATGTCGGCCCAAAAGGCTTATTGAACAAAGATTTCGACGAGATTGTCAAACTGATCGAAGTCGGAAACTCTGGAAATTTGGGAAATCCTGCAGGTCGCGGCCGTCGATCGGTTGTTGACGACGCTGTCAAGATCGGCAAGAGATATAAGAGCTACGGCAGCCAGAAGTCAATACAAGACCTGAATTTGGACTTATCGATCAAATTATTTGGCTCAGAGCTCGCCTTTTTGAGCTTGGGCGACAACATACCCACGACCTTGGATGACATCATCAAGCACTTCTCAGAGGCATTCGACAAGGCCAAAAAGGAGCTGACCTCATTTGAGACGCAATATGCAAGCCATCAGTTGTTTTTGGACAGTCAACTCAGCTACCCGACAGGTGTGGGAATACCTTTGGAGCTGGGCGCTCAAGGCTTCGCGGCGAACAAAGTCGACTTCGCTGTCAACATCGACGTGAATGCGATCCTAGAACAGAACTGGCAGCGAGCCAAATACCGTTTGAAGTTCGTGCCCAGCATTGACGTGACTGTCAATCTACAGCTCGGCTTCAACACTCAGGTGTTGGCGACAGGAGTGCGCGTGGCGACTAGCGCCCACACAGCAACCGGCAGCGATGTATCAATCGCCCTGATTAAAGACGGCGACGGCTTCAATGTGAACGTCGAGCTGCCGCGTGAGAAACTGGAGCTGGTCGACATACAAGTCAAGTCCGAGTTCTACGTAGCCGAGCAGGATAAGGCAATCAAGCCGGTGCCATTGAGAGTGGCCAAGAGTAAACAGGCGTCGTCGCCAAATGAGAACTGCCTAAATCAGTTCAATGACTTGGGTCTAGGTTTGTGTATCAAGTCGAGCACTCCCCTTCTAACAGACAACTCGCTCATTGACGAGCTGAAATCGTCGCACGACTACAGCCTCTCCGTTTACCTGACCTCCGAGCGCAAGATCAATGTGAAGGGCACACACCTGACTCTGCCCACGGGCAGTCAACAATGGAAGCTGCAGTACAGTACGCCCGAGTCGAAGGTTTCACATGACACGAGCCTGGCATTCGAGCTGGGCACCAAGCCGAATATCTATGGACGCCTCTCCTTGGACAACTCACAATATCATCTGGCTGTCGAGGCGGGCTTCAAAGACAGCAATCAAGAGCTTGTTCTCTACGGCCAGCACGAACAGAACAAGGACATTAAGAAGTCGAAAATAGGCTTCATTAAGACCGGCAACGAGTACAGGCCAGTCATCGAGATTGAAGACAAGAATGGTCTCACCAAAAACATCAACGGCTACCATGCCAACGGCCTGATCGTCGTCCAGAAGACGACCGAGAAACAGACGAGATATAATTTCCAGAATTTCCAAATACTTAACCGCAACAACGATCGTATTCAGCTAAATGGCTGGGTCGATTTGTCGCCCACCTCGTTGGAATCGGAGCTTCGGATATCACCAAATCAGGAATCGTATCTGCTCAAGTCCAACTTCAAGCTGGACAATAATCAGTATGCATTGGGTGTGTTCGTGAACGATGAACGCAAGCCGGAGAACGTCTACGGAACGTCGGCGCAACTGAAAATCGGCAAAGATGTTTACACCCTGCAACTGGTTGGCAAGGCCTTGCAGTGGTCTGTGAATAGTGAGACCGAATTGGGCTATGTGAATGCGGCAAACTCGAATAAGCTGCGCTCGGCCAAGTTCTCGCAGAGCCTCATTGTGCAGCAGAAGAACAAGCATCTGGGCTCGCTGGATATCAAAACAAGACTCGATGAGAATCAATTCGAATTGAATGCGGCAGCAGCGAGTGGGCAGAAGCTGGCAACAGTGGATATTAAGTACGAGGCAAACCAGCGTTCCGTACACGACTACGAGCTGACTGCTAAGGCGAAGTACAACAAGCACACGGTAGATGTTGTCTCCAGGTGCCTGATGAACAACAACCTGTTCAACATTGACAACAGCTTGACGACCAGCTGGGGCACCTCGCTGACAGCCAAGGGCGAGCTGGGCCAGCGGTACTCACCGCAGGACATACACATTGACCTGCAGGGAACCGCTCAGCTCACGGTCAAGGAGAAGCCAGTGCAATGGCTGCTCAAGGTGTTGGGCGTACCGGATAAAACGAGTAGTGAGTTGCGCATTAGCCGCGACAACGCCGAGCTGCTCAAGTTGCTCAGCGAGTCACAGCATCCGCAGGACAAGCTCTCATCGGCGAAGATCAATTTGATTGTCAAGAACCTGCTGACAGCGAAGGCCGACTTGAAGATCGCTAAGAATAACAAAGGCGAATTGGTGGCCTCAGTTGAGACCCTGAAAACGGAGCCGAAGCACAAGCTCGAGGTGGATACCAAGTTCCACATACAGCAGCCGAAGTACGACATTGACAGCATCGTCACCTTGGATGGCAGCAAGAAGATCCATCTGAAGACTGAAAACAATATTGAGAAGCTCAAGTTTACGACGAAGAACCTTTTCGAATGGAATGAGAAAAAGTATTCCTTCGATGCAAACGGCGGCGTCAAGGGCGAGTGGCGTACGAATGGCGACGTTCAAGGCGCATTCAAATTGACCACACCTGAGAACCGTATTGTCGATGGCACGCTAGCTCGCCACTTGACAACCAATCCCAGGACCCAGCTGCGACAAGGTAGTCTCGATGTGCAAGTCAATGAGCAGGACGCAGCGGGCGGCAAGAAGCGATCCATCTCGTACAAAGGCACACTCGACCGAATGAATATCAAAACTCAAGAGATTTCAGTCAACAACCAGCTGACCTACATGGACTTCAATGGAAAGAAGACTGAGCTCACCGCACACGGCGAATATACACTCAAAGGCTCAAAGAGCGCCAAGGCCTTCGATATCGAAGTCAAAGTCGAGGGCCAGCTGGTCGAGAAGCCCATCGAGGTGGCTGTGGTCATTGAAGAGTTGACCGAAAATAGTTTGGTGGGCCGCATTTCAGGCAAATACGGCCAGAGTGTGACAGCTAATCTGAGTGGAAAATATAGTGGTGCAGGTGAGCCCAGCACACCTGCCACATACGAGCTGCAGCTGAAGGTACAAGCGCCCGAGACTAGGTTCAAGAATCTACAATTGAGCAGCAACGGCAAAGTGGGTAGTGAGATTCTTGAGTTTGTGTTGAGCACGAAGTCAGACAATGGCGACTACACAAAGGTAAACACGGTCTGGCAGGGCAATGCCAAGCAGGGCACCTACACATTCAATGCCCAAAACAATCACCTTCAAGCACCGGTGAAGGTCTCCGGCAGCTACCAGAATGACAAGACGGGCAGCTTCAGGGACGGCGATGCCAAGGGCAAGCAGCAATTCACGATCAATGCCGAGTATGGCGACAAGTACATTAAGAGCAATGCCGACGTTAGCTTCGAAGATGCCAATGCCGCATCCCTGAGCTACAAGCTGGACACAAGCAACGATTATTTGAAGAACATTGAAGTTGTTATTCGGAACCAAAAGCCAGCCGAGGGCAACTATGTGCTCAGTGCCCATGTGAAGCAGGCCGGCAAGAGCTATACGGTCGACTCGAAAATCTATAGCTCCAGTCATAAGAAGGGACTCGACCTACGCGCCACGTTGCCTGACAGTCAACCGATTATCTTGGCAGCACTTCTGGAGATCCTGGGTGAGCGTAAAGCGAAGCTTTCACTGGACATACAAAATCTGATCGATCTGGACCTGCAGCTGAGTGGTGAGGCGTCGTATGTGAGTGTCGACGATTTCTACATTGTTGGCAACTGGAATTCGAAGAAGCTTCACCTGGACAACTACGAACTGGATGTGAGGGCGCAAGGCAAAAGCGTCAAGGTACTGCTCAAGCATTCACAGGGCGTCGATTTCTCTGGCAACGCCAGCTACAGCTTGAAGAAGGAACAGAAAAAGTCAACCATTGAAGGTCAGGGTCAGATGCAATACAAAGGTAAGACCCACAATGGCAACTTCAAGCTGCAACGCCAGCAGTTCAATCTCGAAGAGGATCAGGAAATCGGCTTCGCTTACACATTCAACGGCAACATCGGACCCAAGAACGGCGTCTCCACCATTAAGTTGACGAACAAGGAATTCAATACCAAACTGTCGATATGCGAGGAAAGAAAGCAGTGCACCAACATCCAGCTGCAGTCGAGCGTTAGAATCGTCGAGGACAAGTTGCAGCACGACGTGCTCGTCCTTTTAGATCTGCGAGAGCTCGGCTATCCCTATGAGCTGGAGCTCAAATCGAAGAATATTCGTGAGAGCTTCAAGACTATGTACAACCTCGATGCTCGCGTCATATCCAGCAACAGTTTGAAGTACCAGCTCACGGCCTCCGCTGATCCGTCAGCCATAACTATTCAGGTGACCCTGCCCAAGCGACAAATTGCGTTCGAGACCAAGCAACAGATACCCGAACGCCATCAGCTGTTTGGGCGCTACGAGCAATCGGCTGCCTTTTACATAGACAAGCTGCAGCGGCCGAATGACGTGGCACGCGTCTCGGCGGTATTGGACTTGACAGGTGTCGAACAGGTGTCCATTACTGGCAAGGGTCAGCTTAAGCTGGAGCACCCCACTATTCGCCCGTTGACCATCAGCGGTAGCCTGGACGCGAACCGCAACCAGCGCGTATTAAACAGCGAGCTTGTCTTTGACATCTTCCGGTCACCTGAGCAGAAGATAGTTGTAACGCACCAAATTCGCAATAGTCAGGCAGACAACGGCTTCAATCTAAGCTCGCGACAGGAAATCAAATCAACAGGGCTGCGCTTCCAGTACGAGCTGAAAACGAACTCGGCCCTCAATCTGGAAACCAAGGAGTTCAGTGCCAGCAGCGAGCTGCAGAGCAGCACAAGCGACTTGGCAGCCGGTGTCCAGCTCCTGGGCAATAAAGAGCGCTTCGAGCTGCAGCTAAGTGCATTGAATGAACAGATCGTTCGGCTGGCCGGTACCTTCGATTGGCAAAAACTCAATTCGAAGCTACAGATTTTCGGACAGAAGCCAGTGGAACTCTCGAGCGAATTACAGCCGACTTGGGCCAAACTCACGCTGAAACGACAAGGTCTTATTGATGCCAATGCTGAGGTCAAGCTGGGCAAGGAATTCAAATTCGATGTTGTTGGCGCCGGCAAACCCATTTTGAATGGACGCATCGCTCTGGATGCAGCCAACTTCCTGCAGACCAACTATAAAACTAATGATGACGATGTCAAAGCATTCTTGGTAAGGAAAATTTCATAAACATACATAGACCACATAGATCGGAATTCATACTGATTGATCGAGCGAACGAAACACATTTGTCCGTCGATCCATCTGTCTGTCCGTCTAGGCTAGATATCTGGCATAGCTCAGGTATACCATATTCATATTATAGTCTCTCATTCCACTCGATTTTCGCTAGAGAGTCTGATAAATCTGTAAATTGTGTTGGTATATTTAATTGAACAAACCCACATAATTTGTCCATCTCCCCTAGGAATCTGTGGAATCAGAAATCAACAAAGAAACTGAAGCGGTAACTACCAATTTGAAGAAGCGCTTCGAAAAGGTCCGTCAGGATGTTGAGCAAAATGCCAAACTTGCGGCGGACAGTGCTCCAGACTTTACAAAGCTAAGAAACGGCTACGAGAGTCAGGTGAAGACCATAATCAAGGAGCTCGAAAGCGATCCATTATTGAAACCCATCGTGGATGCTATGTAAGTACTGTCATTATTATGTTTCTCCTTACACCCCGAACCTCGTATCATTTGCAATGCTTCAGGGTATACAATTATATATTCATAACTAATTATTTTCATATTCATTTGCTCAAATCACAAATGATCCATTCAACTTTTTAGACGGACCCTTTTCGAGAAGATAAACAAGGCGATTGATGAGTTGACAAAGTTGATATCAGAAAACTATGAGAAGTTGACGAAGACAGTCAAGGAAATTCTAGATAAACTAAACGATCTGTGGGAGAACTCACTACTCAAGATCTGGGAACAATTGATCGTATCGCTATCGAAGGTGGGGGGACAGCTGCGCATCGAGCTAGTAAACATCTACACGAATGTGGCCAAGGAGTTTGTCGCATGGCTAGAGAAATACGGACCCGCATTGAAGAACTATGGCAAGGCAATTAGCGACGCATTCAGGCCGTTGCACGAAGCAGCCCAGGAGCTGATCAAGGTTGTGCTGCATTCAGTTGAGGAGCTGCTGGACGAGCTCAAAGAATTTGTTGCCAAGTTGCCGACATTCGAGGCGCTGCGTAATGAGGTGGCCAACAAAATAAAGGAGTGGAAGCTCTTGGAGCGGACCTTGGAGACACTCAACAATATCTTTGACCAATTGAATATTCTGCCCCAAACTCCGGAAATAGCTGAATTATTGCAAAAGCTGCACGAATTCCTAGAAGCGAAGCTCAGACAGCAGCCGGTCGACGACGACAAATGGTTGAACGATTTATCCAAACTGTTACTGAGAGCCGTTCGTTCCGTTTTGGCCGCGCTCAACGGTAGCAAATCTGTTGAGAACGTTGCACTCTTTGGCGACTCGTCTCTCAGTTTGTGGCCTTCGTCCCTTGATGGCTTTGCTAAGTTGCCATTGGTGCTGTCGTTCCGGTCGAGCGTTATCAACTTCCTGTTGAACGAAAACTGGGAGGGCATATTCAAGAAGGACCTCCTCTCCAACTGGCTATTCTTCCATGACTTTGAGCTGCATGGCCACATTGTGGATGGACAGCATGTCTTCAGTTTCGATGGTCAGAGCTTTGCCTATCCCGGCAATTGCAAATACATCTTCGCACAAGACAGTGTGGACAAGAACTTCACGGTGATTGGCCAGCTGAATAACGGCAAACTAAAGGCCATAACGCTAATTGACCGCGATGGCAATTTCGTGGAGGTCAGCGATAATGTCGCCCTCAAAGTGAACGGAAAGCCTGTTGAATACCCACAACACCTCCCCGGCATTCACACGTGGCGCCGCTTCTACACGGTTCACATCCACTCGGAATATGGCGTCAGCGTAGTATGCACAACCGACCTGAAAGTGTGCCACGTCAATGTAAACGGATTCTACACAAGCAAGACCCGCGGCCTGCTGGGCAACGGCAACGCCGAGCCGTACGACGACTTACTGCTAATCGATGGCACCCTCGCGAGTGACTCGGCTGCTCTGGGCAACGACTACGCGGTCGGCAAGTGCAGCCCCGTGGCATTTGACAAGAGCCAGTTGGAAGGGCAACGCAACGACATATGCTCGGACATATTTGGCATCGACTCCCCATTGGCCGTGCACTATTTAGCATTGGACGCTCGTCCTTATCGCAGCGCCTGTGACGTTGCCGTAGCAAGTGTACCTGAAAAGGACAGAGAATCGCTGGCCTGCACTTTCGCCCTAGCCTACGGGTCAGCCCTGAAACTGCAAAAGAAATGGGTGTTGCTGCCACCACGCTGCTTGAAATGCACCGGTGCTGTGGGTCAGCGCGAACTGGGCGAAGAGTTCACCGTCAAAATCCCATCGAACAAGGCCGATGTCGTCTTTGTGGTGGACATCAATGTGTCACCAACTGTGTTGGCCAATTTGATAGCTCCGGCAATCACCGACATTCGCGATTCACTAAAAACCCGCGGATTCACCGACGTCCAGGTTGGCGTAATAGCTTTTGACGAGACGAAACGCTACCCTGCACTTCTTACTAGTGACAATGGCAAAATCAACTACAAAGGCAACGTGGCCAACGTTCAATTGAATGGACCGAACAATTTCTGTGAGAACTGTGTGGAGCAAATTATAACCGAAAAGCGTATATTGGAGGTCTACAACATGCTGGAGCGCTTCATCAAATCCATTGTACCCCAATCCGATGAAAAAGCGTTCCACCTGGCCTTGGACTATCCGTTCCGCGCGGGTGCTGCCAAGAGCATAATTGGAGTCCGCAGTAATTCGCTCGAGTACAACAATTGGGTAATGCCAAATTTTTTTTTCTTTGGTATATATGTGCATACAAAAATACTAATATATATGGGTATATTTTTATCTAGTGGAAATTCGTACGTGCTCAAATAACCGGAACCACGACCAAATTCGACGGCGCTTTGCTCCACCTAATTGCACCAATCAAGGGACTCGCTGTAGAGGGTGTGCCAGCTGAAAAGCTAGTTGGTAGGTCTTTTCTCAAATATTGTAATCTGAGTAATGAAAGCAATTCTAAAGACTAAAATCCTTATTTATAAAGGCTTCAATGCTCGCCTGGTCGCCACTCTGGATGGCAAGGACAATAAGAAACGCGCGAAACTGCAATTCGAAAATGATATGGGCATTGACTTCGTACTCAACAACGGCGGATGGGCATTCAACACACAAAACTTTGATAAACTTAAGGCAGGCGATCAGAAGAAGTTGCTGAACCAGGTGACGTCCTCCATTGCGGATACACTCTTCAAAACGGAAACGATCAGCGAGTGCCGCTGCCTGCCCGTGCACGGCCTGCATGGCCAGCACAAGTGCCAGATCAAATCGTCGATCTTTGTGCCCAACAAGAAACCCAAAGCGGCGTAAGGAGCAAACCCAAACATAACAATATTATATGTCATCTGCAATTTACATTAATTAAACAAAAAGAAATGAAGTAAAATAAACTCCGAACTCTTTCAATATAAAATGTATACTCACATTTAATATAAGCATGAACTCAACCCTTTATATTCCCACAGCACATATATTTGCAAATTTATGACCCACGCCCAGCCCACTTGTTAAAATATTTGGAAATGGAACCAAATTGATCAGAGATGCGCCAGCGTTCAGCGAATAATACGACTAACTGTATAACACACCAGTTAGCAGATTTTGCTCTGTTATCCCAGCTGAAACCTGGCGGGCAGTTATTACAAAATCGAAAACTGAGAATGATTATGGGTATTACATCTAATAAAACATACAATCTGCCAGAAGCAGCTCTACAGCCTTGGAAGAATCCAATTATTCCAAAGCCATTATACACGAAGGTCAATGTTAAAATGTTAAATGAGTGCATGAGCAATAATATAAAACCTTTAAATTGTTTATATAAAACTTTTAATAAGCTGCCCAGCTTGCTTTATTTTATCTACAGCTTTTAAAATAGATTAAAGTGTAAGAATTGCTTCCTTTTCATAAAATTTTAAAAGCACGCTCACCAATTTCGGAAATAATGACGTCACACCGTTAACTTAACGGATCGCTTTGCCCAACCTATCACTCAATCGTGATATAACACTGTTGTATGGTTAGTGGTGGTATAGTCGACAATTATTTACTAAAAGTTATCGATAATGCCATATAGCTGGTGAGCGGTCACTTAACAAGATTAAGTTATTGATTGATTAAGTTATAGATTGAAATCCATTCCTCATTTCATAAATTGAAAACTTAGAAATAAAAAAGAAACGAAAACAAAATTAAATAGTAAATAAAAAATATATGTTTCACTCCATCAGTCTTAACTGTTAATAACCGTTAGCTTTTTTAAAATACCCGTATTTTAAGATCTGCAATTAAATTGTTATTAATATCATTATTTAAAATTAATCTCAGTATGGGAAACTTTACCATCCAATATTCTAAGAGGTCTCACTTGAGACCCAATCTTTTTTGTTGATAATACTAGCATGTCAACATTTGTGGATTTTTGCGAGCTTCGTTTTTGGGTAACACGAAGTCCAGCTTTGTTCAACATCCTCTCACTCTCAGTAGAGGTTGCTGACACGCATACATATTATTTAGTACTTTTAGCTCACAACACGTTTTCTGCTTAACCACTGACCACTGTTTGGTCCGTGGCTTAACTCAGTTGACTATTGTTAGAGATGTTTAGAAATAGTTCTATTAAACCAGTAAATTTAGTGGAGGTAACATTTTTACAAAACATCGAACATCGAACAAATAACATCGATATTTCTCATTTTATTTGAAACATCGATGTAACATCGATACATCGATGCGCCCAGAACCAGTGGTGAGGATACTCTCTGAATATTTGACAATATTAAAAAGATTACATTTATTTCATTAAAATATGCTTTTTAGACTCTGAAATAGAATATAATTCTATAAAATAACTTAAAGTAACTCGCAAGAAATTTTGGTATGATTGCCAACACTAACCAGCGAACACACTGCTTGAGCCTCAAAAGACCCAGCCGAGCAAATACGAAGTTGGCTGGTCTCTTCAGCGCATTTTTCGTCGTTGAAAAAATTTGTTCTAAATGTCTAGTCTATGTGTTCTCTGATTAGTGTTGCCAACTAAGACTATCTTGATAACTCACAAAGAGGAGCTTCAACTACTGTCGTAAAACTCGTGTAACGATTATTCTCTTAATGTTCTCCCATCTCTAACTTTGTTGTGTATTTATACTATTTTTGTTTAATGCTGTCAAATATGAATTGACAGTGTATGATGAGAAATTGTTCTGCTATTGTGCATTTAGTCAAACAAGGAAACAGTACTATGAATTCTCTAGAGGAGCAGCTAAAGCAATTAACGATATTGAATAGAAGGTGCGATGATGCACATATGAAAACCGGAAAAGTCGCAGCTTTAGTTAACAATTTACAACAGAAAGCTGATGCTGCTCAAAATACCTCCGTTTTCAGTAAGTCGAGGACGGCACCAACCATACCACCGAAGCCATTCAAAAAGACAGTTGATATGCCTCAGGTGAAAAATAATTATAAAGTTCATAGTGCAAAAAGGAAATATCACTACACCATTTTACAGGTGCCCCTTAGCAAACTAGTTACGGATGCCCGAGAACCACTTTTTTCACAGCCACTACTTAGTGGATCGAACCTTCTAATCAAGCAGCCCATTTATGCTAGTAAAAGTGTTGATAAAATTGGCAATAGCCGAACAACACTGGACAACCCAGCTATATTGGAACAGCAATTAGAAGCTTTAGCGTACCATAAACAGCAAATGGAGAAAAAGGGACTATTGGGTGCGCAGAGTCTACAAATTGCTGAACATGCCGAAATCATTCCGAAACTATCCTCCACATCTCTAAGTGGCCACTTTTCCAGGCAGAGTGCATCTATTTATAGCAATCTACAACACTCTTCGGAGTGTCTAGCTAACGAGTCGAAATCTGTATTCATGCAACCAAATGATTCTTCTTCCAATGTCCAAAATACATTTACACGAAATGGTAAGTTGTATTACGATATGCCAGCCAGAAAGCCCAGTGCAACCAAGGGAGATGCTCCTCGGCTCCATATGGGGCCACCGCTTGTAACAGATATCGGTTGATGTGTTAAGGATAATTAAAAAATCGAGTACCTACCTTTTACATATCTATTTATTGCTGATAATATAACTCCGAATCGAATGCTTTCTATTTGGACAACCCCATCTTTAGATAAGGAATTAGAAGAAGACTTACCGCCGCCTCCTAGTCCAGTTAGCTCATCTTATAGTGAGCTGCGAAGAGCTAGTGACGTCTTTGACAAAGCGGGCGACTCACATGGGAAAAATCCAAATGAACCAATGGCAACATCCAGGGTAAACCTTGCCAATCCATATGCTACTCAAAACGTAAATATTCTCATATCACAGCTTATTAACAAATAAAGTAAATAATTCCATTTCAGAATTATCAAAATAAGACTTGTGGCGACTATTTTGCCTATGGTGCATTATCCCAGGTTGGAATGTATTATATAAAAATAAAATATATAAAGGGTATATGAATACATACATGCAAGTTGACGCGGCAATCACCATTCCATACAGAATATATACATGTTATATATAAATACAATTTATTTATATATGATCATTTAAATAAGCTTCATATACAGATAATTCGTATCCCCTGAAATCGAAAATCGCGATAAATCAAAGAAAATGCGATCCTTTGAAAGAAATCGAAAAAAAAAAACAAGTAAGAAGACTCTAGTCGAGACTGCTCGACTAGGAGATACCCTGAACCCTCCAATCTGATATTCTATTCACTGTGCACTTCTTTTCGGCACACATACATACACACGCACGTATTAGACCGCGCTCTGCTAACTGTGCAATAAGCAGCCTCTGTGCTTGGGCTGCTCTGCAGTGTGAGCAACATTATAAGAATTTATTTGTTGAATAATTTAATTTCTAGACGTACAATCTTAATGAAACTTTTAGAACATAATTATAATGCTCAAATGTATGTACAAGTCTCTAGTATTTGAAATACGCTTTTTACAAAGGTGTGGGTGAGGGGGTAGAAATAGGAGTGGGGGGTAAATTCTAACAAAAATTCTAACGAAATCGTATAAAATATATATAAGTCTACATTCAAAATTTGGAAGCTCTAGCTCTAAAGGTGTAGGAGAACCCATTGAAAATGGGAAATCAGGGTATAAGGGTTTTGTTAAAAGTATGTAACAGGCAGAAGGAAGCGTGGCAGACCCCATAAATTATATATATTCTTGATCAGGACGACGAGCTGAGTCGATTTAGACGCCGTCCGTCCGTATGCTTGAAAGCGTCGATCTCAGAAGCTATAAGGGCTAGAGACTTGAAAATTTGTTTTCCTAGGTTCGTGTATACCACGCGCATATCTTCAAAAATCGATAACTTTTCCCGTTATTTTGTTATCGATTAAAACATGATCGAAAATCAGTAATAATGTTATATATGTTAAACCATTAAAGCTAGAATCCCCAAATTTGTAAGAGACATTCCAAATATTAGGGACTTCTTTGACAAATTCATTTCTATGTTATAATCTGTAATACGTACGGGCGAATTTTGGATACCTGATATTTGAAAGCACTAATGGGAAATGACTTTCTTATGCTCTGGCAGAGTTCTTCAACATATGATTCGATATATGAACCCATAAACCCACGTCCAGCTGTCGATATATCGTCGCGTACTGCGAATTGTAATGCATATACTACATATGTAAATCAGCGCATTATGTCAACCAGCAATTGGAATAAACTGGGGTTAGAACAAAGTGGAAGTGGAACAAATACTCCCATATACTGCAACGACGAAGCTAAAGTAGAGGCTAACATTGGATTTTCAAAAATAAGTGAAAATGATGAGCACTTGAGTCAATATCACTTGTCAACAATTGATTCGACTAACGAAGTGGAGAGCTACGGTCGGTATATGTCTAAAAATCTTTGATAATCAGTCATGTATCTTCCTAATTCTTTTCATTTGTTACCCATATAGGTCGTTGCTTCAAGTGTAATGAACGCGTGCTCGGCGAAAGTAGTGGATGCACTGCCATGGATCAAATATATCACATTTCATGTTTCACATGCACTGAATGTCAACTTAACCTACAGGGCAAACCATTTTATGCACTAGAAGGACAACCATTTTGCGAATACGACTATTTGCAAACACTTGAGAAGTGTTCAGTTTGCTTAAAGCCAATTTTGGAGAGAATTTTAAGAGCCACGGGCAAACCCTATCATCCACAATGTTTTACTTGCGTTGTCTGTGGAAATAGTTTGGATGGTAAGTATGGGGGAGACAAAAATACTAGGTGAAATAGTGATAGATAGGAAAACTAGGTGATACTACCACAGACAGAGGTAAATCTTTTCGGGACTATACTAACTAGGGCTGTCGAATATTTTTAAAATATTGTATTGATGAAATATCAATATGATATTTGATATGCAACTTTCAAAATATCGATAAATCAATATTTTTAATCCGTCCCAAAAAACAAGTATGAACGTTGCAGTCGTTCGTTACCGACTACGGAATACTCATTCCCACACCATCAGCAATTGAGTAGCTAAGATTAGCTCTAATACTGTAGAAAATGCAGTTTTCCCCGATATGCCACGCCCCTATTCGGCGTAAACACCTCATTTTTGGCCAGTGCTTAGAACGAGCTAACGGTACCCTAACTGCAAAAATTGAATGCTTACGCTTAAAAATGTGAAAATTACAGGGTATTTTTCGATATGCGACGCCCCTAAAGAGGTGTAAAAATTATTTTTGGGTCATCGATAGTAACTCAACTATCTACATTTGAAGCTTCTAGCTATTATACTTTAGGAGATATAAACTTTTGTGGTTTGCCACGCCCCCTGTGTGCAGACATGTATCTGTCGAAGTCTTTTGGTCTTGGGTGGTTCGCCGTTCAAACGGACAGACGGACGGACAGCAAGACAGGCATTGCACAAAACCAATATACTAATTCACTTTCATGAATGAATATAGCAAGAATAATTAGAATAATTATGTTGTATTTAAATAAAAATACCGCTGAACTCCAGTATTCGATATTCAAAAGTATCATAGTGCTTGTTTTTCTCATGCGACGCCATCTTTAATGTGCTGGCACTTGTTATACTCATTCACGGAAGTGAGTTATTATACTCTTTAACGGAAGTGAATTAGTATATTGGTTTTGTGAAATGTCCGACTGTCCGTATGAACGCAGTTTATTTCGGCGCTTCTGAATCTATAGACTTGTAATTTGGAACACATACTCGTGTATATCCCGATTTATTGTATATTCCCGATCTGCCCACTAGGGGCTTGGGAAATCTGAAAATGCATTTTCCGATATACCACAATTCATATATATTGAAGAGTTAGAAAGGTGAAATTTGGAATGTAGATCCGCATCGAACACCCAAGATTTCTAGCTATGGCGGATATATCTACGCCCATTGGGTGCGTGGCAAATCGGATAAAACTGTATCTTCAATACTTTTACCTAGCTGCGCTAAAATTCAGCTAATGTTATGATTCTATAAAGTCTTAAGACTAATGTTGATTCTATGATTATGATTCTAAAATTATATGTGTACGCCCATTAGGGATGTGGCAAATCGGACCTGAAGATATAGGGATATTTTTAATTAATTGATGCCAGAGATCTCAAATTTGGTATATATACTCGATCTGATCACTCAAGACCAAGAAGATTTGTCGAATATATGTTTGCCCACAGGGGGCGTGGCAAACCGCAAAAGTTCATATCTCCTAAAGTATAATAGCTAGAAGCTATAAATTTAGATAGTTAAGTTACCAGTAACCTCCTCTATCGATGACAAAAAAAATAAGTTTTACGCCTCTTTAGGGGCGTGGCATATTGAAAAATACCTGAATTTTCACATTTTTTGAGCGTAAGCATTCAAACTTTGCAGTTAGGGTACCGTGATCTCGTTCTATAAGTAATAAGTAATAAGTATTCCGCAGTCGGTAACGCCCGACTGCAACGTTCTTACTTGTTTTCATTACTTTAAGCCACAAATTACATTTGGCTGTTTCATTATAAAAGTCAGAATAATACATTTTCACCATACTAAATTTGTGTACATTCACAATTGGTTTACTTATCACAGGAGTCCCCAAACCAAATATATCAAAATATCATATAAAGAATTCTATATTTGGCCCAAAAAAAGGCGATATAATCATATTTTTTGTTGAAAAATATATCGATATGTTGATATTTTGATATATTCTCAACAGCCCTAATACTAAGGCTGTTGTCAGAGTGGCCTCGATAAGCGATGCGATAATTTAGAGCGACAATAAGCGAGAAAGCTCTACATGCAGATTTACATGTAATCGCTTAAAGCATGTCAGAGTGCAAGCGAAGCGAGAAGAGAGCCAAAGCGAGAAGTAAAGCGAGTTGCGAAAAAGCATTCCTGAATCGTTTTCTCGCATTATCGCATGATAAAGCTTTTCTGATACGTTGTTTAGTCGGTGAAATATATTCTTTTTGGCAATTCAAGCAATATTTCTCTCTTTCACTCTGACATGCCCTCGCTTGCAGATCGCTGCGATACTTATCGCTTTTAGCATCGCATCGCTTATCGCGGCCACTCTGACATCAAGCTAACACACTCGAAAAAATTAAAAATGAAGACATTAGCTCTAAAGATGTAAGAGAAATAGTTTTAGAGCAGATGACTTAAAAAAGATGCATAAGTTAAAAAAATTTTAAAACAAACTCAATATGTGCTTGCCTGTAAAGAAAATTTTTATACCCTGAACCCATTTTCAATGGGAAATCAGGGTATAATGGTTTTGTTGAAATGTATGTAACAGGCAGAAGGAGGCGTGGCAGACCTCACAAAGTATATTCTTGATCAGAGCGACGAGCTGAGTTGATTTGGCCCTGTCCGTCTGTCCGTATGTTTGAACGCGTCGATTTCCGAAGATATAAGAGCTAGAGACTTCAATTTTTTTTAAATGTCCGTAATTACAGCGCGCATATCAAGTTTATCATTAAAAATCGATAACTCATCCCGATCTTTTTTATCGATAAAAACCCTTATCGAAAACCAGTTATAAAATTATATCTCCTACACCTTTATTGCTAGAGTCTTCAAACTTGTTTTGTATGCTAATATGCAATTTATGCAATTTCGGTTTTTTTTTAAATTTACCCCCCACCCCCATATCCACCCCCTCACCCCATGTTTGTAAAAAGCGTATTTCAAATACTAGAGACTTTTGCTTTGGCAAGTACATGCATATCCATGTTGTTATCATAATCTGAAAGTTTAATGAAAAAAGTTCATCCACAAAAAAAGTTATTAAACAATTAGGTTTTCATAGTAAGCCAACACTGCAGCCCATGCGTGTTTATGCGTGGGTGCTTGTGTGCGTATGTGTTTATGTATGTGTGTGTATGCGTGTGTTTATGTATGTGTGTGTGTGTATGCGTGTGTGTATGTATGCCTGTGTGTGCGTACGTGCGTGTGTGTGTGTGTGTGTGTGTGTGTGTGTGTGTGTGTGTGTGTGCGTGTTTCTTGTGTAAGCTGAAAGACTCGAAAAATTATTGAAATATCTATTGCTCCAAGGGTTCAGGGGATCTCGTAGTCGAGCAGTCTCGACTAGAGCTTTCTTACTTGTTAATGTATGCTTATATGCAATTTATGCATATTCGGTTTTTGTTAAAATTTACCCCCCACCTCTATATCCACCCCCTCACCCTCATGTTTGTAAAAAGCGTATTTCAAATACTAGAGACTTGTGCTTTGGCAAATACATGCATATTCATGTTATAATCAAAAAGTTTCATGAAGATCTTATGTCCACAAAAAAACGTTATTAAACAATCAAGTTCTTATAGTAAGCGCATACTGCATTCCATGCGTGTTTATGCGTGGGTGCTTGTGTGTGTATGTGTTTGTGTATGTGTCTGTGTATGTTTGTTAGTATGTGTGTGTGCGTGTGTGTGTGTGTATGAGTGTGTGTGTGTATGAGTGTGTGTGTGTGCGTGTGTGTGAAATAGCTATTGCTCGAAGGGTTCAGGGGATCTCGTAATCGAGCACACTCGACTAGAGCTTTTTTACTTGTTAATCCTTAGTTCTGGTAGCTTCTCACATCAACGGCCTGTCACATACATTTTACGAAAACCGTTCAATTTTCAGGCTATCCAAATAATATCTCTTATTTGATTTCATGAATGAACGTTGTAATTTTGAAGCATTTAATGATTAAATGTATTTTGTTTTCTATTCGCAGCTATTCCATTCACAGTAGATGCCACGAACCAAAATTATTGCATTGCAGATTTCCATAAGTAGGTTGGCTCATACTAAAAAAACATATGATATAATATACTAAACATAAATACATATAATATAGTAAAAAAAAAAAAAAAAAAAAAAATCATTTCAGGAAATTTGCTCCTCGTTGCTGTGTTTGTCAGGAGCCAATCATGCCGGAGCCCGGACAAGAAGAAACTGTAAGGGTCGTTGCCCTTGATCGAAGTTTTCATCTAGAATGCTATAAATGCGAGGTGAGTATTTCAGAAAATGTATATATACATATACAAATATAGTAAGCGATAACTTTCCCATTAAACACTGTTTTATGAGAAACGAATGTATAGGGTCGTTCACCAATTAATTTCATATCATGACAGCTGATCTTATTGAATTTTTTCGCAGCCAACTTGGCGGTTAACCGCCTTACCGTTATACATTTTAATATTTGATATAGTAAAACTTATTTGTAAACACTTTTGTTGGATTGTGCGAAATAGTTTTCATTTGGTGCCCTATCGAAGATGAAAGATCAAAAGCAACATTTTCAGCATATTTACTAATTTAGTATTGAAAGGGCAAAAATGCAGTTCAAGCATGGCGAAAATTATGCGATGTGTACGGAGAAGATGTATTGACCGAACGCCAATGCCAAAATTGATTTGTGAAATTTCTTTCCGGCAATTTCAATCTTGAGTATGCACCACGTCCTAGATGTGGACAAAATAAAGTCGTTGGTCGATGCAAATCGTCGAATAAAAACTCGAGAGATTGCAGGAAGATTAAATCTGTAAAATGCCAACGTTCACAACCACATGAAACGTCTAGGATTAATTTCCAAGCTTGGCATATGGGTTCCTCATGATCTTACAGACCGAAATTTGCATCGTCGCATTAACAACTGCGATTCGCTTATTAGACGTCAAAGAAATGATCCATTTTCAAAGCGCATTGTTACCGGCGACGAAAAGTGGGTTGTTTACAATAATGTAAAGCGCAAGAGATTCTAAAAAGGATGAACCAGCTCAGACCACTTCAAATCCCTATATTCACTAAAAAAAAGGTTATGTTGTCCGTTTGGTGGGATTTCAAAGAATTGTTCAATAGAAAAGGTGTAGTGTTTCACAAGGATAATGCGAGACCCCATACAAGTTTGATAACTCGCTAAAAGCACCTTCGTACTATTACTTATTCCGGTCTCTGCAGAATTTTTGGGATGGTAGAACTTCACTTCAAATCAGGACGTCAAATACCACTTGAACCAGTTTTTTGCCAGAAATTGTAAAATCTCTTGCCGAAAGATGGCGAAAGGTATTAGATAAAAATAGAGAAAACATTTCCATAAAATGTTTTATAAAATAAAAACAATTAAAAAAGCTCTAGTCGAGACTGCTCGACTTCGAGATCTCTGAACCCTTCGAGAAATAGCTATTTCAATCACTTTAAAAATTTTAAATTTTAACAAAAACCGAAATTGTATAAAATGCATATAAATATACATTCAAAATTTGGAGACTGTAACTCTAAAGATGTGGGAGTTATAATTTTATAACTGATCTTCGATAAGGTTTTTATCGATAAAAAAAGATCGGGATGAGTTATCGATTTTTAATGATAAACTCGATATCCGCGCTGTAAATACGGACATTTTAGTCTCTAGCTCTTATATCTTCTGAAATCGTCGCGTTCAAACATACGGACAGACGGACGGACAGACAGACAGACGGACAGGGCTGTATCGACTCAGCTCGTCGCCCTGATCAAGAATATATAAAAGAATTGTGGGGTCTGTCACACCTCCTTCTGCCCGTTACATACATTTCAACAAAACCATTATACCCTGATTTCCCATTGAAAATGGGTTCAGGGTATAAAAATAATTTGTTTATAAAAAATTGCAAATAAAAGTTTATCATTTTTTTTAATTTGCCGTAAAAAATGTACATATGTGTGTGTTTCTCCTCTCTTCTTGGTGGTTCTCTTGTGCCTCAATTTTTTAAATGCAAAATTCCTATTTGCGGTCCCTGCTATTATTAATTAAAGATAATAAAGATAGGGTTTCTCTTTATCAAATTTTGTAAATCTATAATTATTTATTTATTTAATATATTTTCTTGCAGGACTGTTCCCTCTTATTGTCATCCGAAGCCGATGGTCGCGGCTGCTATCCCTTAGATGATCATGTGCTGTGCAAAAGCTGTAACGCTCGAAGGGTTCAAGTTTTAACAAATCGTATGACCTCAGAGCTCTAATCAGATATCGAATAACACTCCGAAATATTGTGTTATGAAATACATCAGCAAATGTATTCATACTTTATTCATACTTGAACTTAAAGCTAATATCAAACTCTAATCTCTATTTATACTATTCGATAGCTTCATTCCATAATTTATAAAAGTAAAGCACATATGCAATTAATAATGTTGCAGTCACTCGTTCAAGGCCCAAAAAGAGTAATGTATATAGTCTGTGTGCAGAAGATGATCTACGGGCTTATATATACATATCTGCCATATTTTGGCCGATTTGACGAAAGACTCTGAATTACATTTTCTCTGGCACCTTACATAATATAGTATTTCCAAGTCGCCGCGACCCTCGAACTCCAACAGAGCAATACGCAAAGCCAATGTACTTTAACCGTTATGTGAACCAGTATGAAAACGAGCATTAGTGAAAGGCATGATAAAAGTTCATTAGAATGAGATAATCCATATTATCGGTTTTTTATAGGTAAATACATACATAGCTCCCATTCGACCTTAAAAATATTAAATGTTTGTAATTTACAAATATTTAAGTATAATATACAACTTTTGACACAACAAATAATTAATGATTTCCGCGACGCTCGTGGTCTTGGGTATATGATTATTGGTCGCCTTATAAGAGACTTCAACATTATTTCACTTGTCAAATTACATATGAGAATACAGATTTTCCTAGGTATGACTAGGATAGAATTAACACGTTGTTCCGTTGAAGATTATTATATATGTGTCTTATATAAACATATTCCAATTTTTATAAACTCAAGCAACAAATAATATACACTATAATTGCATAATAAAAATGTGTTGTTTTCTTTTTTGGGTTTCGATTGTTACTTTGACAGAAACTGCTCTAGAAGGTAGTGCCCGACCTAGCTTATAGCAGATAAACATTGATTTTAGCTCTAGCTGCTCTCCGGGAAATAAATTATTGATCTGGGAGCCTTTTTCAATGAAGTGCTCATATTTTCATATGTATCTAGGCTCTCTCTGCTATTTGAAATAGGTTTTCTTTTCAATTTTGGGAATTGAGGTATGACATACCGACGAAGAGACGGACAGTTAGACGAGCTTAGCTCGACTCAACTTGTCGTTCTGATCAAGAACATTTGTATACAATTAGTAGCTTTGTCACGCCTGTTGCTTTTTATTTTCATATATGCCATATTTCCTAAATACTCATTTGAAGTTCGTTCGCGCTATAGAATCATGCATGTATGCATGCATTTTATAAATACCTACTCAACTGGAAGACAGTACTTCCGATAAAACTCCATATCGTATATGCATACATCGAATTAATGTTAAATAATAAAGTTTTTTCATAAAAGAATTACCATCGATAATAAGTTATTATTATGTGTGTGTCAGTTTATCTGTGTGTGTGTGTATCATGTATGTACATACACATGTTTTTAAAAAGCTCATCACTTTGCCCAAAGGAAGAAAAAGCTTATTTGCCGGTCATGCGTCCAAATGCTGTGGAGACTTTCTCTCTAAGCTTTTTTGCTGAAATTCAAATAGCCTAAGTCCGAGAGAGCGCAAATGCAAAAACAAGAAGGAGAATAACACTGAGAATGAGAATAAGTGGCGGCCTGCGATACAGAAATGTGAAGCACATATAAATATGCATTCCTCTATAGCAGCTACTCCTGAATCTGCTGCTTTCCATCAGAGGCCATCAGTATTGAATTCGCTTTGCTATCCAACGGACGTTAAAGACAACAATACGTAGTATATATATATACATACTTATATATATTATATATATATATATATATTATATATATATATATATATATATATATATAGGTATAGACATACATATATGCACATGCATACCTACACAGTCGCGTGTCGCCTATCGCCTGTCGCCTAGTTCCGTTGGGCATGTACAAAGCTATATGTATGTACATGTGTTGTTTAATGGAATACATTTAATATATACACATTGTATATACGTATGTGTGCTTGTGTGTGTATTACATGTTCATATTCACTCTGAAAAATACACTCCTTCCACGTATGCCATACTTAATTATATACATGTGTACATACCTATGTATGTATCCACATACCCTATGTGTACGCATGTACATACATATGTGCATATAATTGGAACATTTAATTATATACATATGTATGTGTGTTTGTGTTTATATATTGTTATTATTCATCTATATCGATGTCGTTGTACATTCATAGGAACAAAAATAATTTGTTTTATCATTATTAGTAAAGGCCACAAATTCGAGCAGCATACATACATAAATTCGCATATGTATGTGCACGTTTGTGAATTGAATTAAAATTCATCTGTGAATAAATGTGCATTTGAAACAATAATTTTCAAACTATAAATCTTTATTCAGAATCATACATATGTATGTACACGAATGTATGTAGATGTACGCAATTATTCAGATATGCAAGGAGACGTAATTTGCGATGTATGCATATACATATGTACTCATATATACATATACATATACATATACACACAAATATTAATTGAGTGATGTGACAAAATACTATTGAGCATCAGCAAATAATTTGATATCCTTATATCTATGTACATACATGTATAACTGTAACATGTATCTGTATATGTATATGTACATGCATACATATACAATAAGTGGAGGTTTTCGCCTCGCCCATTTTTAAAGGACATTTCAGTTTGTATACGTAGCTGAGTTGTGCACATCGATTTGCGTTTCACAGCAGTAAACAAATTACAATTGCGGAATAACCATACATGTATGTATGTATATTGATGTATAACTATACCAACTATATCAGCAAATATATAATGTCTATTAAAATAGACTTACTTTTTGCACGCCTACATACATATGTACATATATTAATATAATATAATATATATTAATATATGTACATATGTAAGTATTTCCATATGAGTGCACATGTACAGGTATGAAAAGTGTTGTTCCAACACTTACACAATTATGCAGACTGCAAATGTGAATAAAATAAAAGAATAAAATTAGGATATATTATATACACTCCCTGCATTACAAGCAATTGGAAAAACGGTCAAAGATACATGCGCAGCTTTAATGGAATATGGAAACAAAAGCAACATGTTCATATATATATATATATATATATATATATATATATATATATATATATATACATATATATATACATATATATTTGAGTACGTGTGTGTGCTCATGTAACAAACCTGTATTAAAATACAATTTAGTTGTATACATACAAATATGTATGGTCGTGTGTACATATGCATATGTAAATAATCATGTATTATTATAAGAAAATATATGTAATAGTTAATCAAGCACACCTAATATAGTCAAGTGTATATAAATACATTTGTAGGTACACATGTATGTACGAAAGTAGAAGAAGAAAAGTATACATATGGATATCTATATATGAACATGTAAGCAACAAGTTAGATTAGTATATTATATATAGATTAGTATATATGTACATATATATCTGCACAGTATCTATACAATAGCTGCTGGTTAATATACAGTTTTATACTCTTTTGATTGGTTTGTATTGGGTCGAGTGACCTTCCACTCACTCTGTCGCCTGGAATACGTTGGATAACTCCTTAATTCACATACACATATATAGGTGTATATGTGTATGGATATATTCATATGTATATCAATAAAATTAAAGTGTGAATCACATCATTTAAATAAAACAATGAAATACATTCATACTTCAGTCTTTTGTACATATGTACATATATTAACTTATGCAGACAAATTTATTGTACAAATGTTCACAGTCAATCCTACACACATACATACATATGTACATATAGATGTCCACCTTTTTTCTCAGTTGTCATGTCAACTGCGATTACTTTTGGCACTAATAGAAATGCATGTACATAGGGTGACCATCTGGGGCGGAGCTCAATCCGGGACTGTCAACAACTAGCAACCCCTCCATTTTAAATTAATCATTTGTCACACAGATTCACACATACATTCAACTTTTACTTTCTTCATATTTAGCATAATTACATTGTCTTGGGACATTCTTATAATGAATACATCCTTATATTTAATTGTTATTATATTCATGATTACCTGACATGTCGACAAAATTAAATTGAACTATGTATATGGATGTTTTTAACATTCTGTACCAGTAACTTATTTCTTTCGTCTGACCACTGTGTCTTTAGTAAGAAAAAACCCTTTCGAAATTTGCGCATTTTGCGCTGGAATCGCATGCAGGATTTGAGCTATTTTTAATACTTCCGAGTAACAACACGAGTATACTGTACTACCATATCTGCGTTGTTTTTCTAAACAAAAAATTCTCGACTTATCTCGACACAAACTTCTTCAAGTTTGCATTTTGTCAAAATGACTATTTTTTTTATCGAAACAATAGAAAACCGGGACAATTTCGTGTCAGGTCGGGACACCGGGACATTACCTCCAAAAGCGGGACATATCCCGGAATTCCAGGGCGGATGGTCACCCTACATGTACATATATGTATATGTATATGAAGGTACAAAAGCGGTGCAGCATTATTTTCATTGTTTTAAAGGCTTAAATTAATAAATGAAAAATATTGACAATCAATAATGTAAATATTATTTGATTATTTTTAGCAAAAGGTATGTTTGTTTTCATTTCATTTCTTCAACAAATTTTTCGTTGCAAGGGCAGTGTTGAAACTGCCCTACAAGCAAATCACAGCTAGACCAGTGTGACCGTAACTAAATTAGAGTTTTTGCTTTAAATACCACGTGAAAGTTCGATCGCATAAAATGTAAATATAACAGTATATTGTATTTTTACAATGTTCAATTATATTCAGCAGTGGTTATTTGAAAGAAGCAATTAATTTATTCAGAAGATGTTTTGAATGATTTAGTTTGACACAAGAGGAGTACTATAAAGAAAGTATAAATTGCAGTTGTGTGTTTCTAAATGCTTAACATCGAGTATTAAGTGTTTAGTATTTTGTGTTTTAAAAGCTTGATCATTCGGTATGATCGTGTGATTGATTAGCCGATCTTTTGCGTTCATTAAAACTTTGGCGATAAATAAAGATTGGAGAAACAAGAAAATAATAAAAAATGTATGAATATATTGTACTTATTTTAAAAGATTATAATCGAGTCGGAATAGAACTACTAAGTGCGTAATCAGCGGAAAGAATTTATATATTTTAATAACAAAGCTCTACGGCGAAATTCAGCCGGCAAACTTCTGAAAAAAAAAGAAAAACAAATTATTTACATACATCTGTCAAAGAAGTCCATACAGGCTCTTAATTGATACACACACACAATAGATTTTCTCAAGTGTGCTATCGCGATGGCTGCTCCAGCAGCCTGTACGCGTTTTTCGGACAATTACGACATCAAAGAGGAGCTCGGAAAGTAAGTGAACTTCCCAAATTTTTGGGATGTTTTGTTCGTTTAAAATGAAATATCAATTTGATTTCAGGGGTGCTTTTTCAATAGTAAAAAGATGTGTCCAAAAGTCAACAGGATTCGAATTTGCGGCCAAGATTATAAATACCAAGAAGCTAACAGCAAGGGGTGAGTAACTTATAAGTTAATCCAGGTTGTAACTGTAAACTGGATTTTTTTCTTATAGATTTTCAAAAGCTGGAGCGCGAAGCCAGGATTTGTCGGAAGTTACATCACCCTAATATTGGTATATCATAACTTGATAGACGTACACATATTTACCCATATAGCGCGTTATTTTTTGGCCAGTAGAATAGGAGAAGTATTTCGACTGTATACCAATGGAAGAGATAGATATCAGTTCATTTTAAAACGCCATATATATATATATATTTACTACTATATATATATACTATATAAACGTATATATATGTATGAAACAATTGAAACTTGAACTATGACGGTTTTACGAAAATATAAGTATTCAAAGGAGGTCTAATAGGCCTTGTAAATGTATTCTTTGTAAGATGACGAGCTGAAAGATTTAGTCACGTACATATATCCGTCCGTATGAACGCAACCAACTAGGAGCTACAATCTATGGATATGAAATTTTAAATCTGTATGTTTATTTTCTTGTATACCATGTACTACAAGAATATAATTTATTTTTGTACCCTGAACCCATTGAAAATGGGAAATCAGGATAAATTGGTTTTGTTGAAATGTATGCAACAGGCGAAGCACAAAGTATATATATTCTTGATCAGGGCGACGAGCTGAGTCGAATTGGCCCTGTCCGTCCGTCTGTCCGTATGTATGAACGCGGCGATCTCAGAAGATATAAGAGCTAGAGACTCGATTTTTTTTTAATGTCCGTATATATAGCGCGCATATCGAGCTTCGAGAGTCTCCAAATGTTTAATATATATTTAAATGCATTTTATACAATTTTTGTTAAAATTTATCCCCCACCCCTATATCCACCCCGTCAACCTCACCTATGTAAAGGGCGTATTTCAAATACTAGAGACTTGTGCTTTGCATATCCATGTTATAATAATCTGAAAGTTTCATGAAGAAATTAAATCCACAAGAAAAGTTATTAAAGAATTAAATTTCCATAGTGAGCCCACACTGTAGCCAATGCGTGTTTATGCATGCATATGCCTGTGTGTGTGCATATGCGAATAATTATTGCTCGAAGGGTTCAGGGGATCTCGTAGTTGAGTAGTCTCGACTAGAGCTTTCTTACTTGTTATATGTACATGTTGTCCACAGATTAAATGCACTAGAATTATATTAAAGGTGTTCTGAAATAATAATAAATATATTATTGACCTTGTACCTTACAGTTCGATTGCATGACAGCATACAGGAGGAAAATTACCATTACCTTGTGTTTGATCTGTAAGTATACATATAAATAGACAACCACATTAACGTATATAAATATATATATTCTGCGAGAAACGAGAATCTATCTGTATATATTTATATACAGTGGAATCCTGTTATAGCGACGCTCAAGGGACCGACGATTTTACATCGCTATATCCAACAATTATTTAAAAATAATTTTTTTTTTACGGTTGCCGTGTTCGTAATAGGTTTAAAATAACACAATTTAATTTTTTAATCAAAACATTTTTTAAACTTATTTCAATAACATGACTTTCCTTCAAATGCCTCCAAAACGCTAGGTGCTGTCACTTCTTTATTTTGACGTCCGACGTTGTCGTCGCTATAAAATTTTTTCACGTTTCCTTTTTATACCCTGAACTCTGCTTGGAGGGTTCAGGGTCTCTCCTACTCGAGCAGTCTCGACTGGAGCCTTCTTACTTGTTTTTAATTTTGATCAGGTATGCATTAAATTTGACTTGGCTCTTTCATATAAGTTTTTATGGGAACCAACCATGACATTGAATTTTCGTCGACATAACCGGTTGGACGCTTTAAGCGGGGTCTCTATATCCGGATTCCACTGTATTTATCGCAGAATGTTGAAAAATAGCTGGCATTGAAGCCGAATGGATTTTGACTATTGTTTTTTGAGATTCATAGTTCATCCTTTTCCGCTCGAACAAAATCCTCGACACTTAATTATTTATATGTATATAGTATGAAAAAAACAAAATTGAAAAAAAAATATTCAAATTCGATTCAAAAAAGAAGTTTTGTATCTATTCAGAGTAGGTCAACGTCAACGTCCAAGCTATTGGAAAAAAGTTAGGAAACGAAAAGCAAATCGTAAAGAAGACACGATATAAAAAAAGAAGCAGAAAACGAAAACGAAAGACGCTTAAAAGGAAAAGGAAGAACCGCATAATGAAACAAGAGAGTAGGGAAGAGGTAAAGGCAAAAAGAAGTTAAGAAAAGGGAAGAAGTAATAACATCTTAACATTGCAAAAAAGGAACGGATTTGGGCCACAGATTAAGGAAAAAAATTAAAGGAAAAAGGCAGGAAACAAACTAGATAAAGCAAAGCAAAGAATATATAGAATAACAGACCTAAGTGCCCAAATGAGGAGATAAAACACACGACGTTTGTTTGACTTAAATAGCATTAAATTAGCCGCTTATAATTAGTTAATTAGTCAAGCATATTCAGTAAAGCTATCAGCTGATACAATCACTTTTCAGAATAGCAAGCTGAAGCTAGATGAAGGAAACAAACCACAATTCTAAACTGATTTCGAAACGAAAAGAAAAAGAGAAAACCGAGAATTTGATTATACTAAATACATATATATTTACAGTGTAACTGGTGGTGAACTTTTCGAAGATATTGTGGCACGTGAATTTTATTCAGAGGCTGATGCATCGCATTGTATACAGCAAATATTGGAATCGGTCAATCACTGCCATCAGAACGGTGTTGTCCATCGAGATCTCAAGCCAGAGAATTTACTATTAGCAAGTAAGGCAAAGGGTGCAGCTGTGAAACTCGCGGACTTTGGTCTAGCCATTGAAGTGCAGGGTGATCATCAAGCCTGGTTTGGATTTGCCGGCACTCCAGGGTATCTGTCGCCAGAGGTATTGAAGAAAGAGCCTTATGGCAAATCGGTAGATATATGGGCATGTGGTAAGCTTCTTTGACATTAGTTCAATTACCTAATTTTCAATATTGCTTATTGATTATTTGTTTCATCCACATAGGCGTCATACTCTACATATTATTGGTCGGCTATCCCCCTTTTTGGGACGAGGATCAGCATCGATTGTATTCGCAGATAAAGGCAGGCGCTTACGATGTAAGGATGCATGTTTTATTCATATTTAATTTCATTACTATGGACAGACCTCGCAGACTAATCGTTTGAAATTGGGACGCTCTGAATCCGGATCGTTAACTGTAAACCGAAACGCTCATATACGTTCATACGGACGGAAAGACACACAGACACATAAGCGGACAGGGGTTATTTATAGTGATGCTGACTGCACTTCAATTTAATGTCGATCCCTTACACACTATATTGTAGTATCCATCACCCGAATGGGACACTGTGACGCCCGAGGCTAAGAATTTGATTAACCAAATGCTGACTGTAAACCCAAATAAGCGAATAACAGCAGCTGAAGCTCTAAAACACCCATGGATTTGTGTACGTATTGCCAGTGCCAAAGCTTTGTGGTCTGTTCTGTGAGCATCAATTTCAATCTTTCTCTCCATTTATAGCAAAGGGAACGTGTGGCTTCTGTGGTTCATCGCCAGGAAACTGTGGATTGTCTCAAAAAATTCAATGCTCGCCGCAAGCTAAAGGGCGCTATACTAACAACAATGCTTGCAACCAGGAACTTCTCTAGTAAGTAGATATATGGTGATCCAATGCGTGCCAATGCGTGTTTATGTGTGCGTGTGTGTGTGTGCATGTGCGAATAATTATTGAAATATCAGTTGCTCGAAGGGTTCAGGGAATCTCGTAGTCGGGCAGTCTCGACTAGAGCTTTCTTACTTGTTTGTTGAATAATTTCTTTTGTAAATGGACTATCTTCATGAAACTTTAATCATAATGTTTATATGATCACGCTCTGAAAGTTTGTATAATGGTTTCTTAAATGTATGTAACAAGCAGAAGGAGGCGTGGCAGTATATATATTCTTGATCCGGGCGACGAGCTGAGTCGATTTAGCTCTGTCCGTCTGTCCGTCGTTCCGTCTGTCTGTATGTTTTAACGCGTCGATCTCAGAAGATATAAGAGTTAGAGACTTGAAATTTGTTGAAATATCGATAACTTGCCCCGTTATTTTGTTATCGATTAAAAACATTATCGAAAACCAATAATAAATTTATATCTCCTACATCTTTTAAGCTAGAGTCTCCAAATTTTGTATGTATGCTTAAATGCATTTTATACAATTTCGGGTTTTTTCAAAATTTACCACCCATTTCTAATTCACCCCCTTACCCACATATTTGTAAAAGGCGTATTTCAAATACTAAGGACTTGTCCTTTGGCAAATACATACATATCTATGTTATATTCATAAGATATTCATGAAGATAGTCCATCCAGAAGAAAAGTTATTGAGCAATTCCTATAGGAAAGCCAACACTGCAGCCAATGCGTGTTTATGCGTGCGTACGTATGTCTGTGTGTGGGCGTGTATGTGTGCATATGCGAATAATTATTGAAATATCAGTTGCTCGAAGGGTTCAGGGGATCTCGTAGTCGGGTCGTCTCGACTAGAGCTTTCTTACTTGTTTTTATTATGGATCTTTGAGTTTTACAATTTTCAAAGAGAGTGTAATTCGAAGAATGTTATATATAGTTTATGGAAGTAGCCCCGCTTTCTTCAGGCCTATTAGCAAACCAAATACGAACTTAAAGTAAACCAATGTTACCGATCTTTATAGGCAGAAGTATGATCACTAAAAAGGGCGACGGCTCTCAAGTGAAGGAATCAACAGATTCGTCGAGCACAACATTGGAGGATGATGATGTCAAAGGTAAATATCTATACAGGAATTAAGTTGGTAGTTCTATTTGTACTCTTCCAATTTTGGAAATTCGAGCTCGAATTTCAGTTCTTATATGAGTGAAGTGAGGTTTCTATATGTGTTTAGGTGTTTCTAGGTCGTACGAACTAGTGATCTAGACAACCAAGATGTACTTTTTATGTATGATTCATAAAATGCCCATCTACTTGTCTCTATATATAAATTTACTCAGATAAGCCTTTTTTCCTTTAATTTTGTTCGCACGCATATTTTCTGTTCATATGGTAATATAGCTGTCGTAATGTGATTCTACTTGATTTGCCTGTATCTAAGTCTTTCTGTTCACTTATTTTTTGATGGAATGCTTAAGTATTACCTTTTCAATGAAACATATTTTTTATATATTTGCACATTTAACTCAATTTTTAGAGACTATATCTTTGTTTCATATAGCTTTAGGATACCCTTAAATATCGCTCAACATAACAATACATTCCGACTGTACAAACACTATCAGTAACTTCCCCTGACGAAGCTCTCTATTCACTATAAACCAGATCCAGACAGCCTTGTTCAGGAACTACAGAACTTGTTGTATTAATCGTTCCAGTTTATATGAAGCTCTGTCCGATAACCTGATACATCAAATTTACTATTTCTGAACAACAAATGTTTTACTTTGTAGAGAGAGCAAAATATGAGAAGAAAGATAAGTAGAAAAGCAGGTGGATAGGCACTAGAAGAGAGATAAAACGGCGAAGGAGGATCTGAAGAAAGAAGAGAAGGTCACGAGGACGAACAAGAAACTTTAAGGCTATAAGAAGAGAATATAAAGCAGAAATAAATGGAATCTGGAAGCTAGGAATTGTGAGCTAGAAGATATACAAGTCATAGCGAATATTAGCCGGTTGCACCCAACTGAATCGTTCCTACACCAGTTAATTCGTCACTATATATATTTTTACTATATATTTTTTCTATTGCTCTAATTACATTTAGTCAAGATCTTATGTGTTGTAAAAAGCCTTTTCCTTGATTTATTTCAACTATTAAAATTAAAAAAAAAAAAAAAAAAAAAAGATTCTTTATGTGAAAAGCTATCGTGAATCTATAAACTGGAGCAAATATTCAAAAGTATTGGAAAACAACAGATTTGCAACTATCAATTATGAAATATGTTTCATTTCGTTTTTTTTAGAAGATAAAAAAGGGATCGTTGATCGCAGTACCACAGTCATATCCAAAGACCCAGAAGGTAACATTTTCAGTTTGTTATTGTTATTATTATTATGTTTGTTATTATTTTAAATTTGTAGTTGTTTTTTGATTTTTCACACGCCTTTAAACATTAACCAAATACACAAGCAAAAATACAAACACAAACATTAACCAAAGCAAAACGATTTTCTCAGAAATAAATAAATATATATAAATACATATATATATATACCCATTTTGCTTCAGATTTAAGGGGATACGGTTGAGAACAGGTTCTGAGTTGAATACACATAGATATTACCATACAGTATGAGAGTTGATTATTAACTGAGCTTAATGCATTCTCTTCTGTCAAGTTGTTGGTCTTCATTGATTTAATTTTAATTTCAGTGATGGAGCTACTAACATTGGAATGAAATTTGGGGACGGCAAGGAATGAAAACATTTCATTCCATTCATTACAATTAGAACTGTCCAAACAGTCCCTTCCAAATATTTTATTGAATTGTGTTGAAGATTCCAAGGTTCTTCTCAATCGGAGTTCCTTTAATCTTGTTATTTGGAAAACAGAATTTTGATAATATTTAATATATATGTATATAATTTAAATATTTATATAGCAAACAATGTGTAATATATTTATTTATATATACATATATATCAAAGTTCCCAAAATTATATTGTACAGATATAATTAATTATATATACTAAGCATATATATATTTACAAGCAGGTAACGGTCGCCACGTATTAGATACATACATATATATTTACATACACTCATCTATACATATATCCTATATAGCCTTGCGATCAAATTTCACACTCACATTCAATTCGCACTGTGAGATGCTGACATTTGAACACAATTCAATCGTGTTTAAGCAAAATATACAAAAATTACAATTACAAATTAGAAATTATTATTTCGAAGGAGGAAATGGATATTAATTAATATCTGCAATTAGTTAACTGTTTTATCGATATTATTGAAACGATAGTAGCTATCAAGTATTTGACACAAAGCTAACATACGTATGCATGCCATTTGGTGGCCCACCACAGATATTTCCCCAATGCATAGTTCCTATAAGGATAGGGATAGATCATCAATTTGATCATGATCAAGAATATTTGTATATACTCTGGCACGTTTTCTTCTACCTGTTGCATGCAGATAACAAAGAAATTCGCATTTGCATTTGCATTACAATGGGCTCAGATCTGGCGACCATATAGTTTCAGCCATGCGTTGCCTATGTATACCAGAATATATTTAAAGCTTCAATTCGCTAGCGTCTTAAATACAGGAATATATAAGGAATATATTGTAATATATTCCTTACACGCGAGGGACGAACACTGCAGAAAAGAAATAAATAAACTCTACATTTCCTGAAATAAAAATATCATTTATTCGGCCACAAATAAAATAATAATCGTAAATATAGTATATGTGCTTTTCCTATTTCTTAAAGAAGGTGTTGAAATAAAGAACATGTACTCTGAAAAGGTTCGGCGAAACAATATGAAACATAACATGAAATGTATAGATTTGGAGCATTACTTATCTAGCTTAGAATCTGGAAGACGCAAGCGCTGCATGCTGAGCCAAGAACTTTGGATTTGTACTAATTAGAAAACTAGCAATACCAAATAAGCAATTGATCAGTGATATATGCATCTAGCTGATTCCACATAAATATTATTATTAAAACACTAGGCCACCAGACACAGAGCCCAGCTAAGTTAAAGGACCGAAAGTCTCATTGTAATCCTTCCTCGGTGCAATTGCCGTTCGGCATTGGGTACTCCAGAGTCGATGCCAATGCTATTGACAATAGGAATGCCAATAATTTTGCTAATGAAAGTTATATGAGTAATCAGAGACAGTCAAAGTTACGCCTCAGAGGTGAGTACGCAACTCCATTAAAGCTAGGCCACTTAACAAAGCTACAAAGTATACACATACTTACATGGCGTATACTTGGTGCATATCTATACATACACATGTTATATATTCTCTTCTCTGATCTATTGCAGATCGCATGTTACATTTTTGCTGTTTATCAAATAAAAATGGGAACTACTCAAATTGATACGTATGTATTTGTGTTTTATCAAACAACTCTTCGCTCGCTCGATCTACTCTGTTTCTCACTCGCTCTCTCTCTCTCTCTCGCTCTCTCTCTCTCTCTGTCTCTCTCTGGTATCGTACTCACCTCTGTATAGTAACTATATCCAGAAGCTAGATGTGTCTGTTGTGCTTAACATGTCGACCAGCTCTACTCTCTATGTATGAGAGCTAAGTACCCTAGTCATGTATGTAACTCCGCTCGTCTTGTAGACCCTAAATACTTTGCTACCCCTGCTTCAAGTAGGTTCCGTCTTTCCAAATTTGAGCACTGAGAAGGCTAAACAGGAACTTTTTCAACTCATATTTTGATACCCGAAAATATTTTCGGACTCTACAGATTCTAAGACAAAAATCAAAGCTACCAATAATTTTAATAAATGCTAAGTAAACTAAATAAAATTAATGAAAGAACTGAGAGAGCGCGGAGTGGTTAAAAAGTTTCTCCCTTACCTGTTTTAGTTTCCCAATTCCAAGGCACTAGTCTTTTAAAATAAAACTAGGAAACGTAAGGTTTGTCGCGACACAGATTGACACATTGGGAAATTTTTAAAAGGCTATGTAAATCGATATTTCGTAGGATCTGTATACACTTTTTTTAATGTCATATACTAATTTATTCCTTTAGGCTCATCTTAATAATTTTAGCTAAATTTCAAGACGATTGATCAAGCAGCCAATAATTAATATTTAGGATGACCCCCCTTATCTTTATACCCTGAACCCATTGAAAATGGGAAATCAGGGTATAATGTTTTTTTAACTGTATGTAACAGGCAGAAGGAGGCGTGGCAGACCCCACAGAGTATATATATTCTTGATCAGGGCGACGAGCTGAGTCGAATTGGCCCTGTCCGTCCGTCTGTCCGTATGTATGTACGCGTCGATTTCAGAAGATATAAGAGCTAGAGACTAGAAATTTTTTTTAAATGTTCGTATATACAGCGCGGATATCGAGTTTATCACCATTTTATACCATTTCGGGTTTTGTTAACATTTACCCCCCACCCCTATATCCACCTCTCACCCAATGTTTGTAAAAGGCGTATTTCAAATACTAGACACTTGTGCGTTGGCAAATACATGCATATACATGTTATATTTATAATCTGAAAGTTTAATGAAAAAATTTCATCCACAAGAAAAGTTATTGAACAATTAAGTTCCCATAGTAAACCACCACTGCAGCCCATGCGTGTTTATGTGTGGCTGCTTTTTGTGTGTGTGTATGGGAGTGTATGTGTGTGTGTGCGCGCGTGTTTCTTGTGTAAGCAGAAAGACGCGAAAAATGATTGAAATAGCTATTGCTCGAAGAGTTCAGAGGATTTCGTAGTCGAGCAGTCTCGACTCGGCTTTGTAATAATATAGTGTTTCCGGGCGTCAGAATACTCAAAATACTCAGAATACATGTGTATAGTTCAATTTTACACAACTCATACAAATACTTTACGAATATCAGTTGCACCCTCACACACTTTGCTTAGAGATTAACTCCCATTTTGTCGATGTTCTATATTTGCCTTATTATTATTTTGTTGAATTTGATATATATATATATATATATATATATATATACAAACGTATATTTTTAAAAACTGTGTGCGTTTTAGAAATAAGGATTGTGTGTCCTGCAAAAACTTGCCAGCAAATGTCAGGAAACTCCTCGCAATGCTCTTCAGGTACGTAAAAAGGGCTTTGCTTTTTGGAACATATCCTTCTTATCAGTCGCACATACTATACGTAGTATATATATGTTTCGATTTGCTTGATATGCATCAATTCTAATTGTATGTTCCCCAACGACCTAGCACATTGTGTATTACTCTTTATATACCAACCGCCTGCATGTTTCCTCTCTCTTCTTTTTAAGGTTTTTTATTTGTGTATATATTGTATATAAGTGATCAAATATATTTCTATTATTTTTGTATCGTGAACCATGGGCAGTTCAGGATATAATGGTTACAAGAGGCGGATTGGCGTGGAAACAGCTTACAATCTATAATGTATATAAATATATATATGTAATTACGTGGGCTTTTGTCATAATACTCCCATTTCTATAGCATATTTAAACCGCATAATATCTGGTTCCTTTCTATCTCCTAGTCTGACTTGTGCGCTCTTGTTGGTTTTTTTTTTACTCTGAACCCATTGAAAATGGTAAATCAGGGTATAATGGTTTTGTAAAAAGTTTGTAACAGGCAGAAGGAATCATCACAGGTCGACGAGCTGAGTCCGTCTGTTAGTTATAAGACCTAGTGACTTGAACCATATACAGTACAAGTTTATCTTAACTAACTTATCCGATATCGTTTTTATCAAGAATAAACTATACATTGATTTAGTTTTTTCAGTCTAATTTGAACAATATTAAACCTGGCGACTTCAGATTTACTGTGTATATACATATGAAAAATACGAAAATTTTGTAATTTCCAGATTTTGGATACCACACCCCCTTTCCCCTATATTATTGAACGTATTTAAAAAACTAAAGACTTGTGCATCGGAATATACATACATTTGAATATTATGATCACGTTGAAAGTTTCATGAAGATAGTCCTAATACAAATTCAACTGCTGCTTACTGCCCAGTTAGCAGAGCGCGTGCTTATGCGTGCGTGTAGATGCACGGGTATGTAGGTGTGCATAAATGAAATGCAGATTGATTAAAATATCAGCTTGGAGGGTTCAGGGTATCCCCAAGTCGAGCAGTCTCGACTAGAGCCTTTTTTCTTGTTTTCCATCTATTGTAGTTTCAGATTCGTAGCATAGAGCAGTATAGTGCTTCTTAGTTAATTAAATATTAAATTAAACATTTCCATAGAGGTAGCGTATGTATATATGATGATGGATGTGCAAATATATACACATAATGGGTCTATTAATTATCTGTTAATATTTAACATGTTTTAGTGGATCTCTAACTCATTCATAATAAACATTATTCTAAACAACACCTATCACAGTAAATGAGAAGGCATTAATTAAAATTACATCTATATGTACATTTCCCACTGTCTTCCTCTCTCGTGAATAAAATTGTGCTTGCATACCTTAAAAAATAATTTCATATATGTACAAATATATATATAATATTACTATGTTTGACTGAGATATAGAGCAAAACTACGAATTATCAGGAAAAACGAATAAGACAATGTTTGTCACTTTTCTATTTGATATATAATTTTTTTTTTAATTTTTTCATTTTAGATTTTTCAAAAATCTGAAAAAATTTAACAATTTAATTTGACGAAGGGAAATTAAAATTAAATGAAACTCTCCCAAAATTACTGAACCTAAAAATTTAAACTAGCTTTACTTGAAACTAGAATGTTCGAACATAGGTCTGTCGCACTTTTAGAGGCTGAATCTGAAAGATCGCCATAGAGAAATCATCGAGCTGACTGACCCAGGCATGACGACGGACTAAGACATGTCTTGAACCCAACTTTCAGCAGTAAACGAAACTCTCAAAACGTAGTTTTTGGCCTAATTATTATAATTTTGTATTAAGATTTAAGTATATACATATTAATTCATATATCACATTTATTATCATCGGTGCGTTGTTAGCTGGTTGGCTAGTTAGTTCGTTGGTTTGAACCGTTCAAGAATTGTAATTCTCATCCTTCGCCATACGTAATCGAAACTCATCCGTGGTTGTAATTTCGCTGTGCAATAATTACATAGCAAAATGCAAGTTGTTAACTATGCGCCTGTATAAATAGACCTCCTCTCATTGCTCTACTTTATTTAATTCAACAATTGAACACGACTCCACATGGGAACAAAGCAGCCAGACGACAGGAAATTATTAAGATCACAGAACAATTGATCGAAGCGATTAACAGCGGGGACTTCGATGGATATACGTAAGTGCTAAGATCTAAGCATTATCCCTAATTAATTTGTACTATATCTTGTGTCTTTTGAACTGATTTCTTGGCTCTTCCAGTAAGATATGTGATCCGCATTTAACTGCTTTCGAACCAGAAGCATTGGGCAATTTGGTTGAAGGAATCGACTTTCATAAATTCTATTTCGAGAATGGTAAAATACAAGTCAAACATATAATTGTCTACATGTATATACAAAAATGGATATATATATGGATCGTTTTTCTTACAGTGCTTGGTAAAAATTGCAAAGCCATTAATACAACAATTCTAAATCCGCACGTACATCTATTGGGTGAGGAAGCCGCTTGCATAGCCTATGTAAGACTTACACAATATATCGATAAGTAAGTACGACGCGCAAATACTCTCTACATTCCCTCCACGACTCCGATTGCATTGAGAAAGGCTCCGTTAAGATAACTCATCACGTATCACATTACTACATTCAGTCAGTCGAGCGCACTCGGAGATCCCGAATTGCAGTAGACCCTCGACTTTCCCCTTATGGAGGGGCCGACTACATTCGGGATTTGAACTGTCCTAATAAACGTTTGCATGGAAGAATCGATGAAGTATTCCTGCTTGCCGTGGGGGCAGTGAGTGGCAGTAGCTAATAATCTTTCTATCGATAGATATAGATAGAGTGGCAGGGGTGGCGTATGAGTATGTGTTTGTATAAACATTTGTTTCTATTGTCAGCACTGTGCTTCTCTCCAGATGGAGCGGGGCATACTTCCTCTATCTAGCGGGTGTAAATTCGCCCGTCCGCCTAGAATAGTCCAAGCTCGAATAAAACGAACTGCTCCTTGTCGACACCGGGAAAAATTTGTATTAATCGTAATACTTGTTCACGCTCCATTCCCAACCCCGGTACATCAAATGACCTGAGGGCGCGATTGACTCGGATGATCACCCTACTTTTGGACCTTTCGTAATTTAGGTCCTGCTCTTGACCTGGACCTGGAACGTGGAGCGTTTAGGACCCTCGACAGGGGCACTCTTCACTTGAACTCTAGCGCTAATAATAACTCTTGATATTTCAGGCAAGGACATGCACACACTCATCAGTCGGAGGAGACTCGCGTCTGGCACAGGCGCGACAACAAGTGGCAGAATGTTCACTTTCATCGAAGCGCATCTGGCAAAATAAGCGGGGCAACGACTTTCGATTTTATACCACAAAAGTAGATAGAGGCAGAAAGCGAGCGGAAGAATTTCAATGATGGGTCGATCAATCAACTATGATCGAAGTGTGTGTTTTAAACTTACCACTCAATAAACAGCAAAGAGATCTGAACCAAAAATACGAATGGATTATGAAAAAGTCAACTTTGTTTTCTATATTATTTTTGTAAGATCCAATTTGATTCGAAAAAGATTCAAAAAGATAACACACAGATTTATGTAACGTCTTTTTTAAAATTATATATTGTACTAAGAAGAAAACTAAAAGAGAAACAAAGTGAATGTTATTAATAATAGTCGCAGCATAAACAAAAGATTTCCCTAGTAGAAATCCATTCGATCGAATAAGTCAATAGTAGTACACCCAAAAAAGAGTAAAAACAAACGAAATACAATTTGTGCCCAAATACCAAGCAGAAGAGGGGAGTTTTTCTGAAATAGAATGTATATGATTCAGCAATATCTCTATGGATTCATTCTAAATACACACGCACATACGCACACACACACATCATTATCCGTCTCTGCATCTTATATATAAATATATATATGTTTATGTTGATTGTATTTGGTGTATATATGTAAGTATGTATAAATTATACGTACGTACACCTTATTTAATATATACACGAAAAAAAGATTTAACAAAATTTAAGATGAGACACTAACACGATTAAGAAACCCTCAAATTTTAAATATTAAAAAGTTGGTATATATATATATATATATATATATATATATATATATATATATATATATATAACTATATATTAGTTAGTTTGGTTGGAAACAACAAAAACACACACACACTGCTTTGTGTGTAGTGAAATCAAACCTAGGGAAAGAAAAATTGCATTCACGCGCATAATGAATTATAAAGAAAATTATACGAAGCATAATGCTTTCACACGATATTGCGAAGCATTAGTTAATATATTTAATAAAATAAAATACTAAGCATTTACAAATTTTATTATACCAAAAACGCAATGAACAGAATAACAGCTAATTATTATAAAACTATGGAAAAAGAAAACAAGCTACAAATGATTGGTATCTGAGTTGAATTCGAATCTGAGCAAGTAGTCGTCTGCTGGTCACAGGGTTGCTCGACTGGCAGATACCTTACTAAACATATGATATGAGTTGTGGCTGACTTGGTTGCGCATAGCTCGAAATGTGAACATGGTTTTATCAATTCGAGGCGAGCACTTCTCCGCTAGACACCAACTACTCGGCAATTGATAACTAGTGAGCTACTTAATTAGGTCTCTCAATGATTTTTCCAACTTATCTTGATTTATGCTGCGGAGGATCTCATAAGTTAGCCGTTCAAGACTAAATCTACCACTGATATTGAAGAAGTTTATATACATATATAGGGCTTCATCATCTTCATCATTACATAAAGATATCTGAAGAATTCAGTAGATCTTGAATAGAATTTGATATAAGTTCAGGGTATATATGTAAAATTATCAAATTATTCAAGTTTTAGTTATGGTACTATAAAAAATAACAAAATAATATAAAATTAAATTTTTTAAAAATCTGAAAAATCAAAAATTATTATGAATTATATTATTATATAAATGTGTATTTCATCTATTTAACAAAATTTAGTAAAAGGCCTAAAAACTTCACGTTTTAGAAATGCAAATTCAATTCAAAATCCCTCAAAACTCAAATATAAATATACAAAACTAAAATAAAAAACAATTACGAAGCTCTTAATAATATATACCTATATACATATAAAGAATTTCAGATTAAATGAATAATATTCTATATATAAAGATTTCAATGTTGTTCATTACATAAAAGAAAACGTATGTCAACTAAAAGAAAACAGAAAGAAAAACGTTATACACATTATATATGCCAGTTACAATACTTTTTCAACTATGTTTTAAATTTAAATACTTAAAAAACAAAGAAAAAATCTAAAAATACCTATTTTGAAACTTATAAAAAACTTTGATTTTTAAATCTGTTTATAAACATATTTTAAGCAACGTAAGAAAGGCGAAAAGTTCAAAATATCTCGTCGATCTAGTCAAAATCCTTAGGCTTGGGAAATGTTTCAGTCATAGTCGATCGTTTGGTTAATATTAATAAAATATATATCTATAATATATCGATGAAGTTACCTGTATGGAAAGAACTGCAGCTACGGCGGACCGTGCATTGCACTGATAAAACAACCCAGCCTTTACATTTGTCCGACTTCTCCGATACATGATACAAATTATTTTGTTCTCTGATTTTGATAGTTCAATAGGTTCCTCTAAGAAAGTCATTCGATAAGTCAGCAATACCCACATATATTACTAGATGGATGAGGATATATGGCTTGAGCACACTGACGGACATTACAGATCATATCATCTACATATATGTATCTACATAGTAAATATTAGTGTGTATGTATGTATATATGTATGTTTGAGAGTCTGTTAAAATATTTTCTGGCTATGCAAGGTTATGGAGAACAAAATATGACTTTGATAAAAACTAAATCATTTACTTTGATACAAACACACATACGTTTTATGTGAATGGAATTTATGAATATGGACACACACACAGATGCTAGATTCGCACGTCCACGCACACAAATTTCAACTATAAGCGGAAAGGACATTCGGAATCCATATACATAGATAATGTTAATGCTGTTAAATGTCGTGTATGCATGTTCAATTAATCCAAGGCAACGGGAGTACGTTTATTATCGATAATTTTCTAGTACTTAAACGTTTTCTTAAATTATCTAAATCCAAAGAAATATAAAATACAAAACATTATACATAATATGATCATATATTAAGAATAAATCACAAAACCAAAAACAACAAAGAAATTTATATACAATGATAAAGCACATTATGAGATAGAATTGTATCAAATTGTTTACCAATTGTCCCCCCCCCAAAAAAAAAAAAAAAAAAAAAAAAAAAAAAGGAGAAGAAAAAACAAAAAATCCGAAACATTAAGCGATCACGAACAATTGCCTGTTTGAATTACAACAAATGCTATAGTTGATGTCCTTAAAATACTATATAAAATACATAATTAAATGGAATATCGGTAATAACTCTAAAATCAATATAAATTATTGTATATTTATGATTTTATTAACTACAAATACATACCTAATAAAAATGATTAAAAATAAAATGTATATTCACATATTCGATGGGAACGGCAGATGACACATCTAAAGTAAAATAAAATACAGCAGATCCTGGCCACAGCAGCATTTTGAATGTGCCTGTCACTTCTTCCTCTTATTCTCATATATTAATATATTCGTTGGGCATTTTTATAGCTATTTTTAAGCTATTGTCGGGTTGCGAAATAGGCGTGGCTTATTTAATTAAAGGGTCGACATTCGGACCCCTGAGATCATACGGAGAGTCAGACTATACAGATATGACCAGATGGAGTTGGCTGGTTAACGACCAGTCAACAATGTTAATATATATATTTGCCAATTAAATACAATTAAATGGTTGGGAGTCGTGTTGTTAAGTTACGATTTATTGGTTTAAACTGTCTCTGACATCTTTAATGCTTAATTCAATTGAATATTATTATTTGATTAGCAAGAACCGTTTAATGTAATTGGGGTCCACAGCGCTTAGGCGGCTTCCTTGGCGAGGCGATCGGCCTTCTCAACAACTTCCTCAATGGGACCAACCATGTAAAACGCAACCTCTGGCAAATGATCGTATTCGCCAGCCAAAATTTGAGAAAAGCCCTTGATGGTTTGCTCCAATGGGACTAGTTTGCCGGCGTGTCCTGTGAAGACCTCAGCGACTTGGAATGGCTGTGACAAGAAACGCTGAATCTTGCGTGCGCGCGCAACCGTCAATTTGTCCTCCTCAGACAATTCATCCATGCCCAAAATGGCAATGATATCCTGAAGAGATTTGTAGTCTTGCAAGATTTTCTGCACGCCACGAGCAACATTGTAGTGCTCCTGGCCAATGATGTTCGGATCCATGATACGTGAAGTAGAATCCAATGGATCGACAGCTGGGTAAATGCCCAATTCAGCTATGGCACGCGACAACACGGTGGTGGCGTCCAAATGAGCGAAAGTTGTGGCTGGAGCCGGATCGGTCAAATCATCAGCTGGCACATAAATGGCCTGCACCGAAGTGATGGAACCCTTCTTCGTTGTGGTAATACGCTCCTGCATAGAACCCATGTCAGTGGCCAAAGTGGGCTGATAGCCGACAGCCGACGGAATGCGACCCAAAAGGGCGGATACCTCGGAGCCAGCCTGAGTGAAGCGGAAAATGTTGTCGATAAAGAGCAACACATCCTGTCCCTCCTGATCACGGAAATATTCGGCAACAGTCAAACCAGTCAAAGCAACACGGGCACGGGCGCCAGGGGGCTCATTCATTTGCCCATAGACAAGAGCCACCTTCGACGTCTTGTCCTTGAGCGAGATGACGCCAGACTCGATCATCTCATTGTATAGATCATTGCCTTCACGTGTGCGCTCTCCAACGCCAGCAAACACAGAGTAGCCACCATGAGCCTTGGCTACGTTGTTAATCAACTCCATAATGAGGACAGTTTTTCCGACTCCAGCGCCACCGAATAGGCCGATTTTACCACCCTTGGCATAGGGGGCCAAGAGATCGACAACTTTAATTCCAGTTACTAGGATCTCCTGCTCGACCGACATCTCCACAAACTCAGGAGCTTCGGCGTGAATAGCAGCGGTCTTATCGGTTGGGATCGGACCGCGCTCATCAATGGGTTCACCTATTTAATAAATACATTTTTTTACACGTTTTTTTTCTGCGATCCTTTTTATTTCAATTGTATTGATTGATCACTCACCAATGACGTTAATGATGCGGCCCAGCGTCTCTGCTCCAACTGGAATACGAATTGGATAGCCAGTATCAAGAACCTTCTGCCCACGAATCAAGCCCTCAGTACCGTCCATAGCGATAGTACGCACGGTATTCTCGCCCAAGTGCTGGGCCACTTCCAATACCAAGCGTGGCGAACGGTTATCAACTTCCAAAGCGTTCAGAATTGGTGGCAGATTGTCGTCGAACTGCACATCAACGACGGCACCAATGACGGCCACAATTTTTCCATTTCCTCCAGCGGCCGCCTTAACAGCAGCTTTGGCAGCATGACCGCGAGCTGGAAAATAAGTCATTAAAAAAATTCAGTTTGATATATAATTTTCTGCTTCTATATTTACTCTTGTTTACAGAGTGAGCTAATTCAAACTTCTTATATATACTATTCCTTTATATAAAATATAAAGACAGATATATGTATGTACATATACAGGTTACGTCAGAATAATTACATTTTAGTTCCAATCAATAAGGAGTTTAAAAGTCGACAAAACAGTAAGAGTTCTCTAATATATAAAGCTTGAATTTGATTTAACATACATTTTTAATAATAAAACAATAATTTTAACAATCACTGATTTATACGTAAATATATATGTACACTAAAATTAACTAATACATAAGACCCATAAAACTAATGAATATAGCTTCTGAAAGAGTCTTGGCACTTATTTGCATTTATTTCTTTTATTTTATATCATCTTACATAAACATACTCATAAAAATGTATATTAATTATTATGCAATCAGTTCCTTCTTCAACAATAAGGTTATGTTAGATTTTATTCGAGCCGCTTTTTGCCTAATTAAAAACTTAATTTAAGCCCTATTTTGATTCGACCAAATTCTTTTTGACTTGATTTACTGATCATTATTCTAGCAATTATATATACTTACACAATTGCCCCAATATTGGCAGCAAATTCTTATCAGCTTTAGCGGCAACACGTAACGCGAACATTTTTCGACCAACTGACGGAGGTATATAGAAGTACTACCATGTAGTTGCAAATCGAATACATAATTCATGGTTACATTTTTGTGTATCGATAAGTAGTGGTGCTAAGGATTATATCGATATAGCGATATAGCAACCAGCTTCATACAGTTGCACCTTGCACAATAGGGGTGTTGCCTTTGAGCAACAAAATAATTTTAGGAAATAGGATTCAGGGTAGCTACAAGCTAGCCGAAAATAAAATATATATATAATCGCAGCATTCGATCATCTATATATACTGAATATCTGAATATCGATTAAAATCGAAATGATGAGATGAGATATGTGTATGAATATAGAAAAATTGCGATGATCGAATGCTGCGATGTTATTAAACATGTGCGTATTTGCGTACATTATGTACTACTTATTTACATAAAGGATACGTTTCCTTTTCGTAGACTGTAATGAAGATACATTATTTTTAATAAAACCTCGCCTTGAAGAAAATGAGAGGTCCTACGACGTACATCAATTTATGTACGTGCATATACATACATACATATGTACATGTATTTACATGTGTATGCATACAAAAAGTACACACGCACATGCATATTTGAATGTATGTATGTAGGTGACTAGCACTGAAATACTGCAATCGAAATATTCTTAGATCCTCATTATGATAAATAGTGTCGTCCCGCTCTAACCGTAATAATTTCTCACCTTTAAGTATATGAGAACATCTCGAATAACATTAGCAATGATCCACGTGTTTGCAGAATCTTTAAGTTTAGCAATGCGAAAACAAAGGCCATTTCGGCATCCAGCAAAAAGTACCTAATTAAGGAAGAAGAATCGTACTGAAAGCCAAATAATACTACATGTACACCATATACATATATAAACAAATAGCTTGTATTTTGGAATCATTTAATTGATATTTCTTCATTATATCATTACACTTTTCCAGTATCAGATCGATGGATGACCTTTTCCAACCATTTTTATTTATCCAAAGCAGTATTATTTTTGACGGCGATAACGCATTCTTCGCTGCAGGCACTTAGCACAGTGCACAAAAGATCTTTGCCGCTTTCGTGATCGTTGCGCAAAGTAACACCCAACGGACCGTCGGGAACTTTAAGGTCCTCACGCAAGACGCCAGCTTCGTTCATTAGAGTTAGATATCCGTCGTCGCTAATGTAATTGAGCTGGAAGTCCTCGCGTTTTACGTTCGGCACATCCATATTGTGGGTGGAGGGACAAATATCCTCATACTTTTTCTGTGTGAATATATCGATACCAACAAGATGGACTTTGGCGTGGCCATGCTTTCCTGTCTTGGAGGTAGACATGTCCACAATCTTGCAAGGGCGTCCCTTAAGCATTACATATCCATTCTTACGCAGTGCCGAACATTGCATAGGGTAAGTGAGGGATGCTCCCGACCTATTTCCATCTCCTTCCTCTGACATTTTTTAAAAAATTTTATTGTTGAAAACTTTACACGCGGCACGCTGTAAAGAAAAGGGAACTGAGTAGTGGTCACACTATAGAGATGAAAAAATCCACGCAATGCTGCTTTTCTTAAAATATCGATGTATTGGGGCGTTTCACTGAGTTGAATTACGATTTTCCACAACTGCTCAGCACTGATTAATTTTAAAACTACAATCGACATTTTGAAAATGTGGGGTTGCCTTTTTTCGCATATCGATAGAAATATTATATCGATAATTGAATGTACCCGTAATATAAAAAATGATATGGTTGCATTGTAAACTGTCGGTGTGTGTTTGTTTAATATGTGCGTGTGTGTAAGTGTCGTACGGGTTCCACAAAAAGCGAAAATTTTTCTTAAAAAGACAGTACTGATTGTATCTTTAATTAAACAATTCATAATTATTATTTATTGAAATCGCGAGATTAGTCACACCTAATTTCTCAATAAATAGACATTTGTGTCCAGCTTATTAAAAAAGAGTTGTGAAATTGTCAGAAATATGAATTTGTAAGGCTAAAGTTTTATATGTGCAGTGCGTACAGATGCAAAAGTTTTGCTCCAATCCATTTTAACTTAAGCATAAAACAATATTAAAAGTGTAAGTCTATATTTTAACGTATTAGCAAATGTAAAAATGAAGCAATTAACTGCATATGCTAACTGCGCATGTATGAACACATATGTACACCCGTGCGCATACACACCAAGCACACATACACGCAAAGTATAACTCACCCACTTGATCCGAATATGTGCTTGTATGTATATACGTACTTGTACATCCATCAGGTGTAAATTACTCTGCTAATTTAAAGGTATAGAAATTAAGAATTCCTTCGATTACTAATAAAACTCATAATATTATTAAAGGAATATAATTTTACGAATATTATTAACACGGGAGAAAATTAACTATTTTTATCTACAAATTTAAGTGTATACATATGTATGAATATATATATGTACATACATATAAAAAAGCGGCGGGCGGTGGCTTCTTTATACTGCTTACTGTCGGTAATTTATATCATATGGAACACACAATAGACTAAACTAAAAAATTAAATTGTACTCTTTTTATGAATGAAGTGACTTGTGTGTTGATTAATGACTTTTATATGTATATATATATATATATATATATATATATATATACTTTTTTTTTAATAAGAAAAATACTTTTTCGTAAGTTTTTCTGAATCATGAAATTGAAAATCTAAAACTAATTTTGTATATGGATTAATTACGTTTTATATAATATTTTATATTTATATATGTTATATAATTACGTTTTCCGCATATATATTTATTATAGACAATGTAAAATTATAAATACAACACTTATTTATTTTCCTTGTTTAGTTGCTGATAAAGAGGAATAATGTGGCATCTCGCGGCCTGTAAGTGGAAGTGAGATAGAAACAAAAGGAACAGAAGCTATAGATGAATTGAATTCTCAGGGCAGATGGATAGAAAAGAGCCATAGCAATAACATAATTCCACGAAGGAAATTAAAAAAGCGAATCAGACGTAACGCGAACTGGATAGCATTTAAAGAGAATTAATACTCATATTTATAAGCATATATATTGAATCTGATCGCCATTTTGGCGATTAGCCTGGGATTTGTGGAAATGAATATTCTAATTTGTTGTGTACTATCAATAACAATTTTTGAAACATCGTCAGCGTCAGCTTCGTCATCATTAGGCAATGGATTGACGTCATGGATTCAACGAGAAGATAGGATAAAAAGAAGAGCGTCGGCTCTTAAGATTAACCTGACGGAAACTGACATGAATGTGGGATACTTGAATAGCAGCAGCAGTAGTGTAATCACACATGTGGCTAGATTTGATACGACGCTAAACCATTTATTAGTGGACACAATAACGGGACGCGTCTTTGTTGGTGGCGTGAATCGCCTGTATCAGCTATCACCAGATTTGGAGCTGCACGAAACGGTGAAGACGGGTCCGCAGAACGATTCTGTGGAATGCACAATACTCGACTGTCCGCTAAATGCTATTCGAAAGCCAACCGACAATTACAACAAGGTCTTGCTCATAGATCGTGCGACATCTCGGTTGATTGCTTGTGGGTCCTTGTTTCAGGGCACGTGTACGGTGCGCAATCTACAAAATGTTAGCATCATTGAGCACGAGGTGCCTGACGCCGTTGTTGCCAACGATGCCAACTCATCGACGGTGGCATTTATTGCACCCGGACCGCCGCAGCATCCGGTGACAAATGTTATGTATGTTGGCGTTACCTACACGAATAACTCACCATATCGCAGCGAGATACCAGCCGTAGCATCGCGCTCATTGGAAAAGTCAAAGATGTTTCAAATAGCCTCATCGGCAGTGACAACCGGCACGCGCACCTTCATTAATTCGTATGCTCGAGAAAACTATTTGGTCAACTATGTGTACGGCTTTAGCTCGGAGCGCTTTTCATATTTCCTCACCACTCAGCTGAAGCACAGTCACCATTCGTCGCCGAAGGAGTATATTACGAAATTGGTGCGAATATGTCAAGAGGACTCGAACTACTATTCGTACACTGAGATTCCGGTTGAATGCATCAGTGAGGCTCAGGGCGGTATTAAGTTCAATCTCGTTCAAGCTGGATTCTTGGGAAAACCAAGCCTGGACCTAGCCCAAAGCTTAGGCATATCGATTCAGGACGACGTCCTCTTCGCCGTCTTCTCGAAGGGGGAAAGCAATATACCGACCAACAGTTCCGCACTCTGCATATACTCATTGAAGTCGATTCGCCGCAAATTTATGCAGAATATCAAGTTCTGCTTCAACGGAAATGGCATGCGGGGACTTGATTTCATATCTCCCAGCATGCCTTGTGTTCTAACGGTATGTAAAACTAGATATTCTAAGAGAATTTAATTATATATATTTAATTATATATTTTTATGATGTGATTACTGAACTATTGCTCATAAACTTAATTGCAGAAACTACAAACAATCGGGGAAGATTTTTGTGGATTGGATGTGAATTCACCGTTAGGCGGGGAACAGCCAATCACAGCGGTTCCAGTTGCAATGTTTAATACGCTTCTAACGTCTGTGGCGGCGACAAGCACGAGCGGCTACACAGTTGTATTTATTGGCACCGTCGATGGATATATTAAAAAAGTTGTGGTTGAATCGTCGACTATTGCGAACGAATATGCGAGTTTGGCCGTTGATGTTGGGTCACCAATCAAGCAGGATATGCAGTTCGACAATCAAAATCTGTATGTGTATGCGATGTCCGACCGTAAGGTGTCGAAGGTGAAGGTCTATGACTGTGCCGACTTTAGGACTTGCGGCGAGTGCTTGGGCGCCCGTGATCCCTATTGCGGCTGGTGCTCATTGGAGAACAAGTGCAGTCCCCGCTCCAATTGCCAGGACGATGCCAATGATCCACTGTACTGGGTGAGCTACAAAACGGGCAAGTGCACGACAATCACCAGCGTGGTGCCGCATCAGCTGCAGCGGACTACCGCGCGCACCTTAGAGCTGATCATTGACCATTTGCCGCAACTGAAGGAG